CGTTCACGCCATAAACTGGGTAGAACTGCGCATCACGCTTCTCCTCTTCGCCGTTCACGCCATAAACTGGGTAGAACTGCGCATCACGCTTCTCCTCCTCGCCGTTCACGCCATAAACTGGGTAGAACTGGGCATCGCGCTTCTCTTCGCCATTCGCGCCATAAACTGGGTAGAACTGAGCGTCACGCTTCTCCTCTTCGCCGTTCACGCCATACACTGGGTAGAACTGCGCATCACGCTTCTCCTCGCCATTGGCACCATAGACTGGGTAGAACTGCGCGTCACGCTTCTCCTCGCCATTCGCACCATAGACCGGATAGAATTGAGCATCACGCTTCTTCTCCTCGCCGTTGGCGCCGTAGACTGGATAGAACTGGGCATCGCGCTTCTCCTCCCCACCATTGACTCCATATACTGGGTAGAATTGGGGCTCTCTCTTCTCGTTGGAGTTGACTCCATAAACTGGGTAGAACTGAGGCTCTCTCTTCTCGTTAGAGTTGACCCCATACACCGGGTAGAACTGAGCGTCGCGCTTCTCGTTGGAGTTGACTCCATACACGGGGTAGAATTGAGCGTCTCGCTTCTCGTTCGAGTTCACGCCATACACTGGGTAGAACTGGGCATCCCGCTTCTCGTTGGAGTTCACGCCGTACACCGGGTAGAACTGGGCGTTACGCTTCTCGTTGGAGTTGACTCCGTACACGGGGTAGAACTGGCGCTTGCCAACCACCTTCACGTACTTGGCATCTGCATTTGCAACTGGTGCCTAGTGATGATCAGCTTTGCCCATTGATCCGCAATGTGGGACATGCATACAGCTCCAGCCAAGTTGGCGGCTCCAAGAGCGAGGACGGCAGCGGAGGTGGAGAACTTCATTTTTGCTGTGGAAGAGGTGTGGAGAGATGTTGCGGATTGGAGTGTGAGCGTCGAAGAGAAGTTATATGCCTCTGGTCACCAGTCTTCGCGCCACTCCGCCCGCTCTTCGGCCTTCCTCCACTTTCCACGAGGCACTTGAGGTGCTCGAACTAGTTTCCACGCAATTCTGGGATCTGAGACTCGCCCACATCTCAAGCGTGGACTTTTCCTGGTATGGAAGACTGGCGGCGGTACAAGGCTCGTATCGCTTCTTGCTAGGGCAGTACTATGCCATGAAGTACCGCAATGGCTGAGCTCACATCCTCACTCGTCTGTCCAGGATGACTTTGTCTCCGCCTAGCTCTAGGACGACCGACAGCTCAGGGGACGTGCATTGGCGTCCAAAGGTGCGCATCGGAGGTGCAGGAGACATCACCATAGCTTCGCAGCCGTTCTCGAGGCGTCATCACGAATGCAGGAGCTCAGCTGTCGATACCAAAGGAAGATGCTCGGCACACAATTGGAGCGTCTCATCGTGAGACTATTGCTCGATCGAGGCCGGAAGTCGTGCTTCCTGAGAGTTGCACCACTTGACTGTACTGTGGAGCTCGACTTTCTGGTCATCTGCAACTCCGTGGCCGGCTGTTGCTCTGGACTTCGGATCCACCGACACCTCGATTGCAAAGCGAAGATACTCCATCGATGGCATAGCAACGACGTCACCCAGAGCGGCTCTGATCTATGCCGATAGACAGACCGCTTCAACTCTCATGGACCTTGAGAAATGCCGTGCCATGTGGAGGCCCCTCGGGGTCGTGCATTTATCGTATCGTCTCTAGCATTCTGCCCGGCAGTGACGTAGACCTTTGCATGCTCACTTGACCGATGCGTCTGGTCTTTAGTCGGCAAGTGAAGGACCTTTCTTGAAGACATGCATTAGCCTCTTCTAGGGCTCTGCGCGCCCACCTTAAGCGTGCTTATAGCTGCTGAGACAATACGGTGCAATTGTGGGGTAGGCCCGAAGACCTGGCGTATGCCCGACTTGCGCTAACGCACTAGCTTGGGACCAGTGTATCCGTCCATCGCTCGCGCAACAAACCGCGGGACCAACGTTGAATGTGCAGTTGACATTGCCGTCGCTCGTTAGTAATTGCTACTCCTCTGAGGTTTCTGCATTTACAATTCATCGTTCACCATGGTGGCGTTTCCGACAGTCTCAAAGCAATACGAGCGCCTTCGCCATAGCGGCGATAGTCAAGAAGCGCTTCTGGAGAAAGATGGCGAGCCACAACGGACGAGCAGATGGAGCAAAGAACGAATCATTATCGCAGTTGAGACCACTGTGATAGCGATATTATTGGCTGTGGTGGCGGTACAGAGTGTTCGAATCGGACGAGGACAAATATGGAAGCGTGGCTTTTCCACAGACTATGGTATGCTGCGCGCTTGCTCTGGTGAGATTACTTGCTGACTGGCTTCAGGCAATATCGGAGACATCATACCCTTTAAGAAGCAAGTTTTTATCAATCCTTTGCGACCCACAGAAGACTATTCGGCTCTCAAGATGGAGTGGAAAGAGGGTGAACCACATTACACGGGCGAGCCAGGTCCGGAGATGGATGAAGCCTGGGATAAATTGTTGTCAAGTGAGTGTGCTTCTAGACTCTATCGAAGCACTGCTGACAAATCCTCAAGTGACCACCTTCAACATCACCGGTGAGGCGGCAAAGCCAGCGATCGGTAAAACGTACTCGTATGAAGAAGGAACATACGCCATGGGTTTTGAGGTCTTCCATGCCCTGCATTGCATTAACAACATCCGAATGATGATGTATCCGGACAATTACATCTTGAGGGAGCCTCCGGAGGAGACTGAGATGCATAAAGGTATGGCAATGGAGTGATCGTTTTCCGAATTACGCTGACTCGCACTCAGCTCACTGCCTCGATTATCTGCGACAATATGTCCAGTGCAACGCGGACTTGACACCATTCTGGGGCGACTGGGTTCCAAAGTATCGGCTGGTACTCCGGCCGTATACACCTCACACTTGTCGAGACTTTAGCCAACTTCAGAATTGGATCACCGAGAACTCTGCAAGCACAGAGGCGCTCTCGTCGTAGTAGCCCATTCGCGGTTGGCCGGGTCCAGGTTGCAATGAACACGAATTATGTCCTTCAACTCCACCTTCATCATTCCTACACTTAGGCTCTGCAGCTCTGCACCATAGCTTCACCGGCGTTGTACAGTCAGCGTGGGGCCGCGACCTGTTGCCTGAGACTAGCCTGGTCTCTGGTACTCATCGGAATCTCGTAGAATGTGGGAGCGCGATTTACCGCACTTTCAACTGTCAGGCGATGATTAGTATAGAGCACTGCGGTCAATTGATGTCTCCACGTCTTTTCCAGCCTAAAAGACGTGCTAGATAAAGGCCGGGGAAAAAGCGGGCCACGGCCCCCGCTAAGATCCATGTCCCACATGCTTGACTGCACCGGCACATGCACATTTTTCTCACTACGAGATGCCGACTTCTTCAGCGAAACGACGGGAGTCCTACCAATGCCGGCAGTCGTCCACCGGCTGTATGTCAGACTTTTCGCTCTCAATGCCTCGAGTACGGCCGATGGCGTCCTGGATCACGATCACACAATCGGCCAACCTTGCTCGTGGTCGAGATCTGTCCGAGTGAAGCGTTGGCGGCTGGCTAGTCTTTCATGACCGCAGGGACAGCTTCTTCTCGGCCGCAACGACTGTGTGGAGCCTCCATACCGCTATTCTGCTGAGTGGAGACTACACAAGTGCATAAACGATACCCACCGGCTTCTCCATCGGACACAGACGATGGTCAGCCCTATAAGCTATCCTGATGGCGTAGTCACAATGGAAAAACCGGATGTATCTTGAGTATGCACATCCTATGCTACCACTGTGTGAAACATGCAGCAGTCTCTCACAGTCGGGCGACGACTACTGCAACTAGTGTGTAGTTTCGACGTCGTACGTATCCACATGCACCGAGGAGCTTGTTGAGCTATGTAGCTCCCCGAGTTGAGCAGCATCGATCAGTGTCCCATTGTCAATCGCAAACTGCTTGTCTCTCACTCCATTGTGCAGAAGGTTCGACCAACTCCCACAATGTCACGAGTCAATATCCGAGATGGTGACGGCGATGACATCGAGAAGGAACCTATGCTGGAATGGCAGTCTGTCACCAAGACACGATGGCAAAAGTACAAACGTTCGATATTGATCGTGAGCTCAACACTTGTGCTATGCATAGCGGGGTTCACATTGCTATACCACACATTCAACAAAGATCAACCAGTACCATCTCGAACTGGTAGCAAATTGTTGGCTGGGGAAGTCAATGGCCTCGTGCCTGAATGTACGTGTCCATCGTATTACTCTCTTGAGATCCACCGCTGACAGATGTACAGTCTCAGTAACACCGCAAGTGTGGTACAACAATTCACTCTATGGCCCAGAGGAAGACATCCGGGATCTGCCACAAGAAGAGGTGCAACAATTGATGAAGCGATGGCACGCACTTATGCCCCGTGAGTAGCACATGTTTGCGACCGAGATCACATCAACTCTGACACTTGCCAGGTGGTTATGGGTTCGTGCCTGTCCATGAACCCGAACAGTACGAATTGGCGCCGCCATTGCAATATGATGGGCTGCCGCCTCCAGACTACTACTACTCCATCACGGTCTTCCACCAACTTCACTGCTTGGTATGTAGCACCATTTCTTAGTCCAAACGAAGTGCTGACAACGCTTCAGAACGCCATCTTGAAGACCTTCGTCGAAGACCGCACGGGTTACTCAGTGGGCGGACATGCAAAACGGCAAGAGCACTTTCACCACAGCCGACATATCTTGCACTGTTTCGACTACCTCCGCCAATGTAAGACTAGAGCTTGCCTTCCAACCTTGCTTTTGCTAACACTGTCTTCCAGCTATCCAATGCTACGCTGACACTGCCCTCGAGGGAGCTGACGAATTCTCGATCGCAGAAGGAAGAGACAAAGTATTGGTCGGCACATCTGGCATTGGAACGACGCACATGTGCAAGAATTACGATCAGATCAAGAAGTATGCGGAAGACAATGCGAACCCCAAGTGGAAGAGACCATTGGAGAAAGAACACTAGGATGTCTGTATTATGATGTGTTGGCCCCAGAACGTAGAGCCGAATATCAACGAGGTAATGAACCACTTCATTCTTGCGACATGATCGTTGGGCGCATTTTGCATCTGCGAGCTCCTCTTCGACGCAAAGCAGGTCGAGATACGGTTAGACGCGTTGCATGAATCTTGCATGAAGATCGCTCGTGTTTCCTGATCATCGTCTCATCTCAATTCTGATCGTCTGTCGACATCAGGATTCAGCCACATAGTCCAATCAAGCTATCCATGACCACACGCAACGGGAACAAACCAGAAATTTTCACACAGTTGCTTACAAACAGTATCCGACTACAATGTTCTGGAATCAACAGCTTCAACAGCTTCCGGCCGCGAGTACAATGCTCCGAGGAAGTCACTCATCGATTCTGACAGCATGCGCAGTCTTCTCGGCAGATTACTGTTCCGCAATGGCCACTGAACTACTAGTCTGCTACTGCCGCTGCGAAGCCCGAGTGCTAGAGTAATGCAATCGATCGATGATTCGTCCAAATCGACTAAGCCATGCGTTAGTAACCCTAACTAGTACTCTAGCCCGCTCCTCCACACTCCACATATACCGAGTGTTTCGAGAAAAGCCAAGCGCAATACGCGTGGGATCTAACGTCCATCCCGGCTCGTCAAGTCTTGTTTTGAGGTCTCGTGGTCTGCACAGATACGAGTAAAGTGAAGATTTTGAGGCTGGACTGCCCTTGCGTTGCACTAATTGACTTTCACGTAGGCAGCGAAATACGGCATCGATCACCGGCTTTGATGTGTGTGTCCTGCTTCTCCAATACTCGAGATGACGAACAGACGTCTGATCGATCGTACTGCTGCTCATTCTCGAGACACGGCCAACGAATTCCCCTCTCGCCAAAACGATGAGCCACGATGATGCGTGATCATCAGATGAGGCTTCGTAGATCCTATGCTATGGCACCTGCATGTGCGCTGTACGATCTCTGGTCGTTCACCTTTCCATCTTCCACAGCGTGAACCTGCTACATTGTCCGCCAAAATTGCAGATCGGTGGACGCAGTGTGGTTCGATTATGACCTCTGATAAACCTTCAACTAATGGCTCAAGGATGCCAATATGCCAGGCATCGAGAGATTGAAGTGACTTTTCTTGTTTGCATCGAGTAGCATGGAAGACACTTCCCTGACATCTATCAAGATTTACGAATCTCTGCGAACCAACCCATCAACTCTGATGGTGATACCTCTTAACAAAGTGATACCTCTCCCATCCATCCACACTATCATACGTCGTCTCCCGATCCAACGTATACCTCCCAATCCTCGGCAGAATCTGCACCCACACCAGGTAATACACTCCACCAGCACCAATAATTCCCCATCCAATCACCACGTGCAGCCAGTAAGGCAGCTCAAGGTAAACCGTCCTACCACCAGTCGGCGGAATAAGTGGGGCGATCACGAGATAGACATTTGCCAGGCCAAAGAAAAGAGCCACTGGCCAGGAACACTTGAATGGTGGGTTCCATTCCCGGCGGAAGAAGTATAAGTAGACGAGACCTAGGCCGACGAAAGTGTTGACTGCGTTCAAAGGGTAGGAGACCATGTTGAGGATGAGGGAGTAGGCATCACCCGGAGGAGGAGCGAGAATGATGACTGAGGTGGTGAGCCATTGCCAGAAGAGGCCTGCGGCGGGGGCGTTGAAAGGGCGGTTCGAGGAGAAGAAGCGGTGGAAGGGAGTAATTCCTTCGCGGCCTTCGGTCGAAATGAGTCAGTACGTGTAATTCTTTGGCAGGATGGGAATGAGCTCACCAAGTTCTTGGACAATGCGAGCTTGCGAGAACACCACACTCAACACGTTGCCAAAGGCTGACAGCGCGACGAAGACAGAGAGTGCTCGTGCTGCTGGGCCGCCCATGACATTGCGGAAGAAGTTTGCGGAGACCGCACTGCCGCTGGTGAGCAGCTGTTCGCGAGGTACACCGGCGAAGTAGGCGATGTTGCAGAACTAGAAGAAGGTGTCAGAAATGATTTCCAGCTTAATATTGCCGAGACGTACCATGTAAATGATAGAGATGCCCGCCAAAGCCGTAGGCGCAGCAATCTTCAATGTTTTGACAGGGTCTTTGGTCTCCCGAAGTGCGTAGTTGGCATTAGAGTAGCCAATGAAGGACCAAATAACAGAGTAAAGTGCTGCAACGATTGCATTGGCATCGCTGGTAGTTCCGGCAAAAGCATTGGTAAAGTTGTCCGGCTTTGTCTCCAACTTTGTGACTCCAGCGAGTGCTGCCCATCCTGCAATGACAATGATGAGAACGATCAGCACCTTGATGAAGCCCAGGGCGTTCTGGAGTTTGAGCCCCAGCTTGACATTCGTGGCGTGGATAGCGCATGCTGTAGTCACGCAGGCCATGGCAATGCCTCTTTGATTCCAGCGAGTAACCTCAACTTCAGCTGCGAGAAGGATGTATTGCCCAAAGATGACGGAGTTACCACCTGCCCAGCCAAGCAGCATGATGTAGGGAGTGTAGAAAGCTGTGGCGATGAATTTGGGGTGTCGGTAAATGTATTCGAGGTAGTTCTTCTCTCCGCCGTTCCTGAAATTGGTCAGCAGTAGCTCAAGCGCAAGGGTGCAGAGTCTCACTTGGGGATGCCTGTGCCAAACTCGAGATATACTGCCATACCAGCACTCGCAATGCAGATGCCAATCACCCACAACATGAGAGCCATTCCTGTCGAGCCTGCAAGTCTGTAGATCGTGGCTGGAGTCGCAAAAATACCAGTACCGACGACGCGGTTGAAGATCAGGAAAGCTGCTGAGAAGGTGCCGATAGTTCGCTTTTCATCTTGAAGTCTTTCAACCTCAGAAGGAGTGCTGCTCTGAGAGATCTCATCAGTTCGCTCGCTGCCATTGTAGGCGTGCGCATCGTATTTTTCCGACATGATGGGTCGGATATCATGCGATGGTGGAGTCGTGTCAAACAGTGATGATCAGGCAAGGCACTTATGTAGTCGCGGAACAAAGGTTTCACAAGCCAGTGCAATGGTGTATGCTTATGGCGCCATGTGGCAATGTGGTTAGTAGGAGGATTTACCAAGAGGCAGCAACAGTATACCAAGATCTGGCAAGGTCTTGTGCAGCGCGTCGATCTTGGGTTTTAGGCGCATGCTCACAGATTTGCATAGACGAGGACGCGTAGATGAGGATGATTGGCATTGGAGAACAGCTGCGTATCTGCGCATGGCGATCTCGTGTTCCTCAATTTCGCGCGTCTTCCAGGGAGCGATATTACTGCTTGCGATGAAAGACGGAGGTCAAGGGGTGAAGTCAAAGAATGCTAGTGTGGCGCACAAAGCTTGGGTGGTATGCGCGCCGAGCAATTCGTCTGGGCGCGAGATGGCGTGCTCGACTTCGTTCCCAGCGTACGGTTACTACCTTCCCAATGCAGGCCTTATCCCATGATTCCGGCTGTAAAGATACGCAGTTGTGGTCGTTGATTGTCTTGGGCCGCTCTTTGCCATTGTCTTGTGCGGTTGATCGATCTTGGGCCGAGCGAAGCGAGGAGCATATACTGCATGTTAATACGCGCCTCCAGATCCTTCTTGATCACGACAACCTCGCTACGTAGCTGAGAGTCTGCTTACATGGTAGACGTCCTATGAGAGGCCTCGAAGCTCTCAGCGATTCCTCGGAGACTCCGAGGGAGCTGAAATAGACGTGCTCGCACTGGGAGTATTGTAAAGGTCTGAACTGAGATCTTGAACACCTGTGGCTTGCCTGATGCTCAGCATAGACGCTCTAAGCACGGTCGAGATATACGGCGTGCATCTGGTCGATGTTGCAGGTTCTCAATGGAAAGTTGGAAACAGGAATTCGAACGGAAGTCGTGGAGTCGTTTCTCGTTGTTCAACCTTCCGAACCTCCTCTGAGAATCGGGGTTGTGGGTAAAGCAGTCCAGCGTGTGCTGCCTTACGACAAGCAAACAGTGTATGAGCGCAGAGTGGTGGTAGTTGGACAGATTCGAGGAGAGAGATATGGCTCAATGCCAAGAATGAAATGCTGACTCCGCCGCGATACCGCATTGAGCAAGCCGCATCGTCCCTGCATGGGACATGAATCGAGCGTCATCGCCAGTCGTGGACGTTGCTGATGCTCATGCGACCAACTCATAGATGTTGACGTTCATGTTTCCACGATCTCCTAGTCTTGTGCTCAGTTTGCTGATCGAAGCGTACGCTCATCCCATAGCTATCCGTGCATCACTCCTGGCCTCGAAAGTCAACCTGTCCCCGCCCCCGCAGTCGTGAACAGCACAGCGCGGCTGCTTCAGGATGGCTACTCAAGCTCACTGTGCTTTCTGCTTTGATACCCTCGCAGTATCATTCGAGCGCAGGAAACCCCTCACTCTCGCGCAGACGGAAGAGCTGTGGGAGCGATATCACGCGAGCAACGATGAGGACCCCTCAGAAGTCGAGGATGACGACGATGCCGAGATGACCGATGTAGACGGCGACGAGGCGGCGCCAACTTCGACCAAACGGACTGCCATCTCACGATTGCTAAACAGAGAACCCGCGAGAAGCGCCGGCAGCTCGAGCAGCAGCCTGCCCAGCGCACAGAGTGGGAGCAGCGGGGGAAGCAGCAAGAATGCTTCCGGCACAGCAACACCAGCGAGTTCCATGAGCTCCACATCAGACGTGACGGGAGGCGCGAGGAAAGGCGAGGAGCATCCTCTTTTCATCACATGGAATACCGTGTCTCGAAGCGGCCACAAGAGCCTAAGAGGCTGCATCGGCACCTTTGAGGCGCAAGAGCTGGAGTATGGGCTCCGCTCATATGCTCTCACCTCGTGAGGCACGTCCCAGCCCTACCTCGATCCAGCTGACTCAAGCTCTCACTCGCTGTAGGGCCTTCGAAGACACGCGATTCTCTCCGATCCCCTCCTCCCTCCTCCCGAGCCTATCCTGCGAGGTCACTCTCCTGACCAATTTCTCCTCTCCTTCGAGCGACCCTCTAGGTTGGACCCTTGGCAAACACGGTATCCGCATATCCTTCACATATCATGGCAGAAGATACGGCGCGACATATCTACCCTCAGTGGCTGTAGAGCAAGAGTGGACGAAAGAAGAGACGTTGATATCCTTGATGCGCAAGGCCGGCTACAATGGAAGCTCGAGTTCATGGGAGCGGGTATGGCGAGATGGCAGAGGAGAGCTGGTGACTTATGAGGGGAAGAAGGTTGGGCTGGGATATAAGGAATGGAAAGAATGGAGGGACTGGGCAGAAGAGAATCGGTAGGACGAGTCGAGCTGCGTGGTAGACACAGAAAGAATTTGGGGTTTGCACGGGACATGACAGAGGGGCTGGAATACCAAGGGGTAATCAAGAGATCTTCCATACACTGGGCAAGGTAGTCCAGCAAAGAGCCGGGACGGCATAATGAGAGACGATAGACGTGCAATGCGAGGACATTTCATGCAAGCCAGTCTGTAGATGAGAAACACCACCCGACTGAGCAAAGCTTTTCCGAAGACTGGACAATTCCGAACCGAAACAGCTGATTCAAAATCCAACGGACCTTCCACAGTCGCTCGGAGAGATCGCTAGCAACCTCTGGTGGAGACCCGACTCGACATGGACTGGACCTCTGGCGCTCGAATGAAAATAAGTTTCACTTGCGCTCAGATGTCGGAGCATTGGTTGAAAGGCGAACGGTGGAGCGGAGCTGCAGGTTGAAATATTCAGGCTCGTGAAGGAAGCAATAGAATCAGTGGCATTTTTGGTACACCTTTCTCTGCAGAATATGAAGAATCGCGGACTGGAGCCTGATCGCAGCGTAGATTGGTTTCCGCTAGTCGAGCCGAGGAACAAAGCTTGATGACCTTTCGTCGTGAGGACTATCCCATCAGAGCAACCCTCTGAAATTTTGATAACCCTTTTATCTGCACTCGGTCGATTTCGAATCGGGCCTGATAAGCCGTCTCGGACATCTGGCTCAGGCTCTACCCAGACGTTGATGTTCGCTTCGGGTTCTCTTCTGTGGTCTTGTAAACATTTGTAGACTTGTGGAGCAGCCTCATCTGTCATCATGTTAGCCTTTGGGCTGGACCTAGCGATCTCACTCGCTTGGGTACATCGCACGTGGATTACCTCCAAGTTTGATTTGCTTCAGTGGCTCTTCACAGGGCGTGCCCCCCTGCCAAGCCATCGATCGTTTGAAAGTTGCGCGAAGGAGACCTTTGACCTCTTCTCCAAACGCAGCTGCTTCTTCCGCCGATCTGTTTCGATGTGCCACTAAAGTCCGGTCGGTTGGGCGCGTGCGAGCCGCGAAGTGCAAGCCATCTAGCACGTCGCGAGGTTTTTGATCTTGCTTCTTCTTCTGATTTCGATGAAGCATCCGTACGAGCGGGCCGACATCTTTTGCCAACTCGCCAGCATTGTTGTACAACAAGAATAGGTCTTGGGATATCGCCAGCTTCGACAGTGCTTTGCAGACTTTCAGCAGCCTGAAGATTTTCATCAGGCTCGTCCTCGATCTGCACAGACCCTGGACGTGAAAGGCATTGAGGTACTGTGTAGACTCTCCGATGTCAATCACAAACCACGAAAAGGAACCGAAGTCAAAGTACGGCTGAAGCACGAACTCATTGCAGCCATACAATACCGGAGTGGCTTCTTCGCGAACAAGCTGGCACGTCGCGATGATGTTGGGCTGCAGCTTTGGCTTGTAGCTATAGCGTGGCCAAAAAGTCCACGGTCTGTCACCGACCAGCAGGTGCTCGTATACGAGTAGTCTGAGCTCAGCTGGAAGGTCCAGGAATGGAAAGTGCTTCTTCGTGTCCACGCGGTGTAGCTTGCTGGTGCTTGCCGTCAATTCAGCGGCTGGTGGAGGTTGATGTTGGCTGGCTAAAAGCGCCGAGACAGGGGCGCTGTCGCTCGCCATGCCGTTCTGATGTTGGTCTTCGTTCACCACAGCTGCAAGTTGCACACGTGATCAACGCCGGGGCGATTATGGTCTTATGGTGTTGCGGTCAAAGTTTTGATGAGATGGGAAGTTGTCTGAACGGGGGCACGACAATATGGTCGCAACAGGGAGCCGTGAGTAAAGTGAAGTGAAAGTGAAGCGGGGACCGCCCAGCGGTCTGGCGAGCACACTGCTTCACATGGAGCTCAGCATCAGTTATAGAAGCTACAAACGGGCGTCAGCGCGCAGTCGCGAAAGAAGAGCGACCTCCCCACTTGCGGGCCTTCCACTGCATTGCGAAGCACCTGATAGTCTGCTTCCAGCGACCTGTCGTCCTTCCTCCATGCCCGCCTCCTTCTCTGTCGCTTTGTCAACGGAGACGAAAATGGATCAGCTCTCCAGAGCGATCACGGCGAGTAGAGAAAAGCAGGAGACATGTTGTTAGGGGCCACTACGTCTTGACTACATGAGCAGTTCCGTGCACCTACAAAGAGCCAATATTCTACCAGAGATCGAGCGAACGAATCGGACACGACAGCGCTGAGATCTGAAGCCGAGCTGCACTTGAACCAGCTCGATTCCTAGCAAGCTTCATGGTGCAAGCAAGGACAACACTCGCGAGGAACGTCAATAAAGGTTGATATACTTCTACGCCTGCCATAAATCCATGCCGTCCAAGGCAAAGGAATGCTTCCTCGGGATGTTCGCCAGAACCTGGCAGTCGCTTCTCCAAGCTCTTTACTCGTTGTGGACGATGGCATATCCAAGCTCATCAATCTCAACCACAACCAGCCACAACGAGTCCCCCGGACCCAAGCACGCGCTCGGCCAAAGGACCAGCCTCTCCCACGTTCATCTTTCTTATCGTCACCCTTCCCAGATAATGCTTCGCACAACTCTCAAGCTTGAGACTTCCCCCAGTGCGGGTTCTCCGCGGATTCGTCATGAGTATTCTTCCAATATGGATTCTCATTCGCAGTCTCGTTCTCGGCACGCTTGTCGGCGAGACTCACAGGTCCACTTGCCTCCTTCCAATATGGGTTCTGTTTGGAGCCCGCATGCGTGTCATTCCAGTACCGATTACCGGTTTTACCACCATCCTCTCGCGAAATGAGCATTACCGGGGGCGACTTCCAATATGGGTTCTCCGTGGAGCCCGCGTGTGTATCATTCCAGTAGCGATTTCCAGCCTTACCGCCATCGTTTCGCGAAATGGGCATCACAGGAGGCGACTTCCAGTACGGATTTTCCTTCGAGCCAGCATGTGTATCATTCCAATAACCATTGCCAGTCTCATTGCTTTCCCCTCGCGGAATGAGAACCACGGGCGGTGATTTCCAGTATGGATTCTCTTCCGAGTCAGCATGTGTATCATTCCAGTATCGAGTGTCCGAAGACGAATTCGCCTTGTCCTCCTCACGTGTGATCAGAATCATAGGTTTGTTTCCAGATTTCCAGTACGGATTGCCTTTCAATCCTTCGTGCGTATTGTTCCAGTAGGGATTGGAAGACGCAGTTTTGTCGTCATCGGAACGAGTGACGAGCACGACTGGTTGACTGGCAGCCTTCCAGTATGGATTCTCCTTTGATCCAATATGAGTATTGTTCCAGTACGTGTTGTTTCGCCAATAAGGAGCAGCAAAAACGCTGATGGCGCTCGTGCTGAGCAATGTGAAGGTTGTGAACTTCATGGTTGATGATCGAAGGGAGTGTTGGTATGTTGCGGTCGACCTGCGACGCACTGGATAAGACTGAGAAGTGAAAGTGGCCTTGACTGACTTGAAGTGGAAGCAGTCGAGCTCGTATTCGAGCTATATACCCTTTCCACGTTTCGACGACGCATTCTACACTATGCAGAGATGAGCCACTCGAAACAGATCTGAAGTCTCCGACTGCATTTCGGTGTCTCTATTTGCTCTTCCTGAATGGACTACGTCCTATAATGTCTCATTGTGCCTATCAGAACACCACGTCGAAAAGACCGATATGAGGTCTATCGCAGCGCATAGACAATTGAGCGGTAGGACGTTACCACACCATTGGCATCTATCCCAGAGATCACACAAAGCTGGCCCGCTAGGCTGATCGTCCAGAAGCAGAGTCCTACAGTTCGGAGAGATGCTATCTACTTTGATGTCACCTAGCTTCCAGGATCAGCTTCTGCTCCCAATGATGATTGCCAAACAGCACACGCATGTTTTGATTGGGTTGATGGGATCGCACCGGCATTGTCTTCTGCGCACGCTATGAAATCATGTCTTGCAGAGTTCGGAACATTCCGATACCAACCGTAGTCCACTGATGCCCGTCTACGAAACTCCTGCTCACTCAACATGGGCTTGAGATGTCAAATAGCGTTTAATGCCTTACAAGATGCCCACCATCGTTGAATGACAATTGTTTGTGGCACTTCTCAGAGCCCCATAAACCATGTGTCCATTTGACCCCTAATCATTGGCCTGTCGAAAAGGACCGATCAACAAAACTCTCAAAAGTCCGAACGCAAGCATCTACGGTTCCGTCATTGGTGTTAACTAGTTGTCGTGCTTCGGGAGGACACTCGCGGTGACCTTTCGGCCAAATGTCCGAGCACTAAAGAACCTGGCCTCCAGTGTCACAGATAGTCAAGACAGTTACGGTTCCCCAGCCACGTGTAGGTACACCTTGGTTCCATAGGACACACTCTCACATCGACGGGCTTGCAGCAGTAGGAATTTTGTGGTCTCACACATGCTTCGTAGCGTAGAAGAATGAGCGCACGGTTGTTTATTGCTTTGTATAGGTTTTGTTCGACTCGGATTTATTGTTCTGTTCAAAGTCTTACCTGACGTGCACGATCGTATTCTTCGCAGCCACGAGTCGCATTTGCAGACGTTGTATGCTGCCAGTGTTTCGCTAGCTGTTAATACCCGTCTAGGCATACGATGATAAGTCTCATATAATCAATTTGTGGCGGCTGAACGCTTGTGAAATGATCGAGCAGTCCTCTGTATTAGAAACCTTTGCGAACCAGCATTTTCTGAAACTAGTAAGCGATTCTTCAAAACTATGCCTTTCGTCTCGCCCGCCAGCATAGAATTCAAAGAGCAAAGTGTCTAAGCGAACCACCACATAATGTGAGAGGCTACTAAACGAGTCCTGTTAGTTGAATCATCATAGATATAAAATATCGGCTACTAAGCTGGCTTAGTCTCTAGATCAGGCTAGGACAGAAGTCGTCCAGCAAGCAATATCCCGGTGTTTTCAGGAGAGCTTATAGGACGAAGCGACCCTTGCATATGTTCCAAGAGCCAAAGCCCAGGGGACGACACTAATGTAGCGGGACTTTCCATGTCCTTGACGTAGCTTTATAGGTCCCTGAAGTACTACATGTATGCAGTGGAAACAAGCTACCAGTCATTGCTTGTCTTGTCTTTGCTATCCGCAGGGAGCTCTTACGCCAACAAGACATGGTCAGACTCTTAACTGCTCAACCTATTCGCTGGATTGATCGAATGTCGGCAAGACACCGATTCTTATCGATGTAGGCAGGATTTGCGCATCCTCTACACCAAGTTCGACCCACGATCTTGTCGCACTCAGTGCGAGGTGCGGCCATTCGAATGTGGAAATCATCTAGCAGGCCTATGCTCCAGTAGATAGAGTCCCCGGCCGCGTTTCTGAACGAACAATGTCGGTCCGATGTTGTGCCTTGGGATTGATTTAATGGCATTTTAGAATTTCGTCATATCTGTGAACTGGGCGGAGTTCTACCTATTGTACATCAACCACATCCTGCCCAGAGATTTCATGCTTTCTCCAAGCCATTTTTCTACCGACAGCTTGTCTATGAACGTAGCGTAGGAATGTCCTGGCTCGAGAACAACGAATAGCAACTTTCGACAGGAATCAGTCAACTTCCTCGTCTGTCCAACACATACATCGTCGCATTAGCAACATCTATCATTATACACAACCGCGCCGAACCGTCGCTATTCCAAACTCATGCGCCTTCTTCTCCTTGCTTCATGAAGCGCACTGCGTCTCTCCACCAACATCACTCCCCCGTCAACCAATCATATCATCCCTCATTCCACAACAACGCTTCCCTCTAGAAACGTTCTCGCGTAGCATTCGTCACAGTCCCATTCCACAGCGAGCCATGTCCGTGTCCGCCACCGCTTCGCCTCTCAAACTTCAAACTCGGTTTCTTCGTCGCTTTCCAGAACGAAGTCCCATCTGAGCCAGCACGCGTATCGTTCCAGAACGGGTTGCCAGTTCCATTGCCATCATGTCGAGCAAACAAAAGAAAGAAGGAGAGGTAGAGTTCCAAGGCCCTCCGTTTGTGTTGTTCCAGTGCCCGGAAGCATGCTTATTCTTATCGTTGGAGCGAGTGAAGAGCATTACTGGTTTCAGCGCAGGGTCTGCTTGTGGGTTGCCATTGGTGCTGTTCCAGTCGGTGGTGGTGTTTGAGTGAGAAGTTTCGTTCGAGTGGCGTTCATGAAGGTTCTGGTAAGGAGCAGCAGAGACGCTGACAGCGCTCAAGCCCAAAAAGGCGACGATGCTGATCTTCATGGTGTGGGAATTGCTGTGAATGCCGTGCCTTCGGGGTCGTGCGTGCCATTCACTTTAGGCTACGCGGGAACGTGGTGGTTGAATGGTAATGAAAGCGATCGATCAAGGTGCTGGGCGCATTGTTCTTATACACTGTCCTTATCATCGAGGTCCCGTTGGGTATGGTGGAATCTTTCGCCATTTGCAGACCCAATTCGAACTCCTCTCTGGTCCCATCTCGGTCGTTCTCCGCCTATCCATCTCGCACGTTCGATCTCCTGTAGTAAGACATCTCCATCGCACACCGAATAGTAGAGATGGAGACAGAGCACCACGTTCAAATCTCGGTCTTGGAAAGACATGCAAACAGTGTCTCCTGCCAGAGAAGAAACACGGCGAATGGTAGGTAGTGTCGATGTCCAATCAGTGTCCTTGCTCAAGTGCTATCAGTTCGTCGTGAAGCAGCGTGCGAGGGCTTGGAAGCAAAAAAGTTGCCATTGAGGTGATGTTCCACCATTTCCCTTTTCGAGGTCTGTTGTTGGTTGCAGTCGCTCCAACAGGCGCTGGCGTAACTTCGGAACTGACCACTTGAGTATGATCGGCATTGCCCCGAGCACTGGAGGTATAGCGCCGTTGTGGGGAAGAAACCTATTGTGACGACACTGATATCTCTCGCATGGTGAAGGTGAGGCATCCGATTGGACAATTGCACTTCGTCGAAGTGGCAGCACCTACTTAGCGATGTTAGCAAGAACTGATGACAGTGTTGAGACACAAACTACCGATAAGCCAGCATTGTAGCAGTGGCCCCGAGGTCGTGTCGGTCGTGTTGCACTTGCTTCTAATTGCTTGACTCGTGGCTTGTCGTGCTTGTGCGAATATGTTTGCAACGATGTCGGCTGCGGTGGAGTGTTCGGCCCTCGATTCGAAGCGCAACTTCTTGCTTGAGAACTCGTACCATTTATCTCGAAAGCGTGCAATTTCGCTGATTGTGAAGGCAGTCAGGCTGGCACATTCTTGGCCTCGGAAACGCCTGGAGGGTGAAGTGCATTTGAAAAGGACTTGCAGTGCTCGTATGTCTGGATGTTTCTCTGCGGATGTAGACGACGACAGCAATCGCTTTCCAGCAAGCCCCAGAGAAGCAGCCGAGGGCTGTGCTGGCACGCCAGCGCTGGTGTCAGTGTGAATATGTTCTGCAAAAATCGTGTGTTCCTGGTAGTTCTTTGTCGGGTTGCAGAGTGCCGAACCATCGGAATATCAGTTGAGGACCAGCTCATTCACTGTGTGAAGGATTCAGGGACCTTGAAAGACTCTTGTGTTGAGCAGTCACAGAAGGAAATTCCACATGATACGTGTACACAGCCAGAACGATCTTTTGGACGGAGGCCTTCAAGGCAAAGCCGATTCAGAATGCAGTATCATCGCAATGGCAGCTTCCACTTTGGTGACTTTCGCATGATCACTGCAGGTGTCTCTGAGCTCGCAACAACGGCCTGAAACGGAGACCATTGTGTTCAAGCAGCAAATCGGGTGACGCGCATCAGTCCTGGGTAATAGCAGACTCCTTTGCAAACAGTTCCGCGCCAGCGAAATCCTTCGAAGCCGCAGCTCATGAGATCGTTTAGCATTGCCATTTCCTCGATCATTACTGTGAGCGTTGTGCAGCGCTTCGTTGAAATGTGATCACCGATGAGAGTTGCATGCCAGTTTGGATAGCGGTCAAGGCATTGGGGTAATGTATCGTCAAGTCTATGATCACATCAATTCCGCAATTGTCGCGGCCTTTTGAAAGCCAGCCTCAAGACAGGTTCCGCGGGCGCAGACTGTTTCTACCTTCCCTTGAACTCCGGCTTTCTCTTCTCCCCAAATGCTTTCAATGCCTCTGTCCTGTCAGTCGTCGGGAGCACGAGATCATAGGCAGCATTCTCGCTGGCCTCGCCGTTCTCCCATCCACTCACAGCCTGCATGGCAGCACGAATAGCGACTGGTCCACCTTCGCAGATTGTCGTGGCCATTTCCACTGCTTGTTCAAAGACCTTCCCACGTGCAACTCCTGCACCGTTCTTGATCTCATCTTCTGTGATCTGTACAATCCTGTCTGCCAGCCCGATGAAATATGCCTCCTCGCCCGAGATGCGTCTTCCGGTTAGAATCATGTCTCGCGCTCTGCTGGCTCCAATGATTGCAGGAAGACGGTAGGTCCCTCCTGCACCGGGGATGATGGCCAAGCGCGTCTCTGGCAGGCCGACCATTGCCGTCGAAGCCATGACGCGGAAGTTGGTGCACAGAGCAAGCTCGAGACCTCCGCCGAAGGCGGTGCTGCTGATGGCGGAGATGGTGGGGATGGGGAGGGTGGAGAGGCGGGAGAAGGTGTTTCGGAGAGTGGAGAGGAAATGGCGGGTGCTGCATTGGTGAGTTCTACAGATCTATGTCGTCTGCTCTGCATGCGGGACATACTCTTCCTCGGTGAAGGTGAGGCGTTCCTTCAAGTCGGCGCCGGCACAGAACGCATCGTCGCTCTCCGAGGTCAGAATGAGCGCTCTCGTCGAGCCCTTCGCGCCCTCGCTGTGCACCTGATCCACGACGCCCTTCAGCTCGGCGAGCAGCTGGCGAGAGATGGCATTGCGCGCCTTGGGCCGGTTCAGCGACACGACGGTGATTTCGCCCGTGTGCGGGGCGGCGATGGAGGAGATTTTGACGGGCGACGCCAGGGAGCTGTACCTCCGACGACTACATGACAGCAGACGTTGGCATGGCCTCGCGGAGATGGCAAAGGACATGGCGGGTGGGAATGAATGATAGGAAGCTCTCCAGCTGCTTCACTTCGGCCATGGCATGTCCACACAAGCCCTGCCAATCCCGCGACGCAGGAACGAACCGAGCCGGCGGAGATCGACAAGTCTTATCTCCAACTCCATCCAATCACTCACGCACGCCTCCCTGCTCCGCGCGTGCAAGGGACCGCGAAACATGGCGTCGGATGACTGTTGCCGCGCCGACTGACGATGACTGGATGACCTCGTGCCTCGGACTGCATCAACGGTGATCGAAATGCACATTACTGCGAGCCGATGCAACCGACCGACGCCAGCAGCAGCAATCTAGGAGAGCTACGACGGACGCTGCTACCGAACAGGAAGGTTGCTCAGGCTCTGCTGCAGCATGGAAAGCGTATATGATGGCCTGGCTGGCCACCTCGATGAGCTGAAGGCCATTGCCGACAAGATGCCTTCCATTCGCACTGCCTCGCGAGTGGCGCTCTCCGGTGTTGCTGCTGCTCAGTCTGTGCTGGGCTTTATGCAGAGTCCAGTGGAGAGACAAGATGTGTTTGCAGCTTCCGCCACTTGCAACAACCCGCAGCTCTCGTGCCAGAATACCACAGCACAGAATGATCTTTGCTGTTTCAATTCTCCAGGCGGCGCTCTGCTCTTGACACAGTTTTGGGATACGGATCCGGTTGTTGGGCCTGCTGATAGTTGGACTGTGAGTGTTGGATGTGGAGTCGTGTGGAGGGCAACGCTGACGACGCATACAGATCCATGGACTATGGCCTGACAACTGCGATGGCACATATGAAGCCAACTGCGATGATCGTCGCGCTTACACCAACATTACGCAGATCTTGCAAGCAGCTGGAAAGCAGGATCTGGTTGATTACATGAACACCTACTGGCAAAGCAACTCAGGATCTGCCGAGACATTCTGGGAGCATGAGTGGGGAAAGCATGGTATGGAAAACGGAATTTGAGAAATGTTCACATGCTGATGATCTTTCAGGCACCTGCATCTCTACACTAGAACCGGATTGCTACACCGACTACAAACCAACTGAAGAAGTCCCAGAGTTCTTCCAAAAAGTGGTCGATGTTTTCAAGACTCTGCCTACCTACCAATGGCTTGGAGATGCTGGCGTCACACCCTCAACAAGCGCCACATACAGCCTATCACAAATCCAGCAAGCACTCGCCAAAAGCCACGGTGGCAAAACGCCATACATTGGCTGCCGATCTGGAGCTGTCAACGAAGTCTGGTACTTCTACAACATCCGGGGCTCAGTCCAGACTGGCGAGTTTGTTCCCATCGATACTCTCACCAAGTCCAACTGCCCGAGCAGTGGTATCAAGTACAAGCTGAAGGGAGGAAGTGGAGGCTCGCCTACTTCGACTACAACCGGTGGAGGAACCCAGCCCACCTCATCTCCCGGTACTCCTTTTGCGGGCTCGGGATTTCTCAACGTCGTCACTGGAGGCAGCCAAAAAGGTTGCATCATCTCTGCTGGAACTTGGTTCACAAGTGGCACATGCGCGACCTTCACAGCTGCAGCTTCAGGAGATGGGTTTACTCTGAAGTCATCGAAGGGAAGCTGCGGCATCTCGTCGGGAGTCTTCAGCTGTGGATCAGGCGTGCCGAGCACCATATTCACTGCAGATGGGAACACCTTGCAAGCAAGCGGATCTGGTGACTTCTCGGCGGATTCTGTGCCTAGCGGGAGCACGCAAGTGAAGGTGTATACCGGCACAGATCACTCTGTGGATGTGACGATACAGTGGCAGGGGAAGTAGAGAATCGCTGCATAGAACTAATTGACAGACCATGCCTTTGGGTACATCTGAGAAGCTAGAATCTTGTATCACAATGGTTCGCCAATCCTGCCGCCGGATTCGCTGATGAGGACCTCTTGACGACCTCCTTCAGGTCGAGGCCGCAACGAACCACGTGTTTGCTCTGCGATGAAACTCCGATAGAGTGCTAGGACTGCTCTTCGAGCAGCGAAAGAGTGCTGGCCTACCTGCTCGAATGCATTCGCAGCACCGTCGCTGTTCTGAGATCTTCTCCCAAGACACAAGCTTGACGAAAGCCACATAGGGTCTACTTCCCAACTTACTGGAAGTCAGACAGCGCGAGCATACCCTGGTCTCCGCAACCTGAGTATCCACTTCTCTGGCAGTAGATATTTTAGTGGTGGTCATAGAGTCCCATTCGATAACATTTTCCTCGCTCTGGAAGTCGATACAGTACCCCAACTGGCAAACGGGATGGGTGTTCACGAATTTGGTAACATCTTCCAAAGTGCAATACAGTCCGAGTATAGGAACGGGCCAACAGTGCAGCCGGTCGTCTTCAGCTCGCAGACGAATTGCTGTAAGCCTGAGGAGAAAGCCTTTTCGGTCGTCTCTTCGCCACTTTGAGGTCAGGCCTAATTCTTCTTCCACGGCGAAGCGCCACCGATCCATGTTGAAGCACTCTCTCGGGTCCACATTAGTCCGGACACTAGTTGGTAGCGGCAACATATCCTGCTCCAAGATGCGCAAACATTTATCGAAATCATCCTTGCTGGTCGAACACTTTCTGGAGAAGTCTTTGTCGAAGAGGTAGCGAATTTCTACTGCTGGTGCTGTGCGTGGACGGTTCCGATGATCTAAGATACCGGTACCCTCGACGTCGACCTGATGAAAAGTAAGTATGGAACTACTGTCTCAAAGGCGAGACAAAGGCTGACCTTTCCTGCAGCCCTATACTCATTGCACTCAACATCCCCCTCGTCTCCCACATCTGCTGTACTGTCATTTCCTACGGCGAGAACGCCGCCTTGACCAGTAGCATTGGCAGCTGGTCGTCCAAACGCCCGTTGGATGTGGAGGCAGGTCATCAGGTCCCGCAAGTTCCATGAAGCAGGATCGAGTGCCTGAGAGTCCTCCGGATTGACGGAACGCGTCCCCTTGATGTGCTCCTTCAAGTTCTTCGTTTCGTCGCGCGCCATATCAACTTCAGCAGCGACTAGCTGCCGTCAAGCCGAAGCTGAGAAGGGGCAAGTCACAGGCAATTGCAGTGTTGTTTCTCGGCGTGGGCGGTTGTTCGTGTCGCCGTCAGTGCGAAGATCGAGTTTGAAGGAGCGCGGACCATGATTCTCAAGGCGCAGGAGAAGGTGGAATCGATGTGCAAGCTGTCCTTGGCCGCACGCGTTATCAGTGAGAGGCAGATTTGGCAACTGTTTGCGCCAAGCTGACTTTGCGTGTGAAAGCGCCACCACGGGTTTCCTCTCGCAAACGACAGAGCGCGAAGGCTCCATTCAACTTTCACTTCAACGTGCACATCTGGCTCCGACTTCATGATGGGCTTGTCCGTCAGATCGCACCGATGACACTGGTACAGTTGCCATAAATGTCCAGCGCACCGAACAGAAGGGTTCCAGCGCACCGAACACAAGAACACCGACAGACAGCCAAAAGCAAACAGTTTATGCAAGTAGACGCCCCACGGCAAACAAAAGATGATCCGGAGGCGCCGCTTTCTGTGCCTTATCTAAATCAGCTAGAATCCGGTCTTGCTTGATCTGCACAGCCAACTGGCAACAAACTTGTCTTCGAGCCGCACAACAACCTGGAGCCCAACATTGGCGGAGAAGCTCTCACCGATGTTCGAATCGGCCTGACGGTGCACGTCCGGCTGCGCACATCATGCTAACCCCCAAGCGCAAGAGAGCTGCAAGCGGCGTTCGTCCCAAGCTGAGCAAGGCGTTCCTCGCAGCTCCAGGAGGCCTTGATGAGCTGGCTACTGCCCATCATCGACGCAGTCGTGACGAATTGGTCGGATTCGATGAAAGCGATTTCAGCGATGAGGATAGGGAAGAGGAAGAATGGCGACCTACCGTGAAGGTCAGTTCTGCTCTTCTCCACCAACAAGACTGGCTTTATACTTACTGATACGCAGGCGAAGAGGCGAGCTCCGAAATCGATCGCAATATCCAAGGAGGAAATTGAGAGGGTTGACGCAGCTGTGCCTTGCCACGGAAAGTTTCTGCAAAAGCAAGTATACAACGGGGCACATCGAAGCCGACCTCGCCTTGCTGCTTATGTCGAGTTCCCCGATGTTCGCGACTTGGACGGCCACATGCTTACAGCGGCTTTCCTGCCGGCGTATGCTGTATTCAAGGAAACCGGGCTTGTGCCATTCAAAGACATCGTAAGCGTTTTGCAAGATCCAGCGCGGCTTGACGAGCGTGAGGAGCTGGTCAACGACCTCGCTCGAGCTCTCGAGAAAAGGCGAGCGAAAAGAGATGGGAACGCAGAAATTTTGGGCGATGCAATATGGTGGCTTGTTTACAAAAGCGCTGATGTCAAGTACTGGTCTCGGGAAGAACAAGACGACGCACTCGACATTGCTCACGAAGCACTGAGAAACTGGTACCCAACCATCAATACTCTGCCCAGAAAATACCTGGACAAGAACTCGATATTACCAGTCTGGCAACACGAGTTGGATCCTCAGCCTGAGGTAGAGCAATACAATCGCGCTTTGCAGCTCTTGAGGTGCTGTGAGCGGATGGAGCACGTCGGCTTCAACCAGACCAAGGGCAAGTCCAAGGCGGAGAAATGGGTAGGCGCTTTGCAGGACCGCAGTGTATTGGGATCCAGGCCTGTCAGTAAGGAACTGGTTCCGGACTGGATGAAAGGGCAAGTGGATGGAGACGATCTCTTGGCTGAATCTGAACGAACAGACGAGGAGTGCCAAACGGAAGAGGACATTGATGTCAGTGATGCTACGGCACAGCGCAACCACGTCCAGGCGAGCGAACGAGACCATGTCCAGGAAGATACTGACGATGAAGAAATCATGGTGGGCATCGAGCAGGGTCAGCCACAAGAGCAACCCGATCATGGCACTACCACGGAACGAGGTATTCCACCAGAAGCACGGATCAAAGGCGAAGACTACACAACACCCATCGTGATCATCGACGATGACGAGATCAAGGTCGAGGACGACACCGCACCGATCGGAGCCCAGCAGGACGACAAATCATCTTCCAAGTCCGCCTGCAGCATTCTGTACATCACCAACAGAAAAATCTCAAGAGCCCGCTGCAGAAACAAAAAATGGTTTGATGAGTGTTGGGAGGAAATGGAATGTTTGGACGCACCCACCAACAACAAGATTGCTACCGCAGACCCACGAGACTGGTTGACAAGCGAGGAGTGGCGTGATGCGGTGCGGAAAGAGCTGCGCTTAGGTACGCATTGGCGCCGAGGTGAGGACGAAGGTCTCGCACTGAAATTGACGGCTCTGCGTCTCCGGGCAGGAGATGAGAAGCTCGATTGCTATGACTGCAAGGCGCGGCAGTTTTGCAGCACGCCCGATCAGGTTTCGGAATTTGTCGACAAGCACCAGAACTGCGAGCTGGAGTACTGCATCGATTTCTTCACCGAGGAAGAAATGGCCAACGGCAACACCAATGACTTGGAGACACTGAACTTGCCATGAGCGGATGAAAACAGCCTTGCAGCGTTTCTTGGAAGGACGAGAGGGATGGCAAAGATCAAAGGAGGCTCGGAGCCCCTTTATGTGTGTCCAAAGCTGCAGGCGCGGTAACCGCGGAACGCGCGTCGCTGCATTGCTTCCGAGAACTCCACGATTGCTGCGAGCGAGTTACATCCAGCTTTGTACCTCGACCGCGATCGATAGCGGTCGCCGAGTGGAGCTGCTCCATAGTTCTACTTTGTCTTTTCCATGACTAAATCGAACCAATTTGGCCGCATAAAATGAAAGCGATAGACATGCCCCTCCAAGACTTGCAGAGTGACTCGTTGGCCTCCGATCGCGTTACGCTCAATCATTTAGTCGAGTTGTCCATCGATCACGGCCTCCGTCACATCAGTCCCAACCAGCGCATCAGAAGGTGTCTGTGTCGAGGCACTGCTGTAGACCTGTGACCAGGGGCGTCAATCTGACTAGACTCGCATTCAGTTGCCATTCGCAAAACGGGGCTCCGTGACTAGATTCTAGCCTGCCTGCCTCGTTGGTCCAAGCAAGTGGTGCAAAGAGACTCTGTGCGCATTCCGAAAGTGAAATGGCATCTTTTTCACGCTACCATAGACTGAAGCCTCAGCAAGCCTGATAGATGCTCGTGCTTAGCACAAGTGCGTTGTCCGTCTATCATTCTAGCTCGATGGAGCTAGCAGGCCTCGTCAGTCGAGACTGCGAACAGAGGCTATTGACTGATGATAACTTCAGGATTCCCCCACCGCCCTTCAGTGCCACCAACTTGTCTACAATTGTGCCTGGCAACCACACGTTGCCCATCTTTTTTTCTTCGCCGGCTCAACTATCCAGCTTCAAAGATGAAGTCCACGATCCTGCTCACCGTGATCCCCTGCGTATCCGCTTGCAACGCAGCGTCTTGCTTCTCGGCCGGCTACAAAGCGAACGACTGTGTGGAACCGCAAGGATGGTCGTGGACTGTACGCAAAAACGGTCAATCACATCGCAACAGTAAGCTCTTCTAACTGGCGTGAGCGTAGTGCGGAAGGAGCGACGCAGATCCTTCTATGGCTAGGGGACCTCCAGACAATAACTGCGAGTGGAAAGTAACACTTGGACCGTACTTGAAGTCGTACTGCGTGCGTTCTTGATTCTAAAACTTTTCTGCGGCTCGGCCCTGATCCTCTGATATAGTGCGAGTATAACGGAGAGTTCACCATCGACTAGGCGAGTCGTGCAATGGACATGCAAGATCGAACGGCAATCCATCAATCGTCGCGTCTGAACGGTACTCGAGAGAACTGGTAAGACTTTGGCATGTCTTCAACTGGGCTTAGGATCCGGCCATCTGTTCAGTTGGAAACTGTCTCATGCATTTACTCCTTTTGCAAGATTGTAAGCATGATTGTTCTCCGGTCTGACCGACTCAGGTCAAAGGTCAAGTACTTCAGGCCTACATACAATGAAGGAGCTGATGCGGACAGGTGAGCGTGGAGCGAACTTGTCCTCTCCGGCTGGACTCGACAAGAACTTTAACAATGTACAAGATAGTTTGTATTACCGATTTGGAATATTGCAAGATCTCGTTCCAGCACCAACAAGAGACCATTTAGGCTCCTCGATTCAGCATTCCTCAGATGTTTTGCTTATCTATAGCACGATCTGACCGCAGAAGGCATTACGGACAACTTCGACGACCCGGCTATCCTTGGGGAGAGATATAAACGGCTGTCGTTATTGTCCGGAGTCCGAAACGAAAGTGTCGAAGCGCAAGATCCGTTCGCCTCTTTGCGCCAAAAGGTACTGCCGTAACTCCCATTGCTCGGCGAACTTTGAAAATGGCTGATCCCGAGTCAGAACCAGTCTTTGATCGATGAATAATTTGCGGGAAATGACTCCAATCATGATCCGTTCACCACAGGCGCCTTTACCTTGGCACTGCGACTTATTTGTGACTTTCCAATGGTTGCATGTATGCCTACAGTAAGTTAGAGGGTTGGGCTATATGTCCAGACCTGCTAGCACTATAGCTACGGAACATAGGATGATGAGATGACTTTGAGCTTCCGCCCATTGTTGAGAACGAACGACTTCACCAAATATTCTAGGACTTATTGGTGATGGCGAAGGAGCTACGCCACCTCCTGGCAAGGATTGTCCGACAGCGCTCAGGATTTCTCATTCTTCCGATGCTCAGCCGGGTGGCACTAATGACCCCAGGACTGCGCTTTTCGCCATTCTCTCGACAGCTTTCCGTTTCAATCGCGCTCGATACTGGTTGCCATAGAGGGCCACTTTCTGGGGATGCCTCGTGCAATCAGCAAGAGAACGGACACCCCCCGGCCTATATCCCAACCGAGTTCGAGTGGAAGCGATGTTCAATGCCGCATAATAATCACACTAGCCTAAGGGAGGACATAGCCTCCGGCGATACCGACCAGATCCGAGACACAGCACAGCATGGGCATCTGGAATGAACTGGCATCACTTGGCTGCATGACTGCTATGTTCCCTGTTCATAAACCGTAAGTAACTCGGAAACAGCAAGCTCTCAGCCGAACCGCAGCAGATATGCAAACGTCGCCGCCGCCCAGCATATCGACGGCTGCCTCTACTGAGCCCACAGGTCTAGGGCCACGGAGGTCCATCCGATGGAGTATCCAAGCTACGTTTCGCTTCGCACATCTGGCGCTCTGGGCGTCGTGTCTAGCCTCGTGCTCGCGGCGTTCACTTTCTCGGTTCAATTTCGTAGTTCGAAAGGATTGTGCAGACATCCAATTAACGCTGGAGGAGAGCTCATTGGCGACAGCATAGGTCAAGACCATAGCAGACCTTCTGAATGCTTGTTTGTATTAGCAGACGCACAATGCGAGTCGGCTCATCAATCGAACATAGGTAGCGGTCACCGATGTTCGAGACTTGGGGAGAGGCTGTGCACTTTCAAAAGCACAATGAGTGCAATCATTTTTGGCAGTCTTGCCGCGCACTTACTCTTTGTTTTACTCCTCTCTTGCGGTCACCACTCGCCCGTCTCTGCTTTCCAACACCCGAATACAAAGCGACAAAGATGAAGTCATCGATTCTCTTGACGATAGTTGCCTCCTACATCTCCTGCACCAATGCAGCAGCCTGCTTCTCTGCTGGACACCTGCAAAATGGTTGCCAGGAGCCACAATCATGGTCATGGACTGTGCGTATTGAAGCCTGAACACGTGTCAGCGACCTGGAACTCTGACAAGACTCTGCACGTAGTGCGTGCCCAGCGAAGGAGATCCTTCCATGGCCAAGGGTCCTCCAAAGAATGCTTGCACCTACAAAGCAACTCAAGAGTCCTCCTACAAGCAATATTGCGTATGTGTCAACCCGTGGACCAGTTGTACGACTTGAAGCTTATACTGGCTTGTAGTGTGCGGAAGATGGACCATACAGCATCGAATAGAGAACGAGCGAGAGGATGATAGGGTGACGCAGTCGAGGTCGACCAGACGGCGATGACTGCTCTGTAGTGATCTTGTATGCAAACCATTCTTGTCTTACAAGAGCTCATCCCTAAGACACGTTCAGATTAGCTCTTTCTTTCGGGAGCAAGATGAAGGTGCAAAGACCAATTGACCACAATGCTTGAGCGATACGAAACACATCGTCTCGCTACAGAAAGGTCAGAGCTTTACAACTCCGCTGCCAAAGCTTCGTGTTTTGCTGAGGGGTATGCGACTGACCTGTTGAAGAGACCGACTATTGCCGGCGAGATCTTCCCTCCTCTCTTATGTTTAAGCGTTCGCAATAGGTCTTGTTGGCCTCCCCACCGCCTCCTCGCCTCGAACCGCGATCTGTCATGGCTTCAAGCCCGAGAGACAATGTTTGGCTTGACCACAGTTCAGATAGCTTTCTTCATTCCAAATCACGGTGCATCATATACTTGCCGTCTGCGAGACTCTCGTCGTCCCGAGCCTCGATGTCGAAGTGTTTCGTTCGTCGCTCAGCTTGGTCGCTAGGGAACGGATGATATGTTTCGGAGCGATCACGATTGCGTTGCACTCTTCGTTGCTTGTCTTCGAAGCACGATCCAAGCTGCCCTCTCTTCTGCTCAGCCCGAGATCAGTGGTTTATCGTATCGGATACGTGCTATGCGGGCAGTACTGGAAGGGCAATCAGCATCTCGAAGCGTTTGTCCCATATAGGGACAGAAACGAAAGCGATGCGAGCTTCGTTGATGGTATCGCTTTCGCACTCATTCTGTAACACTAGTCAGCTTACGCTGCGAGGGTGTTCAGAATTTTGTAGGCACTCCTTTCCACGCTTTGCGGAGCAAGATCTGGAGGAGAGAGGGTTCATCTGGTAGGAGAGTGGTAAAGCGGCATCGACGAAGGCCCGCAAGTAGGCTATTCTTGAGGCCTTGTAGATTTCTGGGAACAAAATTTTGTAGTACTCATCGGTTCGAACGTACCTCGAGTTTGCGTTGCTATCCAGCCGTGACAAGGCTTGTCATCCTTCTCACACAAGCTAGCTCCACTACACGTGGGCTTGCTTCGAAGGACCTATTGGCAACGTTTAGAGGTAGGTGTAGTAGGACCGATAAAGGCAAGGAGGAGGGCTGTTGTCTTAGCTCCAAAGATTTCTAGTGAGTGGAGCTCTAGGTCAGTGCTGTATGTCAAGCAGTGCCCGTAGGCCAGGCAAGCTGTATAGCGCTAGCCAATGATATTGATCCAATGCATGATGCTGAGTAAAGGGAATTTGAGTAGATCGTACTAAGACAACCCTTAGTGAGCAGATGACGGCCTTGAAACTTGCCAATCTGAGAAAGCCGGAGGTCCAGTAGAGCGGCACAAGCATCAAGCCTGCGATGCCAAGCGGCTAGAGGCGTGAGATATAGGTGACAAGTCATACAAACATGACATTTTATCGCTTTACGCACGTTCCATGAGCTCGAGAGACCGACCGCTTACATATCAACAATCTGGGAGCAAGAGGAGGCATCTGTAGCACTCTCTCGTGCCCCGCAACGGTCCTGAGACTGACGTTTGGGCACTAGCCATCGTTATACTCTCTAGATGACAGTATTTACATTTGCCTATAAGCAGTCGTGTTTCAGAATGTTCGGTTAGGCCTCTTGCCTGCGAAACCCTACCATTTTCCCATGTACCCTATAGGGCTGTGTCAAATTCGTCACAAGCTTACGTTGAGCACATGGGTGTAAGCTTTGATCTGGACGAAGCAATTCGTCATCAACCCCCCCTGGATAGCGATGCAAGGGAAAGGCCTCTTCTAAGCAGATTCGGGGATGCAAGTACTGACTGCTAGAGTTGTCGCAAAAGTCTAAATGCCAAGGAGTTGATCTGTACCTTGCCTTCTGTGTCCCATATAGAGATGACGGCTTGTATAGAGGCCGATTGCCTACCCAATAATTATCAATGTAAGCACTACTTCGGGTTACTTAAAGGCCCGCCGAAGTGAGGCATCTCCCTGCTGCAAGCACGCCAAGAGGGAGCAATGCATTTACAGCCATCCAGAACCCCAACCGTGGGAATTTGCATGTTGTTGAGCTGTATTAGTAGTGGCATTTCACCATACATGAACTATGGGAGGACCTCGCACGATGTAATGACCCTTTTGCGAGACTATTTCCATATGTAAATGCAAAGAGAGCCACATGCAAGACGGTTTGAACAAGAATACGGCCGCAGTGTCGAACCCAGTCTGTGATCCAGCTCAGCAATAGGGATTGCAATCCATGCCTAAGTACTATCTTTGTCGACATTCTCGTCACACAATGTCTTCGGCTTGACCTCGTCAGGGAGGCTCAACGAGCCACTGTTTGAATACTAGCAAGCATAAGCGTCAGCAATCCATGGTTGTACGGCCGTTTCACTTGCCAGGAGATACACAATTGCCTCACGAGCAAGTCCGGCGTTGGCCGCAGCACAGGTATTGCTCGTATTCTGCCGCCGGCGACGATGGAATGCAGCGGCACAGTCGGCTCTCAACCAATATATAAGACAGTCCATCGACTGTCAAGTTGAAAGAAGCATCAGACACAACGACACAACACATCTCCGAACAACAACACTTCAACCGCCACAATAGTCAACTTCATCTCCATCTTCGCTTCCGTCTTGGGATTGACCTCCCTCGCGGTATGATTTACACCTCTTGGAGAACAGATGAACATTGTTAATGGTTCTGAACAGATGGCTTGCAAGCAATCGGCCTGCTGCTACAGGGTAGACTTCGCTGCAAGGGACGCTTACAGTTGTGACGATAGCTGACCAATTCTTAGGATCAATGCAGCGGCGAAATCCTTCAAGACTGCGGCGCTAAGTGCTGCAGCACCAACCCAAGAATGGAAAACCGTGGTCAGGGCGAGCAGCTGTACTACTACGGTGTCGCCTGCGCCACATAGATGGCTGCATACGCACCTACAATGGCGGAGACGATGCCCCTGGGTGGGGAGGGATTGGTGGTAGCAGGTGAGTATCTAGGTGGGTGTGGGCATCTTTCGCATGAGAAGGGAACGAAGCTGGAGGAGGCCAAGCTATTTCTAGCAACCCAAAGGTCGGGCACGCCCAGGCACTACCTTTCAACTAACACAAAAACCCGTAGCAATCAACCAAATATTTGCTACATCCTGTCGCTCGGAACGTTATCACAGCCCTACCTCTTTTGTTGACCGTCGTGAGACAACACCGGTCGACAAAGTAAATCGACCGGATCTGGTTTCACGTGAGAATCATGGTCGATCAATGCAATCATATCGTTTTCATTCATAAAGCTAGCTTTGCGTCGATCGTCGACGCCCATACCTGGTCAGTGGAAGAGTGCTCGCGTACCGCCGCGGCCGTGCAGCCACTCGATGGCATACAGAGCATCATATCTTCTCGACCCAGTGAACCCATCATGTCGCCGCAGGGCTAGTGCCTTTGATGCAGCGTGCGAATGGAAACAGCGCAGTGCACAGTGAAACCTCGCTCATTTGACCGAAGCACCTGGATGTTGGGAGTCCCGCCCGTCATTGTCGAACGTGTTATGCGTACGTCGGGCAGTCTTCGAGTTGGTGGGAAAAGCAGGTCATTTAGGCCAACTCGGAGTCAGTGAAGACCATCTGTTCATTTGCCTCGCGACCATCCTCGAGAGCGCGCTTGGCGTTGGATGGGTCGCCGGTCCACTATTGTCAAGTCAGCTTAATTCAAAATGCACTCGTGAAGGTGTCAACTTACGTAGTTGGGACGCGGGTACTCGCCCGAGTGGCAGATGCCCTCATGCCAGAAGGGAACAGTCGGGAAGACGTGCTGAAGAGCGTTGACGAGCTGCTCGTTGTTGCGGTCGTCCTTACGCTGGTTGTCGAGGACGTCTGGTGTCTCGAACTGCAGAGAGGTCTGGTCGCCCTCGATGCGAGAGCAGGCGAAGCCAGAGCCAGCGTTGATGAGGACGTAGACAATCATCTCGCGGAGCAGGTCGTGGCACTCGGGGTCGGCTGGTGGTGGGACGCCGACGTTGAGGACGTAGAAGCGCGAGTTGTCGATCTTGTAGCTCTTGCAGGTGGCGGTATTGGGAGCAAGAGGGTCTCGCGGCAAGAGAGTGGCGGTGAGGGTGTGGTTCGACTCGGAGGTGACAGTGTCGACAGCGGCGACTGGCTGGGCGACACGAGCAGTGACTGCGCTGATGGCGCCGAGAGCAGCGACGGCAATCTTGATGAGACCCATCTTGCAGGTTGGTGGGGACGTAGCTTGATTGTTTGAAGTTGAATTGGTGTTGAAGGGAGTAGGTGCGGTGAAGATGAGTGCGACTTGTGTTCGTGGTTGTCAGTGTGTTAGGTGGTCAGGTTGATGGGAAGCGGTGGAAGTTCTTTTGTGCTCGCCGTGCATGTGACAAGGGTCCAAGAAGTGAACGGCTCAGAGGTGAACAGCATATGAAAGCACTCATGTGAGAACGCGAGTAAATGGGCTGACAAGGTTCGGACAGTTGATCTGCTCGTCTGAGATTGTTGCACTGGACAGATGAGACATATTCGGACGGGCTTGAGTCTTTCGAGAACGCCATGGCACGCAGTGTGTGATCCACCTCATTCTCCCTTCGATGAGCCAGCTCTGACATCTGTCTTCAGAATTGGTTCATCATCGGACTATGATCGCCAATTCCTTTCATGACATGATGAACGAAACACCTCCAGCAGCCATCAACCTTTCGGAATTTGAACTCGTTCATAAGAATCGTCTTCACCCCTTCTGGCGCTCCAGTAATCTCCGACTCCATGTAGACAGTCGCCTCTCCTCTCTCCTCCTTGACTTCAGAATTGATGTTCTTGACTTCGGCATGATATGCTGGGAAAGCTTCGATGGTCTGCCGTAGGAGAGTACTGTGCTCGAGAAGTGTCAACGGGTGCGGGAAGTTCTCAAAATGTGCTCTGAAGCTTGGAGCGACGCATTTGTGGAGATCGTTGTTCTCATAGTCAAAATCGCGGTCGTTGATTGCCAGCACTCCGCTGACACATATCGATTCTAGGTACTGGGCCACGCTCTGGCCTGGCGCTGGAACACCAGCAGAATGTGCTGTAGTTGAGGACGATTCGCCACTCTGCTCGGAAGCAGGTGTTGCGCTTGAGGAAACACCCGGGGACTCTGGAAAGGACATATTGTACCCTCGATCTTGACTGGGTAGATCAACACATATATTGTCTCGTGCACCCTCTGGTCGTTGCTGCGCTGATTGAAGCGCCTTTGAGTACGCTGGAACTTCAGCGTATTCACAGGCTGACTGCCGGAAAATCTTCACATCGTCAGCGTCCTCTGCTGACTTCTTCAGTACATGTATGCGCACAAACCACGAACCTGATCAAAGTCTTGATTCAAGGCCAAATTTCGACCTTCAGTGAGTTTTCGGGCGAGGCTGGTTCTGCCTTGTTCCTGCGTGGAATGGTCTTGATTGCTCTTTCAAGCTCGAATCTCATATGTTGCTATGCTTTGCTATGCATCTCGTCGTTTCACGACTTTCTGTACCGGATTCCACGCATTTCTCCTCGTGGAAGCCGGAGATATTCATGCTGTACCGCGGGCGAACAAAGCACGAAATAGAGTTCCACCAGCGCCACCTGATTTGGCATGCAGGTGTCAAGGGTGCCCACTCCGTTCAATGACTGCCCAACCATGGCGACGTGAGCTTGGTTGCTTCCTCGGACCTAAGCGAGCTACTTCACCGGTGAGGGGTGTTCGTGTTCATGCAGAGGCATGACGAAAAGTTGGAGAGCGTGAAAGTCGACGTGGAATCGCGTGTATATATGCTGTGGTCTTGGTGTGCATTGGCATTCCTGCCCTCGATCCTCCGGGCGAGGAAGTCGGGCCATGGAGCAGCTAGCTTGAGCAGGTCTGGTTGTTGGGTCCGGCTGTACCAATGACAGACACAATGGATAGGTTGACGCACGGTGACGGACGTGGAGGAAGGGTCAAGAGCGGTCAGTTTTCACGAAATTGGATGCCTGAATTGCTGCCTCACGCTGGCAAGAACCGCCCGTCCTCTCGCTCCCAAGTTCCAACAAGGACTTCTACGATGCTTAATCAGCCCTCGCCAGGCGAAGAGGACAACCTGTTTGGCTGCTGTGAGCCTCCAGCCGTTTCTGCAAAGCAGTGCTTTCTGCTCCAAAATCGGATCCGCTGGAGCAGAGGCCACTTGGCATTTCAGCATGTCACTGTAGAGTCGTTAGCGTAAGGGGACCAACTGATGAGCACCGAGAGGCCTGTTGAATGCAAAAGTCTCTTCAATTCGTGAACAGGCCGCAGCCATGCCATGCGTCTATCGTCGCGCAATCGCTGCACTATGCAAGGACGCTCATCATCAACTTCCACTCGCAGCACAACAAGATCCTTCGAGACAACCTCAGGCCTTTCCACCTTTCTTGCCTCCGCGGCCACCTCGTGCAGCCTTCTGTGCTTGTTGACGCTCGAGTCTCGCCATCTGCTCCTTCTTCTCCTTGTCAATTAATTCACGCTCTTGCTTCTCGGCCTCCTTGCGTGCAGCAGCTTCAGCTCTCTGCTCTCGCACCAATTTCAGCCGCTCCAGATCTGCTCGGGCCTCCTCCGTCTTGCCTTCCGCATGCAGCTTCTGGTATCTTTCCTTTGCTTGCTGAGCCTGCAGTGCCTCTCGCTCACGCCTCGACAGTTGTGAGAGGTCGCCAGTCTTCTTCGCCTTTGCGGTCTGCTTCTCCGCGTCTTCTGCGCTCGGTGGTGCTTTGTCCGCCTGCTTTCGAGCGGATGCACTGTGGTTTGGATTCGCAGGCATATCATCATCCTCATCCTCATCGTCATCACTTGGTGGCAGATCACCAGCCTCGACGACTCCCTGCTTCTTCTTGATCGCAGCCTCCTTCTTTGCCTTTGCCGCGGCTCGTCGCTCCTCACGTGTCATCTCCTTTTGCTGAGAGGCTGGTCCGCCTTCCTCCTCGCTTGACTCCTCCTCTGAAGAATCTTCCTCCTCTGAAGAGTCGTCATCGTCTTGCTCCGCCGGGTCTGCCCACATGGAGCTTTCTGCTCCATCTGCATCGAGGGGAGCGAGGTTCTTGCTAAAGTGACGTCCTCCTGGAGATGTGTCAGTGTATGTACACGCTGACGTGTTGTGTTGGATCCTTACCTCCTCGCTTTGCCTTGCCGAACTTGCCAGCGCGGCCTCTCGTGGCGCCTCTCGACGACATGTTGTGTGCTCGTTGGCGGGGTATTCGAAAAGTGCTCGAGGGGTTGGTGGGGTATTGTTGTCGGAGTCAAAGGACGTGGAAGGCCGTGGTGGTTCTTCGTCGCAGGTAAGTTGGATGTCCTGACTGACTGCTCCTGTAAGGCTAGAAAACCAAGAGTAGTCTAAATAGTGAACGAGGATCGAGTCACAAATGCGTTGCTTTGTGGTGAATACGTAACTTGTGATAGGCCGGTCCCTTAGTCGCTGCTGCCCCAATTCCCCACTGTTGCCAAGAACGGCACGTGGCCGCGGACATGACTTGGACGCGTTTTTTCCTTCGCGCGGCTTTCTCTTTTCCTTCCATACATAAACTGAATTCCTTCCTATTCACTGTACCGACCAAACCACTGGTTGATTAGAGGGGAAAGGACGGATAGATGGATGGACACAACCCGTTGGCTTACCTCTGCCGCTTCGAATTACGTGGAGCGGGAGCAAATATATTTGACGGTACAAATCAGCGGTAGACTCGTGGACCTGTAATGACAGGCAAAGCAGCACTGCAAGACCATATGCTCTGGACAAGATCGTGAACGTCCGAGCCGTCAGCAGAAGTGGCCTGGTCAGCCTGGGATGGGTCTCAGTCCGCTCATTGCCAGTGTAATACTGCAGGCTCTTTTGACATGAGCTGGCCTTCACTCTTCCTCATTTGTTCTTGCCGATGGTGTGAACGTGTTGCACCAGCCAGCACTTCGTCTGCATCTTTCTCAAGTTTACCATGACTTCCGACTATCGTCACTGCTACTTCCATTGGCATTCAGCTGCCTTTGCCATCGGATCTCGCGGCGGACACTCCATAACTGGGCTCTGATAATGCAAGCTTCCAATGAAGCAGTTGTGAGCATGCACTTGTGGAGAGAGACAGATTTGTGCAAAGCAACTATGTGCTGTTGAGCATTTTTCTGGTTCTGCACACGACATAGCCAAACTATCATATATCCACAGTACCATATAGTCGCGCTGCTCGAAGTCCAGATTTCCGCAGCTTTCCGCCTGTGAGCATCTCATTCACCACATCATCTTTCTCCTCTACCTGCAGCGAATCTGCATCAGCAGCCTCATCATAGCAACCTTGCCGCCAGCCATGGGACCCTCTCCAGTACGTGTGACAATACCGCCCTGAGAAATATAAAGCCAGCTCTTGAGCTTACAGACACCACAAAGCTCCGGCCAAGAGGCGTCAATCCAACGTTCTGGGTCGACCTCATGAACATTGTCTTAACGATCGCAACGTCGATCCTCTTATTCTTAGTGGTCATTTTCGCCGCCGTGTTTCTTTTCAAATTCTGCAACGATACTATTCGAAACCGGAACAAGGAAATCGAGGAGAGCAAAACACGAAAGGTAACGTGCTCAGCTGCCTTCGATTCTGTTTGAGAAGGATTGAGAACTGACGAGTGATCGATAGCAACTTGAATCGCTTGTCACGGAAACGAGGAGACTGCTTCAGGCAATTGAAGATGCTCGCATGAATCGAAGAATTGACGAATTGCAAGCAGACCTTGAGGACTCGAGTCTAAAACTGGAAGACCTGGGTAAGGAGCCTTACGCCGGACAGGCCTGTGCAACACAGCTGCGAGTGGGCAAGGGCATGCTCTTGCGGATATAGTTGTCTGGATCGTGAGAGAAGGCGATGCACGAGGACACATGATGCTACTCGCGGTGTCAGCCGCACCAGGGAGGTCCAGAGCAAACAGATACAGAGGATCACATTCAGGAGTAGTACATGTCAGAAGCAGGTAAAAGGTCACTGCGAAATTCTGTACACCATAGTATTCGGTATAATGCCTGTCTAACGCTGAACGCTCCACAAAAATGACATCGTGGTAGTCATGGCAGTAATCGCTTCGTCTCCAACTGGGTATCATGCATGCTTTTCTCTGTGCACATTTCGCTGCTGCGCTGCTCCTTCTCTGCACTCTGCTGCTCAGCTAACAGGTAGCTTCTCAATCAATCATCTTCTCTGAACAGAATCTCTCCATCTACCCTGCAAATGCGAACCGACTCAGGTTGAGAGCCGGTTTCTTGCCCTCATCTGAAGCCTCGCTCGGGCTCTCTGGCACGAGCAGGTCTTCGCTGCCCTTCACCGGTAATTCTGACAATGCATGGCCGAATAAAGCTGGCTCTTTCTCCACGTCCCGCCACTTATCCTCGTTGATGACTGCGCTGTCGGCTTCTGCCTCATCGGAGCGAAACTCGACAGCTGGCAATCCTGGGGGCGACTCAAGCACAATGCCGCTATCGTCAATGTCCGCGGGGCTCTGTTCGACTTTCGGACTGAGGAGCAGTGTTGAAGACTGTTTGACTGGCGTACGAGAGAACAATGGGGCAGAAGCTGTGCGCGAGAGTGTCTTCTTCCCTATCAATGTCTCGCCGTATCTCATGGCCTCGAAGTCAAGGCGAACGCCCTTGCTGAAGACGCTGTGTTCTTGTGTGCTGCTACTGACGGACGTTGCTGTCGTGCTGAAAGACGCTTGCGACTGAGTACTTGTCTCGCTGGTGTCCACCGTCGACTGTGAGGTTGTGGCATCGTTACCATCTGCGAACACTTGTAGCTTCTTTCTCTTCCGGGGAGACGACAACGCGGGGACGGCGGTCTTCTCGGAAGAGTCCGCATCATTCTTGACATTGGTCTTCTCGATGAGCTCTGGGTCTTGAGTCACTGCCGCAAGCGCCTCAGCAACAGAATCGTCCGACCACAAGTCGAACTCCTCCGTTACACGCCTGGACTTGCGACGCACTGACGGACTAGGCTGTGCTGCAGCTTTGGCAAAGAACTTGCTCGTGGCTGACTCAACGCCCTGGCCTCCTTTCATGGCGGCGGTGATGCCAGAGTCTGAGCATAAGCGTTGCCGCTTTGGAGAAGCTCGATGAGTTGGAAAAGGATCAGTAACAGTGCGGCGGGAAATCTGTGGTGCTGAAGACGGTGGTTGTACATTGGCGGTGCGCAAGCCACCAAAGAAACGCGGAGCCGGTACGCGTGAGGCAGATTGGGTCCCAGTCACAGGCGTAGTAGACCACGAGGTTGGCCCTTGTTGGTCGAGGAGTCGCAGTTGGCTGGGCGTGAGGGAGAGGGAGTTGGGATCGAGCTCAGCAAGAGGGACGCGGCGTGCTTTAAAGAATTCGTCGATGGGTCTGCCGGCGTGCTTCTCGAGGGGAGCTGATACTGTGCGTCTCGGTGGTGGTTGCCAGAGTCTGTTGAATGTGTTCGGGAGCACGATCGGCTTCTTAGTGTTGGGATCAAGGTCGCCGCAAGCCACGCCTGCAGCTACATCGGACTCGACATAGCTGCCAATGTATGGCATAGACTCTGCAGTCAGGCCTGTGGGGAGCGGATTGAGATTGACGAGACAATTGGCTTCCGGACAGAAGACCCATTGGTGCAGGAATGTCCTCTCTGCCCGGTAGAATTGCTCCAGATAGTCTTTGGGCACTCTCATCTTGCCGTCGAACTGCACTGTCCGGACGATTCGCTCCACGGTTTTATGCTTGCGGACCAGGCGGTAGGCAGTCTTCAAGCCCATCTTGTCAATGCCTGCCAAGTAGTCGCAGCCACTGAGCATGGTCATCATGCGAAACTCCTTGTCAGTCCAGCCTACCAGGCTGACGTCGCGGACAGAAGTGAAGTCGGCGCGGTTGACCATGATGCATTCGCCGTACTGGTCGAGCTTGGTGAGAAGGCACTTGACGCCAAAGACCAGGAGATCGGAGTCTTCGCTGATGACACCATTGATGTGACCCTGCTTCTCGAGATATGCCAGCTGGCTGTCGGCTTCGTACGGCGCGACGACGTATGTCACCCCCAATTTCTTGAGCTCCTCAATGATCTCGCGTGCCATTGCCGGAGTGACGTCCACAGCTTTCTGCAGTTCCAATTGGGCTTGCGAAGGCCGGCCCATTCTCAACATCTCCAATCCCACTCGCTTGCTCTCCTTCCGCCGCGCCGCCCGCTCCTTCTCGGTGTGTGACTTACTCGGCAGATAGTCGCCATCGAAGACCAGGTATGGCTTCACGCCGAAGTGGATCAGCATCCGAACGCGGTGCAGCACGAAGTCGATGTGCTTGCGGGTTGGTTTCCCCTCGGCCAGCTCAATGGCACAGGCGACGGTGCCGCGGTGCAGCCAGCCATAGGCGTCGACTCCGAGCGTCTGGCCGGCGAAGTTGCGCAAGTGGGTGGGCTTATGGATGCTCTTGAGCAGCGGCAAGAGTCCTGTTGGGCGGCGTCAATGGTGATCAGGGGAGGGGAGTGCGGTGGAGAGGAGGCGCTCACCTTGAATGCCCATGATGTCTGTATTGTTAGTATCCCGTCGCGGTCATATCGTATTGTCGTGCTATTGTCCTGCACTCTCGAGCTGCAGCGGTCATGGGTCGGGAAGTGCTGGTGGAGTTGCGGCGCGTCAAACGCCAGCAGGCACGCGTCGATCCGGGTCGCGCCAAGAAACTGACGTGCGTAGCCTTGGAGCCTCAGCCAAAATTTCCAGAGGCAAGTCCCAAATCGACAACACCGGAAGAAAGCAGTCAAGATGCCGTCGAAACACAGCAAGATCGTCAAGCACGTTCACAAGAAGAAGGGTGCCAAAATCAACGCCCTCCATGAGAACAGTCGCGATGCCAAAAGGATTCGAAATGCTGGTGCCCGAGACGAGCGGGTCGCAAATATCAACGCTACCCGTCAGAAGCAGAATCGTCCTTGGTTGGACCGGGTAGCATTTTTCCAAGACAGACTCCCGGAGACCCTGCATCCACTTGATCTTGATCAAATCAAGTCCGATATTGCAGAGTATCTCAGTCGACACGACGAGGAATTGGCATCTCTGAAAGCAGAGAGGCGGCCAGGCAGGCCTCCGAGCAACCGACAACTTTTGCTGGAGCAGGCGATCAATTCAGAGCAGCAGGAGTTCGAGAGCGGATTCTGGGTGCCGGATCTGCAGGACGAAGGAACGTTGATGAAGCTGGACGCCTGGAAAGGCAGCTGGCTTGAGTTGGGCGTGTTGCGCTTTGTGAGGGTCGACAAGGACGGTGTGGTGAAGGAGAGCTCATTCCCGCCGAGAGGTGCCTCGTGAAATACGAACGACTCAACCCACATCTGGACGAATACTGGAAGACCCGTTGGCGATGGTCGATACTGCAAGTCGGGAAGCCAATCCACTGCGCCAAAGCGGGCGCAGCACGTGCTCTGGAAGGACCTCGCCCTTTTCGAGGACGTATCGTATCCACAGACACTCTGATTGCTAAAAAGTCTTTGATCGCAAATGTCTGTCGCCAATCTTCTAAGCTGGCTCGCGGATGGTCTGTCCGCGCCCAGCTACAGCCAGGAGGATACCCACGCATTGAAGCACAGAACGCCCAGGGCTCTCGAGCATGATATCTCTGCATGTAATCGTGCTCTGCAAGAAGACAACTGTACTGTGCAGTGGCTTACCTTGTCGCAATAGTCTCGTCGACTCGGCGGACTGAAGCCGTGGAAGCTCCATGAGCGCAGCGGACATCAGTTTACGCATCAAGCATCTGCGCATGCAGCCGCGCACAGAATCGCTCAGGCCATTCTCGATGAACCTCATGCTTCGGGCAACGCGATGCGTATCTTTTTCTGGCCCGCGCCTGAAGCATTAGTCATCGGCACGACGATGGCCGTAATTCAGACCAATATGCCAAACGCCGCGATATTGAACGCCGAAAACTCCGTACATCACTCCCAGCACCAAGTCAATTCTGTAAGGATCTATCATGTATTCTCTACTCCTCTAACTTGTAGTCCCGTTCTGCAATGCAGCCAACGATTCCTCCTTATCGGGCTCAATTCGGTCCTTCCTCACAGTTTCCCATTCCCAGAGAACAGATCATCCTCGGTACTCGTGGGCCCATACCCTCCTGCAACAGCAACCTCCTTGCCCTTCTGCTGCTTCAGAAAACATTCGTCCTTCTCCACCCACTCTGGATCGAACGTGAAGATTCTGACCTCCGCATTTCTCCAACCATACCCACTTGGCCCATTGGCATCGCAAGTGACCTCTCTCAAAATATCCCCATGTCCGACAAGAACAATTGTCTCCTCAGGGCGGTCTCTCAACCATTGGCGAACCCACTCTGCGCGTTTAGCAATCAAGCCCCGATCCGCAGACCAGAAGCCTTTCTTGGAAGTCCAGTCCTCTGGAAGATGAGAGAAATCGAATCCTTCGAGTTCGGGGTCTTTGGAAAGAGTGCTGGCGGAGGATCCCGTGTCACAAGGAAAATCGTTACACTCCTGGAACTCAGGTACGAGAGCTACTTTCGATAGTCCGCCTAGACGGTCTATGGCAGGACCCCACCCGAGCTTTGTTGTCTGGAGTGTTCGCTTAAGAGGTGAGGTGGCAACGAGGTCGACTTCCTTTGCAATTTCGGAGATTTGTGGAACGAGAGCTTGGGCTTGTTTCTTGCCGAGGGCTGTCAGAGGGGCGTCATGGACTGTAGCATTTGTTAGATCGGGGGCAATAGCAAGTTTATCTTGGAAATGGTGAGGGAAAACTCACTGGTATAGTCAAGGTCTACATTATGTTCTGCTTGTGCGTGCCGAGTAAGAATGATGCGAGAATTCGGTGCCATTTTGAGCTGCGTGCAAACAGAATCTATGCTCTATTGTGAAATTGGATGTCTATGTAACGTAGAATAGTGAGTAGTCGGAATGAATCATGGCCGCTACAAAAGTTTTGGGACAGCTGTGACGACACAGCTGTCGGGTTACCGTGTGAAGTCATGCCGAAAAGTGAGTCCAGGGTCTCATGCCAGGGTGAAGAACGTCCGAGATGACTCAGCACTACTTTTCCTGATGCCGCAGGCTTGAACGTAGTTGCATACTCAGATTAATACAGCATACTTCGCGATACTCTTCCAGATTACAGCTGAGCTCAATTTTTATGAGCTGGTGTTATCGCAAAAAGCTTATTGAACATATTCTTCGGATCATATTTCGCCTTGATGCTCTGGAGCTGTTCATAGTGATCACCAAAGACATCCTTGGAGATCTCGTCGTATTGCTGTTCTCAAAGGTCAGTCATGCGCAAAGTGGACATATCTATGAATTTACTCACATCGTAATTGCCATACAGCATTGTCGCCCCCTTCTTGCCTCGTCGGCTGGCACTCTCCACGCCCTTGTTTGTCTCTTGATCTTGTCTCGCCAGCTCTGCTTTGAACAAATTCGAGACGTCCCGCGCCCATTGTCGACAGATTGCATCGTTGGCTTTATCTTTCCAGCTCGGCATGACCAGACCATTTAGATGGTAGCCTCTGTTTGCAAAGCTGCCGTTATCGAACTCATTCACTTTAATCGCATCATAGAACTCAAATGCCACAAGGCCTGCGGCAGCATCGGGAACGTCGGCGACAAACTTTTCAAACGAAGCAGCGACTTCGAGGACGAATCTTGGTCGAAGTGGTGCGAAGAAAGCTGCGCCTTTCATGCTGCTGCGGAAGCCACTTTCCGTAGGTACAAGATTGTTAACCTTTGGGTATGGCGACATAGCCACGGTGTTGACGACTGGGCCAATATCTAGGAACGGCTTGAGCAGTTCTCTACCTTCACCCTCATTGGCAATACTTGGTGCGGCAACCAGAAGAAGCAGCATGGTGTGGCCACCAGCTGGTGGCGGCTTCGCGATTGCGAGGAGAGATCCGAGCCGCCCTCCTGCTTTGGTCTTAGGGCCATTGACAGTTTCTCTGACCTTGAACAGATCATTCAGGGCGCTGACGACCTTCTCAACAATTTCAGGTGTTGTCGGAAATAGTAGCATGCCTGCATAGGCTTCTCCTTGGGGATATGCTTTGAGCACGAACTCTGTAGCAACACCAAAATTCTGTCCGGCGCCTCGCAATGCCCAGAAGAGATCCGGACACTCGGTCTCACTGGCCTTGACAATATCGCCATTGGCGAGAACGGTCGTGATGCTGACAACATTATCGATTGTAAGGCCATACTTTCCGCTGAGGTGCCCGTAGCCTCCACCAAGCAATAGTCCTCCGACTCCTGTATCAGCAACGGTGCCGCCTACAGTTGCTAGGCCGTGTTCCCAAGCAGCCGAATCGACATGATGCCAGAGAGCGCCGCCTTCGACATAGAGCAACTTCTTCTCTGGATCGACGCGTACATTTCGCATGCGGGCGAGATCGATATTGATTCCACCATCCGTGCTGCTCGCGCCTGCTGTTGAGTGGCCACCACCCTTCACTGCAACATCGATCCCGTTCTGCGATGCATACTTGAGCGTGATGGACACCTCCTCAGCTGTGGTAGGCTGTATCGATACTCCTGCAGGTTTCTCCGCTGCTCGACTCCATCGCTTGATAGTCGCAGCATATCCGTCGTCATCTGGTCCGAAAGTGTAGGCTTTAGTCTGAGCCAGTGCCGCGCGTAAGGCCTCTACATCTGCGCTTGTGGCACTGCGTAATGTCGCCATATCGAGGGCTTTTCCGCTGAGCTAGTTTCTTTACCCTTTCAAGTCGCCTTGGTGAAGCTTGTGTTGAACTCAGAGTACGGTAGATGGAGGCAAGCCTCGACTTTGTATGAAAGTACAGTTGCTTCGCAGGAACCGGAACCTTACCACTGTCCGTAAGCCTCAATCCTATGCCCTCAATCTGAATCCTGCGATCGTCGTCAGCTGAAAAAGTGTCTGCGTATTTGCTTCGTCGGGAGACCGAAGCGTGCAGAGCAGATGAAGACTTCGCTTTCAGCTCGACGGCCCGTGTGAGATGCTATATCTCTGCAGCTCAGAGAGGTAAGCAGCAGATGGCATGAGGTCCCTGGAGACTGGCAGACGCCGGGAAGTGTGTTACAAATAATTTGCGGTCACAGTGACCAGTAGCAACAACACAACTACGTGGATTTCTCAGAAGGCGAATGATTCCTGCTGCTGCATCGGGCAGACCTTGAAGCAGGCTTGCAATCCTCGGCGGCGGGTGAGGGGTGGCTCTCCACTTGTGTGCATCGCTTAAGCCATGGGAGACTGGGATGTCGACAATGATTTATGAACATTTACTGTTCTCTGAGATGCGGATGACGGTGTCCTTGCGCTTTCGATGCTCTGTATCCACGTTCATGAAGGAAAGAGAACGGTGACGATCTGAGCTCAATGCGATCTGCCCGAGTGGACTGGCATTCAAAAGTCGAGAGACTGCACATCCAAGAATTGAAATTCGGCATATGGGAAACCACAATGTTTTTGCATAGAGCCAATTGTGATATTGGATCGCACTATAGCATAGTCTCTGGCGCGACTGACAACTGGCAGCCGTCAATGCCACACTACCTCTGCTGACAAGAAGGAGAGCAGAAGTCCTCTCATTCAATTTCGCCTTCCATAGCCAATACACATCCTATCACTTCGGCAACGGAGAGTCTCCGAACAACTTCGACATCATGGCGGGTGGGTAGCGTTCGCCTTTCATGCCTCCTATACTCCCGATGGCCTTGCGAATCTCCTGATCGTCCTCCTTCGTAAGCTGAACATCGATTGCCTTGGCATTTTCCTCGAGATACTTGATTCGCTTCGTTCCGGGGATCGGAATGAAATCGTCCCTGTGATAGATCAGCTTACACATACAAGACAAATCTGGCAAAGCCGAAACATACCCTTGAGAGAGTACCCAGGCAAGAGCGAGCTGGCCCGGTGTGGCGCCTTTCTTGGTCGCGAGCTCTGTCAGCTTCGTGACAAGCTTGAGGTTGTCAGCAAAATGCTGCTCGGAGAACCTCTGGAATTCGATGAATATTAGCGCGTGTCCAAAGATCTAGCCATTTGAGACAGCAACTGGAACTTACCGGATGATTTCTCCGCCCATCGGTCTCGTCCAAATCTGCTCGGCTCTTGATAGCGCCAGTCAAGAAACCACGGCCAAGTGGGCTGTACGCCACGATCTTGACACCAAGCTCACGAGCTGTACGAAGGAAATCGGTCTGCTCAGACTCAATCTCCAAGGCGAACGGCGTGAATTCCATTTGAGCTGCAGCTATTGGGTGCACTTTGACCGCCCGTCTCAATGTCTCCGCTGAACACTCAGACAGACCCAGATAGCGAATCTTGCCTTCGTTCTTGAGCTCGACCATAGCCTGAACAGTTTCCTCGATTGGCGTCTTATCATCCACACGATGCTGGTAATACAAATCGATCTGATCGACGCCTAGTCTCTCGAGACTGTTATAGCATGCCTGCTTCACGTATTCCTTGTCACCTCTCACTTGAATGGAGCCGTCAGACCCACGCGTGTGACCGAATTTGGTGGCGAGAAAGACTTCCTTCCTCCGGCCTGTATCTTTGAAACACTTGCAAATGAGCTGTTCATTGGTATGTGGCCCGTAAACGTCGGCCGTATCCCAGAAGTTGATGCCGAGGTCGAGAGCACGCGTAAGCACTTTGGCTGATTCCTCATCATTATAGCTTTCACCAGATGTGTATGAGAAGCTCATGCCCATGCACCCTAGGCCTTGGGCGGAAACGTAGTCGTCGCCGATCTTGCGCTGTGGGTATTTCGCTGAGGCCATGTTTGAGATGGTCAGTGGTTAGTATTGAGGAGTCGGACTGTAGAAACTGGAAGACAGCAGTGTTCATGTATCGTGTTGGTTGTAAGCTCAGCAAGATGTGGTGACTGATCAGGCGGAGTAGGTCGCTAACTCCGGTATCGCCGACCAAGGCTGCTGCTGCTGCTGCTGCTCACTATGCCCGCAATAAGTGCAACGATTAGTTTCTGCTCGCAGTTTCCATCTCGATACAAGCTTCTGGGTAATGGTGGCAAACACAACTATTTGACCGAACGGGCCACTGCGGCCGAGTTGAGCTCAGCAAGACCTACGGGGGCGCGAGCCCACCGGTAGCTCTTTCATGGTGCATCTCCGCACCCATCGCTCCTGTCTTGCACTTGGGCAATTGGGACAGCTCTGCATATACAGACGGACAATAGCAACAGAGCTCAAGTACCGTGTCTCTGGAAGTGCCTGCGACACCGCTCAAGGTGACTCTAGTGTGGCCATGGCGATGCTAGACACCCACAATCGTGTCTCAAGAACCGAAACTCGACTCTTCTCTCTTCCCTCGAGGCATAAAAAGGCTGGACCTGGCAGCTGATCTTTTCTTTCCTTTCCTGCAGACATTTCCCCAAGGCTCACCTACAATATACACCAGCGGCGATGTCTTCTCGAAGGAGACAAAGCCCCGAAGACCTCGAAGGAGTTCCACGCAGACGCCTCAGGAGAAGGCGGTCGAGCATATCTCTATCGCCGACGTCTCATCATGCCGACTTTAGAGCTCCAGAGGACAACGTGCCAGCCACCAATATCCACCAGGTCTCGCTAGTTCGCGGCACTGGATCACCTTCGTTAATTGACACCTCCAGCCCTGGTGCAAAGCCCCGACAGAGGACAGATGATCGTCTGATACAACCACCTCTCAGACACAGAACACGCCTCATTCCGCCTCACCGTGCTTGGCTCCGTCGTGTCGCCCGTTCACGAGTCATCGTTGGGAGGAGTAGGCGTGGGGCAATTAGCGGAAGAGCAGGAAAGCCAGAGCCGTCTCGAACCTTAGCAAGCAGACTTCGAGAAGCAATTGGAATTTGACAGACTTGTAGGTGAATGCAGATGCTTTCAGGAACCAAAGGAGGACGAAGTTGGTCATCCCGTGGAGACCTTCGGCTGTTCAGGTACATTGACCGTGCTGCGCGGGTCGAGTGAGAGCTGCGGTCTAGTACGATTCGGCACATCGAAGTTGCTGAGCTGGTTCGTATGGCAGTGGTTGAACGGAACGATGAGTGTCCTTCCTTGGCAGGATCTCGAAGCTAGAAGCTCTCCTCCTAATACAAGCTCATAAGGTTCAAGCGATGCACTCGGCATCCCTCTCTATGCTGCGTGACGTAATGAGGAGCCATTGGAGGAGTACCTGTATTTGTTATTGCCAGTCGATTCTCCAACGTTAGTCTTCAAGCACAGAAATTGTACATCTCCTACGACTTCCAATTGCTCGGGAATTCGGCTTCACCATGTCTCGCCAATCCGTAACTTACAATCCTCCCGAGTGCCCAGAGCCTCAGCCCCAGTTCTCCCAGGTCAACACCTTCGTCTTTCAACCTGGCGACAAACTCGTTGCCATCACTGGCCAGCTCGCAATCCAGCCCGATGGAGTCAGCGAAACTCCCAAAGACTTTGAAGATCAAGTCCGTCTCGCTCTGCAGAACCTTGAAAACTGCTTAAAGGCCGCCGGTGCCACGAAACGTGATATCTTCAAAGTCACGCACCACGTTGTGGATTTCCATCCTACGAAGCAAAACCCGAGTCAAGTGTTCATTGACTGGCTTGGATGCGATCATAGGCCGGCTAGCGCGATGTTGCCTGCTTTCAGATTGGCTGGTCCGGATTGGAAGTATGAGTGAGTGTGGACATCTCTGTCTTTCCCCGTTTCCTGTATGATTGTATCGTGCTGATTGAGGTTAGGATTGAGACGTGGGCGATTGTGCCTGGAAGCAGCTAGCTTGGGAAGAGGAATAGTGCTCGATGTAGACCGGACGAAGCAAACAGTCATGTCGTTCGATAATCGGACGGATCGATGTATCTGCAATTATTAGATTCGTTTATTTAAGATCAATATTGCGAAGACCACAAAACGTCAGAGCTATCGTAGCTGCTAGCTCCTGTGATGACTCTTGAGATCGAAGGGATTGTCCATCTGGGCACATCGGATCTCAGTTCTCACTCAAGACACTCTCTGGGTCAGCCGTTCTGATTTGGGGCGCACGAAGCATTTTCGTGGTTTCCTGTACTCCCTACCTGTTGTCATTGTGCTAGACTTTACTGCAGACCATGGAAGCACATAGATGGCAGCTCGCTAACGGCCTATCATGTGCATCTCTGTTTCTGTCATTCGATCCCGGGCGCAGTACGATAATTGTGATGGCGTGCAGTGTGAGAAGGATGGGAAACGATGTTGATGTTGTCGAGGGAGACGACAGGGCAAGGACGAAATGCCAAGGCGGCTGCTCCCGCTGGCGTGTCTTGCGGGGCGGGGCTTGCGGCACGCGACAACGACAACCTCGTCGAGGCAGAAGGTGTATGCAGGTTCTGAGGCGGCACCCTTGTGGCAGCATGAGTTGGCCGACGCAGCAGGCGACCGCAGATGACGTTTGATGGCACGACACACCTTCACATGAGACCACCTGATCGAACATCACACTTCACATCACTTCCGCTCACAATAGCTCACCTACCTCAGTGCAGCTGAGCTAGCTTTGAGCTACAGACAGACAGACACTCGATCGAACGACAACAGCATGGCATCTTCAGCGCCAACAGAGGCTGGGGCGCAAGCAGCACCATCTGCGCAGTTCTCACCCAGTGAGAAATTTTTCCGCTACTTTCAGCATGAAGTAACAGGTCCGCATGCATCAGCAGCAGAACTGATCGTTCAGCCTGACTGACTATGTCGAAGATCTCCAGGAGCAGATGGCTCGTATCAGCAAGCATAGTCTAACCGGTGGCGAAAGATCTGATGCGATTGATCACTGCCTCTCGAGCATCGCAAGACTATCCAACGAAGTGCAGGATGCATCTGCATACGTGCCTGCATATGACCAGAGAACGTACGGAGAAGCGATCAAAGCACTGAACAACAAGTTACAAGACGTCCGACAAGCACATGCGCCAAAGCCCAAGTTCTCGTTCAAATCGAAGAATGGGCCTCTCTTCTCTGCTACCAAGAACGAATCGGCCATCAGTCTCACTGATGCGGCGGAGCTCGCTCATCAGCAACGACTCCAAGCTCCAGCCTACATATCCGACCTCTCCAACAACTCTAGTATGCCGGTGACGCCTGCCAATGAGTCCGCTGGCTCAGAAGATGAGGCAGCTCGCAGCAAAAGCGTCAACATCCCAACCGACACATCTCGATTCCGACAACCCTCATTCTCGACTTCCAAGTCTGTCGAAATCTCAGACCACGACGACATCCACGTTGTCCTGCCTACATCTGCTTCCCACGCGACTTCGTCAGGCACAGTCTCAAATATCAGCCACTGCGTCGTAGATCTCTCGCAACCAGCGGCCGACAAACCCTTCGCAGCACTCTACCTGAAAAACATCTCCTCCTCGCTCATAGTTTGCGGACACGTCTCCGGCGCAACAATGCTCACCAAAGTCAAAGATTCCGTCATCATTGTCGCCACGCGGCAATTTCGCATGCACGACTCCTCGAACTGCGATGTGTACCTGCTAGCTACTGGCCGGCCGATCATCGAAGACTGCAACGCAATCCGCTTCGCGCCACTACCACAGGCGTACATGCTGGAGGCCGACCGAGCAGTGGAGAACAAGTGGAGCGACGTGGATGATTTCAAGTGGCTGAGAGCAGAGCAGAGCCCGAATTGGAGTGTGATGGCGCCTGGAAAGAGAATCGAAGACAGAGTTTGGAAAGAGGTCGTACCTGGTGGACCGGAAACGAGCGTGCAGAATGTGCTGGATGCTGTCAATGTGCCGCGTCTGAATTAGACACCCGGCTGACCACATGGAGCGCAAAAGGGGCGAGACCGGTCGGCGCTGAAGCAAACGGATTTTTCACAGCATATCGGGACAGAAGGAATCAAGTGATAAAGTTGTCATCGTGGTCTGTACCCAAATTCGGGCTTAGCTGCACCCATGAGACGATTCTCGGATTCATACACACATTTAGTCGTGAAAAGCTCCTCATGCCTTGTCAAACATTCACGCTCATTCGTACATTATTCTGTTGGCCATCACAAGCAGATCTAGCCCATCCCACGCCAAAAGGATTCCCAGACTCCATTCCCTCTTTCTCAGCGGCATTTCGAATATTCTGCTGCTGCAGCTCGCCATGTCCTTCAATCCCGAATCGTGTAGTTGTAATCACAGACACCTCGCGTGATTATACTTCTGTGCTCGATGTGTCGAGTATCGTGACGGCCTTCGACGCCTGTTTCGCATGGACGACTCTCATGAACGGGCCCTGTGGTATCACAGAGAATCTTGCTTCTAAGTGTAGTCCTCATCAGCGGATCGCTCCACCGGAATCCAGAAGTCCAAAGTCACACAAAGTAGAGTATCGCATCGGTGTCCGAGCGCAGCTGTCCTCTGTTGGAGCAGCTTCTGTTGCAGGAATAGATAGTACCGACATGGTTCCTTAACCGGAGGTCCCTCATTCGACAGCAGCTTCCGCCTTCGGAGCGTACTTGTCTCCCCAAAGTTTCTGACTCGCACGCTCCGCACCGGAGCTGTCCGACTCCAGTCTTGTTCTCCGGCCCGTCTTCATCAGCGTCCAGACACGACGTACAAGGCCTGGCATCTGTGGCATAGAGCAACAGACCAAGCTCAAATAGACTTCAATATGACTCCACATCGCCAGTCCTCGGTAGTCGTAGGTCAGATTTGTGCTGTTCTTGGAATAGAGTGAAATGTACGAGATCCTGACTCCACTGCAGGCTGTGACTAGGACGACGAGTCGTGAGCAAACGGCTCGCGGAAGGGTACAGAACGCTGTTTGTCAGAGGCCGTTTGTCGGGTGAGAGAAACGAGAATATAGAAAGAGAGGTAGCGCCCTAGACAGAAGGTTCAGAAACCCTTTCTCTGCCAACTCGTCTTTCTGGAGCCGAAGGTGGGGCACGAACCCACGACCTTGAGGTTAGCCAAAACCGACGAGGAAGACGCTCAAGATACCCACCCGAGTCCTCCATGGAACCCGAGCTTTGAGAAGATTCCGTATAGGCAAGAGCAGAACTATGACATCGAAAGCGATGACAATGGTCGCGTTTGCGATTGACATGACTTTCTGGTCAATGCATGTTCCAGGCACATCTGGTTCCAGCTGACGCCAATAGCGTGATACAGGCTGGCACTGCAGCAAGACCGGGAGGAATCCCGCAGGGATGGAGAGCACCAGTAATACTGCGACCACAATGCAAGTATATCGAAATTTGTTCTTCTCTGGCCAAAGTCGTATGTACAACAGAACCAGTGAAAGCTTCGTGAGTCGTGTGGCAGTTATGTAGACGGGCTCGGCAATGTAGAACCAGAGTAGAAACTTCTCAAGTTGATAAGCGCTCAGGAACCACATATCCCGACCCAGTCCATAATAAAGGTTCATCTCGGAATCCACTGGAAATGCGACGACCGGGAAAAGGCACAGGAAGACCACAAAATCGTCCCACCAGAATCCTGCGCCTTGTAATCTTGGCCATCGGGATAATAGTCGAGCGAGTGTGAAGACAACTGCAAGCCCGAACAGAGGGTAGATGATGGCTCGAATTTCGGCTTGTCTATCGTGTACTGGAAGTTCGCAGGTCTCGGCGCGGAATCTTTGAGTTCTCAGTTGGTCATCGAGAGAGCATGATGTCTGGAGGCATTGCGACAATGCCTGGCTTCGTGGCGTGCGTTCCTCGCAATAGCATGGGTCGCTGGGCTGGCAGTTGATTCCAGTTTGTTCAGTGACTTGTCTCGCGCAATCTGTCTATCGGGACCGTCAGTACTGATGATCGAGCGCAAGCTAATCATTGTAGTATACCGAACAGATCGGCAGCTCTCGCTGCGCAGTCACATTGACCTCATTTCTCGGTGCAAGAAGTGTCGTCGCCTCAGCGGCGTTCACGCTCCATGTCAGCAGAAGCGCAACAGCGAGGCCATGAAGAAAGAGTCTCATCACTCTTCACGACATGCTAGCCCTAGCCACCAGTCAAAGCGATTCCATTCCACGTGTATACAGCGTGGAGAGATCAGCAGCAACCAGAAACAAGAAGAGAAAGCGTCCGTTGTGAACAAGCACCACCTCCCTCCGGCGCGAGGTCCACGCAGATTGTATACTTTCCACCACCAACGCAAGCGAAGCTCGTCAGCCGCTGCCAAAACTCTGCCATGGCCCAAGGTCTCTCTTCCAAGGCAAGCCGAGCGCCTTCTTCCGCGAGAATCAAGAACTGTACGCCAGCCGAGGTGCAGAAAGGGAGCTGTGTGCAGGGATGTCTCTGTTCTCTGGCGGCATCGACCGCGCAAAGAACAAGCAGAAATGTCCCGAGAAAGTGAAGTAGGTTTGAAGGTCCGATGGACAAGCTTCAGACTTGAGTCAAGAGCTAAGCTCGATTTCGCGGTGGATTGGCCCGTAAAGGCGGAAGCGACGCCGATCGTGAGGCAAGCGAAAGAAGCAAGTTGGGTTTGTGCCGCATGCTGGCGATAGTTGGCGTTTTGCTATTGATGATGACCCTTGCAGTTGCTCTTGTTGGGTTGTGGGTGAGAAGAAGAGGAGGTGATGTCTGTTCGCGTTCACATGCAATTGAAATTGGGCAAGCATGATTGATGATGTCATGGAGCAGGGTGGAGAATGCTTGCTGTCGTATTCAATACATGTACACCGCACGGCAAAGCTGCTTGCATGCGGTGCCACAGGGAATGAGATGGGATATGAAGAGAAGAAGATGTGCATCTGCATGCTATGTGTATCTACTCATGTACTCATTGGTAAGGTGGAGGCGAGTTTTCACCCGCCACCGGATCTTCGTCAATCTTAGGACCAGTGTAGTTCCTGCGTCCCCAGATGTAATACCAAGCGAGCGCTACGCCAAGTCCTGCGACGAACACTGCAGAACCATAGTTCATAGTCTCCGCCAAAACAGGAAGACCAGCGGGCATGGAGAAGAGAGGGATGGCGAACGCGCACCAGGCTGGAGAGGAATTAGTTAAGTGCTTGAGAACCAAGAAGCAGACCACTTACCCATGGCAACAACGTTGCAGATAGCACCGAAGATTCCAAAGTTGTATCGTGCTCCAACAAGCTTCTTGCGACCAGTGCAGAAGGAGATGGCAACAGGGATGACATAGCTCAGTGTCAAGAAAATGACACCAGAACCATTGAAAGCGTTGAATGCTGCAGATGAACCAATGTAGATGACACCAAGGATCAGCTGAATTGCCATACTCAGCAACATGGCGTTCAACGGAACGTCGAGCTTGCGGTTGACAGTGTCGAACTTCAGAAGGCGGGAACCAGGAATGGCGCCATCACGAGCAAAGGCCCAGGTGCATCGAGATGCGGCAGTGGTGCAGCTCGTGCCGCAGAAGAAGCCCAGAATGATGATCGGAACAGTCAAGACAAAAGCGCCAACCTCGTTACCAATGGCACGAGAGAGGATGGCAGGAAGTGGCTGTCCGGTAGGGTCGGTAGTGACAGCGACCAAGTCTGGAAGGATGAACATCAATGGCACCAAGAAGATAAAACCGCAGGCCCAGTTGAGGGCGAGTGCACCGACGAGGGCCTTGGGTACCTGCTCGGCTGGCTTCTCAACTTCCTCGCACATGCTGACGACCATACCGGTGGCAGAGGTGGCGTATGCAGCGTGCAACAGACCAACGCAGAATGCCCATCCGGGAGGGTTCCAGCCAGAAAGGACCTCGAAGTGACCGAATGCATAAGAAGCAGATCGGCGACCTTCCCTGGCAATGACGAGTCCGGAAATGATGATTGCAGCAACGCCGATGAAGGTGAAGCCCACAGTCAGGGTGTCGATGAGTGGCAGGTGCTTGTTCAGCAACGAGGAGATCAAGTTGCAGATGATCGTGATGCCGATGAAGATCAGGTAGATTTGATAAGGCTCGGCTGCAAAGATTCCAGCAGTCGTCATCTCCCCTGTCGCCTCATCGAGGTAGGGCTCGCCTTGGAAGATATTGATACAGCCGACGAGGAAGAGTGTGGTACCGAAGTTCACAGATAGGGTGATAATGATGTTGCCGAGCACGAAACACCAGCCGCACATCCAGGCAGCGAGTGCACGGCACCAGCGTGGCGAGAGCATATAGGTTTGGAAGTACACACCTCCAGCTGTAGGGTACACCTGGGAAGAGTTTAGTACGAGATCTTGGCCATCTTTTGCGCACAGGCCCGTGACACAGATGGCGGTCATCGTGGGAGACCAATGTGCACGAGGTGACTCTTCAACATACCGAAGTGATTTCACCGAGAGAAATGGCCACACACATCATCAGCGCACAGACGAGACACCATCCCCAGATCACAGTGGACGGGCCACCGCCTGTCAAGGGGTAGATGAGCGTCGTCGACAATCCGTAAGGTACAGATGCCAGCACGAAGGACATGAACGCCACGCTCAGAGTAGATCGATTACGAACCAGCTCTTGCGTGTAGCCCATAGCCGCAAGCACATCCTCAGCGGCGCTGTCCACGGAGTTCAACCGGCGGGGTGCATCGTGGTGCACATCGTTTCCATACTGATCTTCCTTTCCATAAGCATCCGCCGGCTTGGATGCTCGTCGATAGGTGGTGTCAGCGCCGGGCGCATAGCCGTTGTACGGATCGGATTTCGACATGTTCGCAGGAATAGAGTAGTTCGCTGGCGATAGGGCTGCAGGCTTGTCGATGATATGTATCACGATCAATCACTCATGCAGGAATCGATTTTTCACACGAAGGATTGTCGCGTTCGGGTGTTGTCGCTTTGGGCGGGTCGAGCTTTCGCCTTATCAGATAGCAGTAGATTGGGCGCAGTGGGCTTTGTCGTATACGGAACTTCTTCCAGAGTGGTCGCAAAGGGGCCAGGAATGCTATACCATATGTTGCTTTGGGATCCAGAGGACGAAGTTGCTTGTGGGCGTTGTCGCTTTGGGCTGTCGCGTGCTGATCTAGTCGAGGAAGGCTGCACGGAGAGAAGCGGGGTAGAGTTCCTGCTTCGTATTTGAGTCCTTTCTACAAAAGGTCTGCAGAAGATTTTGAAATATGTCTGGTAGAGTGGTAACTCAGCTGATGTCTGCTGAGTGCCTCAGAAAAGAAGACCCAATAGACAGATTACAGCAAGCTGCGTAGCACGAGCGCAGCTTTCTGGGTCCCAGCATTTTGATTAAGTACGCCGGCCCACGCTGCACGTTGTGCGAACCGAATAAACGTAAAATTGAGTTCAGTGGTTCGGTTACTGATGGACCGTCAGATTGGAAGTAGACTTGTATAGGGAAAGCGTCTTGGAAAATTTGCTTGGCTGAGCTATGACCGGTTGGTTCTATGCCAGTCTGAAGTCCGGTAAAAACGCCGACAGTGGACTGCGCAGTGCTGCGACTGGTCGGATGGGCTCTGGCATCGCAGGCATCGCCGGGTGGACACCACCGATATCAGCAGCATCAGCCGGAGCGGACCTCCTTGTAGAAAAGCGGCACGTGGCAGTGTGGCACCAACTGTGCGATTCGACGCCACAGCTCCTCATGGCGCGCATGGAGCTTCGTAGGGCGCACAGACGGGACCTCCTCCATGCGGAGCACGACGCCTTGGTCAGCTGATGTCGCTTGTATTTGCAATTGAGGGCTGGAGCTGGAGCGCGATCTTTCGGAGCCTCAGTGCGAGACCGCAGCTGCCATCTGATCAGTAGGGTGAGTTGAGGACAGGCATGAGCGATTGGTAGAGCGCGGGTGTGGGTGGATTGGATGCGTGTCACAGCCGCCGGCTAGTTAGGGCTCCTGTAGTTGGTCTTGTGAAGGGCGGGTCGCTTATCTGCTGCAACGTCGAAGAAGGGCGATCGAGCTTCTTCGTTCATCACCACCTTCGAGAAGGAGCTCCGCAGCCACAAGCGTCCTTGTACTCCATTGGCGACGATTGTGCTGCCGCACAGGACAGTCTGGATTGTTGCTCATCATGCCTTCATCCGCGACTGTGAAACTCTCGACTTTCTCTCGGAGCATGTTGCCGGTGCACGGCCGGGAGAACCGGGGGCCAGGACTCTCCGAGAACCACTTTCATCATCGTCTGACTGCAAATTTGACGGTGTCCGCAGTGGGCTGCGAGTATTCTGTTGAGGCAACAACGCCGGACGTCATGGTCTTTTAATTGTCAGATCCTTCGTGTTGGGCCACAGTTCGGGACAAGGCACCGCTCGACAGCGCTCGACCACACGCGCGATGCACGCAGACATCGATGTCGGAGGATCTGAACATGGCCAGAAATGCGTGCTGGGATATTGACCATGTTTCCTCCCTCTGCGCTCGGTGGATTGTGTTGTCCGTCTGACTGAGTTCCGGGCGCTCAGTAGTAAGCAGCAGTCGAACGTCGAGGCAAGGGCCGGCAGAGCCTCTCTGTATACAACAGAACATGCGGAGGGCTTCGAAGTATATGAGTTCGTGGACAGGAGGTGCGGCTGACGAATCCAATACGTCGTAAAAGCCATCCGCATTCGGCAGCAGGACTTTAATGAGCTTCAATGCTGACTGGGCAAGCCAAGCCAAGCAACGAAGCGAGCACCGATGTCTTCACCGCAGTCGAACCCCAATGACCTTCACTGTCACATGAAGATGTACCGAACAGACAGCTCGTCCCGCGATCACTGAGCGCGAGAAGTGAAGAACCGTGTGTTGAGGGCTCCTGGATGCCACGAACGCGCAATAGCCTCTGGTTTCTGATTCCCGTTACCAAACATGCGAGAATTGGAGCATATCGTAAGTTGCGTGGAGTTGGACTCAAGGGCACGCCATCGATGGGATGAGTTCGAAACTACGAGGAGGAACAAAAGATCATGAGCAAGTCCCGATCGGGAGTGTTTGCGTTTTTGTCATGTCAGAAGCATATGAGACCTGAAGCGAAGCAACGTGAAGTGAGGCACCGTGTGTCTAGCTCGTGCAGCTGAACCCGTACCGCAGCAAACGCTCGTGTCTTGGGAGAGAAGCTGACCTTTGCCCTCATGTCTCTCCGATGTTCTTGTGTACCTCCCATTCAACTCCAACCTGCAACAGCAGCGCCGATGTCGCGCGCCATGGCAGCGTCGCTGGTGCTTCCAGACAGCAAATACAGCGACATGACGATCTTGTGCGAGAATCACAGCTGGGACGTTCACGCAGTCATCGTATGCCCGCAATCCGGCGTACTCGAGGAAGCTTGGGACTCCGACCACACGGTCAGTTTCCACAGCTGTCAACACGCGAAGTCGAACGTTTCGTGGCTGACACAAGGCAGGCTTTCTACTCGAAGCAGAACCCAGAAGTCCTACAAGCAGCCATCGAATTCTTCTACAGCGAAGACTATCGGGAGGCCACTGGCGGCAAGGCAGCAACATCGACTTGTTCTGTCGTGTTCCACGCGCGCGTTTACGATGTCGCCGAGTATTTGCAAGCTCCGAGTCTTATGATCATGGCGGCAGGAAAGTTCCAAAAGGCATGCGAAGACCTCTGGGCCAGTGATGGATTCGCGCTCCTAGCCAAAGCGATCTATTGCGGAACGGAGTTGGACGGCCGGCTCTTCAAAAACGATCACGATGAGCTTCACATTCGCTTCCTGACGGTCGCCAAAGCCCACGCTGCAGATCTGTTCCGTTTCCAAGCCGTGGGCAGGTCAGTTGTCTCCAATAAACTACCGGTTGTGTTTGCCTTCTAATAAGATGACAGGGAGTTCAGAGACACACTTCGTCGTATTCCAGCTCTTCATACTCTTAGCTTCGAGCTTGCAGAAGCCCTGGCCAGTCAATTGAGGTTGGCTGACAAGCGATGCGCCGCAATCGGTCTGGCCGAAGCTGAAGCCGAGCTGGTGATGACAGATGTTTCGTGAGACGACAGGAATGTCCCTTTACGCCGACATCGAAGGCGGAAGATCGAATAACGAATGTGGGCTTCTACGTGCCCTTCATTCCGCATCAAAAACTTGTCGGCTGACGATCATGCTCTGCTCAACAAAGGCATATCGACATTACCTCGAGCGACGCTGAAGAGACGGCGCGACTGGTTAGAGAGGACATGCAGGACGTTCATCGTAGCACGAAGTTGAGCGGCAGACGCAATTTGGTCGACGCTGTTTGATATTCGCGGGCCGCAAAGACGTGCGCGCAGTCAAATTGAATACCTGCTCCCAGAGCCACTGTCCGACGATTGTGGGATGCAGTAATGCATGCCGGCACAGCGTGCTTCGTTACTGACATCAGGGTATCCTCGCAGCCTTGATTCACACTGTCCCATCGATCCGTTGATGACGAGCCTTGCGAAGGCCCCCGCGATACGATCTGAGCGCCGGACGTCCTTCGCACGACCACCTCCTCCATCAGTCTGCAACTCTTAAACTGTTCCACGCATCCACTTTCATCGTCAAACGCTCCTCTCGGGACGTTTCGTCTCGTTCGAGGTCGCCGCGGCCGCGTGGAGGCACACGGCACGCATGTGTGTAAGAAGAGCCAGGGCGTCTGGGCATCTGAGCAAAGAAGACGGCGTTACAGGACGGGCAGAAATAGCGCGTTGATTTCGTCGCGTCGCGTGAAATACGGCTCGAGCGGCTGATCAGTTCGGAAAAATCGAAATCGGGCTCTGGTGCAAGTGCAGTCTTTGCGAGATGAAGAGTGAGTCTTGGTGATTGTTCGAGGACTTGCTGAAATTTGTCGTAAACGCTGCCATCGTTCAGGAGAAGTTCTTGTGCGTGAGCAGCAGCAATGTCCATGATCGCTTCCCTAAGTGGCTCGTAGGACTCAGACATGTACGGGTATCTGGATGGTAGAGTGATGAAGATTTCCTCAGCGTGCTCCGCAAACTCGTTGGACTTCCAGATACTGCTCGCAACCTCTTTAAACTTTCTCGCCGCTACAAGGCGGAGCTTGGGGATGCTGTACTGGCATGCCAAGAGGAATACTCTCGCGTGGAACTCAGAAGGCTTGAAGTCGTGGATCATAAGCTCGTGGTCGTCGATCGTCGGTGACTCGTAGTCAATGCCGTAGCAAAACTTCACTGCCGCGGAGACAACACAGGGATCCTGACAGTTAAACGTGATCTCATGGCTGCCATTGTCCTGAGACGTATCAGTGAAGGACAGGTCAGGTGCCATTGCCAGTAAAGCCGTACCCGCATAGCCTGGCATCTTCTCAGGAAGAAGGGCGACTGGGCCGAGAGGATCGCTGCATGGATGTTGAATCGGTAGCGCTCGCAGACGAGGACCAGATCAGTCAACAGTCCATTCTCATGAAGAGATTTGACGCCTTCAATGATGTCAGGCGAGTCGCCGCAGTCCATCTCCTGATCCATGATGTGATTCTGAAGTGCCGGTTGCATGGTGTAAGAGAGAAGATCGTTACTGTGCGGCGAGCTTGTTGCCTTGGATGTTTTAGCGAAGGCGGAGGTGCGAAGGAAAGGAAAGGGAATGAGAGAAAAAATGTGCAGGCAACGGCTCCTGCCATCTTTGCGACGTGAGGCAGGCGGCCGCCAGCACCAAACTTCCTTCACTTGCAACGCGCTCCACGCGTCGATAGCGCGTGCCAACCGCGCTCATCGCTCTAATGAATGCTACATACCTATGCAAGATGCCAAATCACTTCTTGAAGGTCATACTCCTTCCGGCTTTCTCCTTCTGACTTCGAGGTAGCCCCTTTGGAGCATCCATGCTCTTCGCATAAGGGTTCACCTGCTTTTGAGACTTCTTCCGATCCTTTCCGCTCATCCGCTCACTTGGTGCATTCAGTATGCTTGGTGCGCTGGCATAGTCGAAAGGAACCTCATCGTCTCCGTTTTGCATTTCGTCCTTGCCTGATGCATCAGCGCCAGCAGCCTTCGCCGCCATCTTCGCAGCTCTCTTTGCTGCCTTCCTCTCCGCTTTCTGCTGCGCACGTACTGAAGCCTCATCCACGATAGCAACCTCATCGGAGTTGGCAGCCATTCCATCTGTGGGTTCTGTGGCACGTTTTCGTTTCTTGCTCGTGTCTTTGAGTATGAAAACATCATCCTCCTGTTGTCTAGGTACTGGTTCCGGGGTGGGCTCACGTTGCGGCTGCTGTCGCTCAATCTCTGAAGCATCTGCGAATGACTCTGCCGTCAGAGGGGGCAATGGGACAGCCAATGAGATCTCCGATGCGGTGGGCGCGCTTCGTGTGTGATCCCACGCGCTGCTTTCGAAAGCCGCGCCCCAGAATGATGAAGCCGTACTTCGAATCGGAACGTCTGTAGACACGATCAGTGCAGATGCACTGGGTGCAGTCTCGATTCCTGGCTGTGAGGCCGACGCTGTAGTTTCTCTCGGCATCTTTCGCGGCCGCTGTGGCTCGACTTGGTTCAGCAGTTCCATCATCTCAGGCCCATCTTTACCAGCTTCCTTGGCTTTGATGACCACACTGAGAAGCTCATCGGCGCGTAACCGTACCGTTTGAGAGGCAGGCGTCGCAATTCCCAGCAATGCCAGTCTGTTAGTCGGCATACCGCGAGCAATGCTGAAGATCTGGTGGTTTGGCATGATGTAATGCGTACTGTCGTCTTGCTCTCGTGCGACCTGGTCTCGCCACTGGTGTACAGCTCGGAAGACCGAGAACTGCTCCTTGCCAAGTAGGGCCGGTGTCCTGGAAAGCAACTTGTACCAACCAACGCCTTGACCAAGTTCCGCATCGTAGATCGGGTATTCGTATCGTTGTAATGCTTCCTCAGAGCTTCGCTGCAAGACGTCGTAGATCTTATCACCTTCGCGGTCTGGCAGCTCGAAGTTCGACCTCTGAATGAGCTCGTTTCGCATGTTATCGAAGATGTACAGTAGGAAATGTGTATCGCTGCGGGCATAATCAAACAGCTCTTTCGGCAGGGGTCGCACTCGCCAGTCAGCTGTTTGGTATTGCTTTTGAGCATCGACGTTGGCAAACTTCTTTAACAGGAATGCCAAGCTACCGCCTGTATATCCCAGGCATCGCGAAGCGTGGTGTGTATCGAAAAGACCAACAATGTAGAGCCCCAGATCTCGTTGAAGCCACATGATGTCCATGAACGCGCCGTGAAGGACTTTGATGATGTTCGGATCCGCAAAGACTTCGTTCAGGCACTGCAGTTTCCGTCTCCAAGGCTTGAGTGTGTCCACTATCCAGTCTTTGTCTCTGGTGCTGATCTGCATCAGCGACACTATGCCGATATACGACCTGCTGTCATGATGTTCCAGATCTATTGCGATTTCCTTTGCCTGTTTCAACTCTTCCAACATGTCATGTAGCGCCTCTTCCGTGTCCACGAACGTCGCTGTCGTCTCGTCGAATGGGTGGTACATGATGGGTTCACTCTGCTGATATATTCGCGCAGGGTATTCGTAGTTCTCGATTTCGTGTTGATAAGGGTGAGGGTATGTTGGTTGAGTCTCGCCCTCTGCTATCCGCGGCTCTTTCTCCAGCGGCGCCTTCGCATGGGGCTTGGTCTCCAGAAGCGGTTTGAAAGGCGCCTCATCGTTGTTGGTGGGCACATGCTCGAATAGAAGCTGTGGCTTCTCAATGCGCTGGTCGCGCTGCGGTGCATTGCGACTCGATTTCGCGTTCTTTGGTGTTTCTGCTGCAGGACTCAACCTCTTCACGGCGCCCGTGAACTCGTCCAGCGCGGTATCTGCGCGCTCCAGCAGACTATCCACCACATCGACCACAGCTCTCCAATTACCCTCCACCGATTCGAGGTCCTTGAGCCTCGGCGGTCGCGTGATCTCGGTATTCGACGTGGCAGCTCCGATCAGTCGCTCTGCGAGGCCTAGCAGGCGTGCATTTTGCTGGTCCAGAGCCGGTCCCACAGCAGAGTCGAGTGATCGTTGAAACGGAATGTCCTCGTTCGCCAACGATACTGCGCTGCGCGTTGTCGATGTGAGGGCGGACTTGATGCCGGTCTCGAGCGCACCGAAGTCTTCCATGATGGGTGTTGTGGCAGAGGTCAGCGTGCTCTACCCATCTTTCGCCTCGATGTCTTTCCTCTCAAGAGCTCAGTCGCAACTTTCTTGATCGGCATGCGCGAATCCCTGCTAGCGCAGCTGTGCCGGCATCCGAGCCGGCCGCAGCGGGCCGCAACATCTCTCTCTCCTCGAAAGTCGAGACTCAATCAGTGTTGTGGTGATCACTTCGACCCCGCAATGTGTGAGGGTTCAAGCACAATGCCCTCATCGTTCTATCAGACAACAATGTATCAAGTATCGCGTGACACAGCAGTTCGAAAACACGCGCATCCGACCGCGAAGCCGGCACAAGGCGTGGTAATTGAATCTCGGAGACTGTGGCTATTTCACGATGCCCGACCCAAGGAGCAAGCAAGGAATCTGTTGGCCAACAAGCGCTGCGAACTTCCGACATTGACAAAGACTCGTGATGCGCAATCTGCGCTGTAACGACGTCGAAGAATGTCACTGCAACATGGAGATTCCAGTCATTGGCACTTGCTACACACAACTCGCGCTTTGTCTTTCAAGCAGCCACAATATATCTGTAAACCGGAGAATTGAAAGACGTATGGACATGTTACCCTTTTCGGTCCTGGTGACTAAAAATTGCTTCCAACCTTTTCCTGTTGAGCTCGGCAAGAGACCAAGAAAGACAAGAATTTCTTGAGAGCGGCTGATTCCATCCATCGCAGCTTACTGATGCAGCGCTTCAAAGTCGAAACTGACACGGATTGGTGTTTGTGGTAGGACCACTCGTGCACGCACAGCTGATAAGTCACAGCAGTCGTTAAGCAGGTGCTTTTTCCCAACCTGGCATCTGCAAATGTCCGCAACAAGACGAGAAACGTGCTCTACTGCGGGGCTGGCGTGACCTACCGAATTTGGCAGGCGAGCTTTGTGAGGCACCCGATAGAATCTGGACAATGCAAAACAACGAGGCTTCGTCCCTTTTGCTTGAGCAATTCTGGCGACTGGCTGAGATGCGATTCTCCATCCATGCAGGGTAAATTTGGCCTACATACGGAGGCGGAAAGTTGTTTCCACCTGTAGCTACTTCCCGCTAGGCTGTTTCGAGCGTCATGTGTGACAGAACACGTTCCTTGAGCGTGGCTGGGACGATTGAGACATGCCATGGTTCGAAAGAGCAGTCACGCATGTTGACTCACATAGCACGCACTCCATCACGGCAAGGCTGTATCTCTCGGGGACCACCAGCCAAAGAGAAATGCCCCGACGATCCAACTTTTCGGAGTCGTCAGATTGTGCTATAGGGTGCAGCTATCCTGATCTCCTGGTTCGCGTACGAGCTGCGCATGGCGCCTGCTCGCCTGCTCGACGTGCTTGTGGGTCGCATCGCATGAACCGCGCATGCAACAGACTGTGCCCAAGGTCTGGGAAGGCCTAGTCTCAGATCAAGTCCCCCCTTCCAGTACAAGACTGATGAGCGGTTCTACACTTCCTTCGGGTAGACCAAGCAACGAGTGAGTACTGTCAATCCTAGCGGGTTGAGCGGCGGTGCGCAGAAATGGAACTTCACCAGTCTCGCGTCCATGAGGCTTTGTGAATCCATTCTCGCACAGGTTCAAGCGAATCCGCAATCTATTCAATGCATGAGCAGAGGCGATCGTCAATACGAACCACACTGAGCGTGAAGGAGGTGCCATCTGATGCAGGCAGAGAGCTCTGGACATGGTAGCATGATGTCGAATCAATGCGTCCAGCCTCTCGGTGCCGATTCGGCGTGAAGAACATGTTCTTCACGCCTATGCTGAAGTCGATCAGTCAGTGAATGGCATGCTGCCTCCTCCGATTCGATGCTACAGCTCGTTTGCAGGTGCAGCGAGTCCAATGCAATGCAACAAGCTGAGCTACGGATCAATCCCTGGACTGTACCCAGCTTCTGCCTCACGAAGCTGACTTGGCGTGGTATTAAGAAGAGCACAAGGGCCGGACCGCAATGTTCGACGCAGCATACAGGCAGTTCTTAGCCAAACATCGATATGACTACTCAGCCAGCACATCGAAGGGATCTCGTCGTGGTCTTGGATACACAAGACCACCAGGTTGCACTACAGCCGCGGCAGCACGACCCAAGTCTTGGCGAGACCTCATTGTTACGAAACAGCTGTGACGCCTGTGCGCAAGCTAAACTTAAGTGCAAGAAGGAGAAGCCTACATGTTCACGTTGCACAAAGCGAGGCATACCTTGCAGATATTTGTTCAGTAAACGAGCAGGTCGTAAACCTTCAAAATCCAGCAGTGGCTCCGAAGGACAGCAGCAGAAACCATCGCAGCGTTCCCCGACTCTCGATACTGATGCATCCTTCGATTACTTCGGCATTGGGGAAACAAATCAATCCGGGCCATCAGATCTGAGTCTGGATTTCTTAGAGCCCATGGGTCGTCATACCATCAGCGGGCTCGACCTTACCAACGAAGAAATCACGCATGACTTTACAATCGACCTTCCAGTATCATGGCCGACCAATGAGAGCATAAGCGGTACTGGTAGCAGGTTTTCCGAGCAGCGTGGCGATTCTACTATATGTGGGACGCCGATAGACATCGACACCTTCGCGAGTACATCACTACCAGACACGCACGGTTTGACCACTCTGGTCTCAGGTTTACCGACGCCTAATTGCGATCCGCGAGTTGGTCAAGCGTCCGAGACATCCTGCCTGTGTATGCAGCGCGCTCTCCAGGACATGCAGAAAGTGACACATGCGGGCACTGTCTGGTCTAGCACTACAGCTGGCGGACCTTCCACACTCCTCCGAGCATCGCTAGATGTGGTAAAGAATAACAAGGAGATCTTGCGTGGCATGATAGAGATACTAGCATGCCAAAGGACGCACAACGCTCATCTGCCAGCTCTTCTGGCTTTCGTCTTGTCTGGCGTGATCAATCTGTATGCAGCCCTCACGATACCTAGGCCACCACCAGCATTCCAGGACCAAGGGCTGGCACATCCGACATGCTCGAGCTCCTTGACCAGCATGGCACCAGCCTCTCGCGAAGGTGACTATGAGGATCCGATCCATGCTGCTGCGTATATCATCTTCGGCGAACTACAGCAAATTCGCAAGCTACACGACCAGCTTGGCCGCCTACTCAGAAATCATGCGAGGTTACAGGAGAGCTCCAGTAGTGATAATTTGGCTAGCAAAATTGTTGCACTGCCAACGGCCAAGATGTGCTACACGCTAGAGGTGGATCTGAGTACGCTTTTGGAAGAGCTAGCTCTTGCCGTCGTACAGAGATTAACATGACACCGCCGATATTGGACTTGGACGAAGAAAGTTGAATGTCACACAATGCATGATGGACGACAACAGTCATGTGGTTCAGACTGACCGTGCACCTGCTTGCGCTCGGGAGAACGTCGCCAAGTACCAAGTCATAGGCATGCAAAACAATACATTGATGGTATCTAGCGTGGCTAATCGAAATCTCGGCAGTGCGCATACATGCTTTCACTCAAGGAAATAGTGCAGACGATCATATTATTGAGGTTTCCCTTCCATTTGCACTCAAGCTCATCACGCCGCCGCAGCGGCTTCTTCCTCTGCTGGTGGGGCCTCCGCCTCCAACTTTGCCTTCTCCTCTTCGGCCTTTTTCATTTTATCAGCCAGCTTCTTCATCTTCTCTTCCTCCTTCTCCTGCTTCTTCACCACCTTCTTGTTCCCGGCATTGTGCTGTCTCTCTTTCAACACCGCTGGGCTAGATTTCGCACTTGAGAAGGCCGTCTTGAGTCCCAACTTCAACTCCATGCACGATGTCTTGAGATGGCCTTTGGAGGACTTGTAATCAACTCTGGCGCGTTCGGCTTGTTTCTTGGCGCGATATGCGGCTTCGGCTTTCTGCGCTCGCTGATAGGCGGTCTGAGACTTTTCGCGTTCCCCGCGAAGCATGAGCTCTGTTGCTGAGGGAGCTGGTGGGATATTGACTGCCGCTGCTTCGCCTTCAGGCTTCTCGACTTCCTCCCCGTCCGTCTTCTTTCTCTTCAAGAGCTTACTGGGGCTTCTGAGAATACCCATGATGAGATCTTGGTTCTGGCTCTCTCGCTGTCGCTTTTGATGTTCTTGAATCTGCTGAATGAATGTCGGGGCTCTCTGGAAATGAGTTGGAGTCTGATGCGAGAAGATGAATGGACTAATGATGCCACGACGTCTGACGAAAGTCCAACTAGGTATTATAAAAAGGTCAACGGTCGGCCAGGGATTTGTTGAGTGCTCGCACCGAATACTTATGCCTAATGGCCTGGAACGATTTATCTACCAGGGAATCAGAGTGCTCCCGTGAATATCTTGCTCCGTGAAAGCCGAGATGAGTCACTTCTATTTGCACTGACAGGTGAGCGACGCCGGCCGAGATGTTCATTTGGGGTTCATCATGTGCCCGGATATCATGGTCTTCAGCAGTGCAAAGACAAGGAATGTCGCAATGACCTTGGTTTATGCCGACCCTGGTCCCGACCATTAGTTTCATCGCATAATCTCGCACGCCAGAAATATAATTGAGACGTCCCGTCGAACGAAATGTGACGTAGCCTTCACTTCTGGTAAAAGGCACTCACAAACGCAATGGTTGATATATTTCTCAAGTCGACTACAATCTGGACGCCCAGGAAACCGTCCACCAGGAATTGTCGCTAGGTCGAAACCATCGCAAGCTGTTGCACTGGCCTGAATCTTGGCGTTCTAGGCTCCAACATATGGCCGTAGTGATCTGTAGTATGGATTGGGCCGCCTGCTGAGCCTCATCAATACCGCCATACTGCAGACGGAGGCCTCGTAGAATTTCGGCACAACTCAGCTTCAATCTCCACGCACAATTGCTGACCAGGATTGAGTGTCCTCGGAGATCAAAAGAGTTTGAAGGATCGGAAGGGTCTCGAGCAGAGAGTATCAGCTTCGCAGACGTTTATCAAGGCGAGATGCACCGCCGCTCTGGGCAACAGAGTTGCCGTGAATCAGCAAAGAGCCGACAAGTTGTGACAACCGTACCAGTGCAGATGTGCAATGTTCATGGGACGACGGTCTTGCTTGCGGCTAGGCTTGAGGTCTTCGAAGTGCGTTCGCCTTGTACGCGCCCATCTATGTGTATGCCAGAGGTTATGGTAATGGAATGTGTGTCGGAAATCGGCATACTTGAGATTCCTTCCCGGATCGACGTGAAGTCGAAGTGGCATCGCCACGACGTGGAGTGGCGAAAGTGGTTGCTCCACATGCGGAAACCGGGTAGTCCACGTGGCAAGCCACAAGCAACCTCACATCTGATCCTTGAACTCCTGCACACATTCCATCGAAGACAACTTCCTTTCCCATCGCTTCAGCGCTCGATCATGTCCGCTTCATTAGCGCCCGAATGTAATGAGGTGAAAGAGTACGTGATGTGATACGGTTCTGGCCTTTGTTCGCAGCCTTTGGTTCTGACCCACACCGTGGTCTTGCAGACGCTACGATTCGTGTTTTTTGAAATGGTATTCGGAAAGTAAGTACTGCAGCTTGAGCATCAGAATCTGGTTGGAAGCAGACACTACCATGTTTGTCGTGGATGAGCGCAGAGTCGACGGAGATGGAAACGTGTGGTGTGAATTTCTGCTGACACGGCTGGACAGAGTTCATCCGAGGGACGGCGAAGACAGATGAGTGTGAGCCACTGTTCAAGCAATACAAGGAGTGCCTGGGGGTGAGAGATGTGCACTGCGATCAAGTTGGTCGCCTCACTGACGGATTGCACAGAAAGCACTGAAGGAGCGAGGAATTGACACGATGCTGGAGGAGGCGAGAGCAGATAACAAGGAGAATGATTTGGAGTACATGAAGCCCAGTCCGAAGGTGGCATGAACAGTACGTTGCTCTGCTGCATATGCAATTGACCTGATGCACTGACACTTGACAGATGCTGTTGATTTTTGCGCATAGCGAAGGCGTTTGATGGACGAGCATGCATAGACATCCCAGCTCAGCATTTTTGGCGAAAGACGTTTGGCATTTCAAAACCACAATCAATTCCTCTCAAGCTAATGCAACAGTCCGCCGTGGCACATGCAAAGGTCCCCTGCTATTCGATTGTCGTTGCAAGAAACGATTGCTGATGCGCTCTTTGTAGTTGTTTCGCTGCGAGATAGCACACGAGCGCCGGAAGCGCCGACCGCAAACATTTCGAATTGAGACGCAGATGCATCTCGACACGAGGCCCAGAACGCCAATCACAAACGAGGATCCGGCTTTGTTGGCGTGCATAAATCAGCTGTACGTCAGTGCGCCTTGTCCAAAATGATTGAAAGACGCTACACGTCTCCTACACTAGACTCATTCTCAACAGCATTCTGTTCTCTTCTCGCCGGCTCTTCATACTAAAATCTCTTATCTACGTAGCGTAACCCGAATTTGGTGCCACTCCCGCACGAACGCAACTGCACTATTCCCGACACAAGGATTCATAGCGGCTCCAAGTCAGCTCTTCGACACGCCTCACTTCGAAGGACACTTCAAGAGCAACATCCCCTTGACAGCCTGGGAACTCTACAGCAACCGGAACACAGTCTATACTAACGATTCGAATCCCTACCATACATGCGATGGTTCCAAGATCAAGAGGCGCCTTTCCATCCGTGTCTTCAAAACTGCGATGTTGTTGAAAGCCGTACCTGTATTTTCTCAGGCAATGAAGGAATTCAGAAGAGATTCCTCAATCATACCAGCTCTACTCGTCACGATCAATGGAGCTTCGACTTGCCATTTATACTATACGCAGACTGAGCAAGCAGAAATCTCTTTATACGAAGAATGTAGAGCATCATCCAGCCAGGTCAGGCAGCAGCGGGAAATGTCTCGTCCTCGCGCGGCCTCTTCGGAAGCGAGATTCGTTCTGCAAACTGAGAGCGAAAGCTTCAATAGGTGGCGCTCACCTCATCTGGTCCGTACGAGACTCCTGGGTGCAGAGGCCGGCTACAGGACCAGCTTACTAAATCAGATTGGGCAACCCTCCATGCGGAAGAACCACTGAATTTCAAAGCTGTCCTCGACCGCGGGTTGAATCCGGGCTCCTCCAGTGGAGGGACATATACGCTTTCTGTCAGGCTGTCATTCTGCCACCAGGTTTGACAACCCTCCAAGCGTAAGAGCGCCTGGACTTCGAAAGCATCGTCGAACTTTTGCAGAGTGCATCCACTGTCGCCGTCCGCCCAAAGCTAGTGAATCCCGCTTCTGTCGACATCTTATTGAGGCTGACGCGAGGCGTGTTCACCTTGGCCTGTTCACCACTTCGGATGGGCTCAAACAGGAGATACACAAAACACCCTGGTACTCCAGTGAACGGTCACTTCGCTGGCGAGTGAATCGGCATAGTAGCCGGTCATGTCTACCATTCTTATACGAGCCAGTATTCTTCTGCTCTTCATCTACCCGCACCCAACTCCGGAAGCCATACCGACGCTACAGCAGTAAGGACCCGAACTACTGAATCCAACACTCAACCTCACTCCAAAAGATGTCACAGAGCGTCACCAGCTGGGCAGACATCTGTCGTCAGGCCTGTGGCGAGCAACTTATCCAGGCTTACGGGCAAACGATGACTCAAGCCCGAAAGGCTTTCCTCGATCAGAATCTACATCTTCTAGTCTCTCTCGATGGAGAGGTGATCACCCGAGAGGCCGCTGCAGCCAAGAAGCCCACACTCCGCATCATGTCGCTCCCATTCGCTGTCCGAGAGCAAATATTGCAGCACTTACAAGAAGTCAAGACCGTACGCGTCTTTCTGCTGGGGCTCTATGGCGTACGACCAACTCCAATCCAGCTGCCCATTACCGCCCGAGCAGGTGATCGGACACTTCGCCTGGAAACGATCCGCACAACTCTGCTTAACTCTGAGATCGAGATCCATTCTGGTCCCGCGAACCACCAATTGCAGCAGTGGCTTGCGTCCCTTGACTTCTCATGCATTCCCCCGAACCTTAGAGACGGCTTCGACGTAGTGCGAAAGCTCTCTTTCCCGTACTTCAGTCGATTCCCTCATTACCTGCCACATATCACGTTGAATCAAGACGTCAATCTGATGAGAAAGTGCCAGAACCTCAAGCGAGTCAGTCTACACTTTGTGGCGACAACGGTATTCCGGAATGACGGCAGCGGTATGCAAAAGATGGCGGACCAACTGGTACCAGAATATCATCTGAATGAGATGCTTGAGCTAGATGAGTTGGAGGTCTTGCATTTCTCTGGTTTCTGCAGCGACGAATCCGATGTTGGGGTACGCGGCCTCGCGCGCTGGTTCAAAGAGCAGTACGACAATCGCAAGGATCGAGGACTGCGAAAGAAGGAAGTCAAGGTGGTTCTTTCCTGCGGCGAGGTCGTCCAGCTTGGATTGAACGTTAGCTTGGGGGAGGTGGAGTGGTATGGGGGCTCCCGGACTGACTTGCGTGCCTCGAGTACGAAAACAAAACGCCCGATGTAATCCTGATGCCCAATGGCCGGCCAGAGTGCTCGAGATATCCAGTTCAGTCTATCAGCTTTGATTAACACCTCTGCAGGCGTTTGTTGACATTGGTTCTGCTACACGATTGAGATCACAGAAATATTGTGTAGATCTCGCACATGCACTGCTTGGCACTCCCGGGTGAATGAGATTCTATATTCAGCAGCAGGAATGTCTGAACGTTGCCTCTCCATTCACCCCAGATACATTCACCAGCTCTCCTATATTCCAACAGCCTCGCTTTCAACATTCTGATCTTGTTTATTCTTCAACAAGAGGACTCGATCTTCAGCACGCCACACGATTTCCAATACAACAACACCTAATCTTCCAGCTCTATATACAGACCTCAACATGCCTCGACCAAACATTACCTGGGCCAACGTCTGTCGCCAAGCGAACGGAGAGCGCCTGGAGACCTCATACAGCAAAATCGTCACACCCGCACAAGCCGCCTCCTTGCGCAGCAAATTCGAAATCATGCTCCTGGATCCAGAGATTCGCCAACGCATCATTGTGTACGCTGTTCGTGCCGAATTCTACTCTGATCCACCAATCATAGCGGTTTTCCGTCCTGGACAAGCAGGCGGCCTTCTTCCTGCTCCGCCAGCTATCAACATGTCGACATTGACTCGAGCTCGAGATCGGCAGCTGAGACGATCCGTTCAACACTCATGACGGTCGCACTGGAGGTGCACAGTGGATGGGGAAATGCGAGACTCCAGCAGTGGTTGAGCGAGCTGAGGCTCGCCGAAATCTCGAAAAACATGGCCGACGGCTTCGATGCCGTGAGAGCGCTGCGGTTCCCCTACTTCAGCAGGTTCCCGTATCACCTTCCGCACATCACATCCAACGACGACATCAACCTGATGTTGAAGTGCAAGGGGCTGAAGTCAGTGGCTATCGCTTTCTACCCTGGCAGTGTGGTCTCCCTGTGGGGCACTGGGGTACTGGGACCAGAGCTGTCAGCTGACCAGCTGGTGCGAAACTATTATCTCGACAACATGCTCGGATTGAACGAGCTTGAGGAGCTGCAGTTCCTACAGTACTGCGGGGGCGATCCTTCGCTAGGCATTCCTGCGTTGGCGAGATGGTTCAAGAAAGAGTACCAGCAGCGCAAGGAGTCCGGTCTGAGAGTCAAGGATGTGCGGATCTTCCTGCCTGATGGTACTGAAGTTTGAGCGAATGATGCAGGCGAGGACAGGTTGGTTCGTGGAGTATTGTGCCATTGAGTGCGCTGGCGGTGGACGATCCTCTGCTGCAAAGTATCGAATGCCAAAACACTTCGAACACCTGAATACCAAGAATAACACTTTGTTACGATTCTGCTCCGTCAATTAAAATGAATATCGTCATGCCGTTGCCACTTTTTGTACTAACAGTCTTTTTCAGTCCGATTTTCTTCATCCAAAAAGAAGCCACAACTTCAGTCAGCCATAAAACCATTGACGTTTCGAATTGAAACCACAACAACAAAAAGAGCAAAAAATTAGCTCGGATTAGTTTCGATCTAATGCCCTCCGGGTTATGAGCCCGGCGCGCTTCCGCCTGTGGTATGTTAGTTGGAGTTCAAGTGAATGTGTTGTTGAGAAGTGATACTCACTGCGCCACCGAGCTTGTAACAGCTTCAAGAAATGTTATTGGATGCCAAGCAATAACATCGACTACTATAAAGGCATCGATTCCGAAATAGAGTGCCGACATTGGAATGTTTGGTGAGTCATGTGAACTGTGGAGCACAGCAATGCTGGAAATTTTGAGCGCGGAAGCGGTCGGCTTTGTTCGGTGCTTGGCGGATTTGATCGTCCTGTTTTGATCTTTTGCACTTCACAGCAATTGCGTGCTACTGCTCGATTTAGAGATCGTGGATTGGGTCCGACGTAGCAGAGGCTTGTTCTGTCGTTGCAGTACGCCACAGGACCATTGGTACGTGGAAATGTGCTTCATTTGGATTGGCAGGTGAAGGTCTTCGACGGCTTGATGAAACTTGTGGAGATAGATCGATCACGGCGTGTCCACACGCTTCAGAGGCCTGTCGACTGTAGAACGATGTTCATCGTGTTGCCCACACTATATCTTGTTTCTCGATAGCTGTGCAAGCCTACGAGGTCCACTACTGCCCGATCCTCTCAAGCTTATACTCGGCTCTCACATTGGAGCTTGCTGTCTTGTTGATTGTGTCCAAAAAGGCGCGGAAGCAGCTCCTTGGCCGGATGGACGAGGTACCTGCAGCTTTCATCCCGCCTTAGGAGCTTCTTCGTTCATTATCGTGGAAGACTCGCCTGCCATTGACGTCTCGTAGGCCTCGATGTCAAGATAGAGCAGAATTGATAGAAGAGTAGTAGGCAAGTGGTGTTCTTGCTTATCAAAAGCAGCTTCCGCATTCGCCCAAGGCCGACGATCCTTCGCTCACCTCGGCAGCTCCCCTCCATCGTGCCCTCCAACTCCAGCTCTAGGAAAGTCTAAAAAGCATTGATTGCATCGAAGGACAGCTTTCCAGAGGCAGTCCTCGCACCTCATCGTGTGGCTGGCTAGCATGACGTCCAGCTCGTAGTCGTCTTCTTCAACTCTCTCCCCTCCTCACCTCCACTCTCGCACACCTCCACCGCCATCTCTCACCATGGCTCCCGCCGACAACCTCCGGAAACGCAAAACAGCCGCTGACGGCAACATCCCCTCCAAACGCGTCCCCGCCAAAACACCCGAAGAATACGACAACTCAAAAGAGAAACGCGATGCTCAAGGTGTCGACCTCGAACCCAACATTTGGGTTGTAGCCTGGCTCGCATTATCCTTCATCAGCTTCCTTGTCGCCATCTTCTACTACAAAATCGACAACCGCAATCACGGACCCGTTGCAGCATACATCAACCAGAACTACCCTTTCGTTGATCGCGCTCTAAACAACTACGCCTTAGGCAAAAAGCCCGCTCCGCTGTTCGGCGCCGCCGCCCACGAACACGATGGCAGCGAACATGACCACTCCCACGACAACTTCGACGATGCCACGCCTATGGACATCCCGGGTATGGCAGATGGCGTCAGCGATCTTCTCTCCCTCACCGAAGCCGAGTTGAAAGCCTACACCGGCGAAGACAAATCGAAACCAATCTACCTCGCCATCAACGGCACAATCTTCGACGTCTCCTCCTCTCCAGCCTTTTACGGACCTGGTGGTCACTACAATCACTTCACCGGAAAAGACGCAACTCGCGCTTGGGTGACGGAATGCTGGGATACTGATGATCAATTCACTTGGCGTCTCGAGGATGTCCACCTCATGTTCATGCCTAAGTACCTCGACGAAATGCTCACTGCGGTCGCTGAGGGAGATTTCTCTGGAGATCTGGGCGCAATGGGTGCCATGCCGCAAGAGATGATGACGAATTTGGCGAGTAAAGCGATCGATCGCTTTGGAAAAGTCAGACCAAAGACAATTCAGAAGAGAAGAGAGGAGGATCGAAAGGAAGCGGATAAGAAGGTGCTGGAGACGCTGGATCATTGGTATAATTTCTTCTGGAATAACGACAAGTACAAGGTTGTTGGAAACGTGATTCGGGATGAAGAGGGAACGCCAAAGACTCCTCCGAAGCCGTGCGAGGAAGCAATGAAGAAGAGGCCGCTCAAAGGAGGGAAGCTGGAGTCGATGATGGGAAGTGTCGGGAGTTTGTTCCAGGGTGGTGGTCCGGCGATTGATCTTAGTGCTATGGGTGGCGGAGCTGCTGCGGGCAAGGATGGTGATGCGAAGAAGGGCGAGATGCCCGCTGCTGTGAGGGAGCAGATTGAGAAGGCGAAGAAGGAGGCACAGGAGAAGGGTGGACAAGCAGCAGGTGCTGCGGCTGATGCTGCGGAGAGCGTGAAAGAGAAGGTCAAAGAGGGAGCCAAGGGCGCGGCGGACAAGGTGAAAGAGGGCGCTGAGAAGGTCAAGCAGAAGGCCGAGGATGTCAAGGACGAGTTGTGAGTGATTTCAGAAGACGATGTGAACGAATGAACGATGTCGACGAGAACCAGACTTGGACATATTCGGTATCAACTGTACATATGGCGTTGGATGATCGGCTCAAGACCAATGAGGAACTCGATATCCCCGCTCGCAGCACGGGAGATTGTTCATTGCATGCTTGCGTCATTCATCCTATCTATCTGAGTGTTCATCTCTACAAATGCAAGTGCGCTTCAAACGTAATCAATTCACGCTCGCTCCCTCTCCTCTGCCTTCGTCTCTTCTTCCTCTTCTCATAGCATTGATTCTCACGCATCGTCAATGGTGGAGCTTAGATGTCTGTTGCCACGTCTGATCACGCTGCCACGGTATTGTTCTCTCTCCAAATAACGGGCTTGGCTGGCGTTGATCGGACCAAGGCATATAATGTCGTGTCGGGTATTGCAGGATGTGACTGAATGGTCATTTCAAATGGCGCACATCGGCCGCGATCGTGGCTGGTCCTCCTAGTGCACCATCATCTCTGCCTGGTGTGGTTGCTGAGATCCTCCTGCAAGCTTGTTGTTGGCACCATGTTGAGCAGCACCATTCTCAGCGGGTGCATCGTCCATCTCCATGTCGTCACCCTCCTCTTCAGCCTCTTCCTCGTCATCCTCATCGTCTTCGCTCTCTGCTTCGAGATCTTCACTGCCGGCGTTGGACTCCTCATCGTCGTCCTTGCCGTTCTCCACGCCTTCCATTTCAGCATCCTCGCCAGGAAGCTTGGCAGTTGCGCTCGCCTCGCCCTCGGCAAGAGCTCCTGCCGCGGTGGCATCCTCCTCCTCCTCTTCTTCCTCCTCGGCACCGTAGGCTGCCTCGTCGTCTTCCTCGTTGTCCACGTTTGGCTGCTCTGGCGGGAACTCACTAGGAGCGCTCTCCTCAGAGTCCCACTTGATCTGAAAGCGCGTGACACGAGGCTTCTCGGCGAGAATGGTTCGGCGAATCTTCTCGATTTCTGGCTTCGCTGGCGGGTCATCGTTCATGGAGGCGTCGACATATTCATTGTTGACATAGTAGCCCACACGCACGAATTCGCGGTCGTCGTAGGAGCAGGAGAGCAGGATGACGGTGACGCCGAGGATATCGGTGCTGGGGATGTGCTCTGTTCGTGGAGCTTCCGCTTCGAACACGAACTTGTTGACTCCGACTGGGATAGGTCCGACGAGAAGGGAGTCGAGCTCTTGATCGTGTTCAGAACTACAAACGGTTGTCAGGAGCTGTGTAGTGAGGAGGGAATGAAAATGCGACTCACGATGTGGCCGAGCCCACGTAGGTCAGCTTCCACTCCAGGTCCTTTTGCAGTGGCTCGAGACACTCAAAAGTGATTTCGAATTCGTACGGTGCGTTGAATGGCGCAGGATTGTTGCGCACGCTGACGTTCAGTATCGACACGGTCGCCATGTCGTCGGTGTTGGATATGTGTGTTTGGTGGGGCTGTGATATACGAGCTGCGCGGGTGCGGTGTGGTGATGCTGGTATAGTGTGTGAGCTGTGAGTTGATGTGTTCGACGTGTTGAGATTGTGAAAAGTAGTTGTCGTTGACGTGGTGCGAGTGAGACCGGACGTTGCGTTTGTTGGCGTGGAAGGTGGGTGGATGGGCAACAAAGTCAAGCGCCCGCCAGACGCGACCAGAACGCGAGGCAGGCGCGCGGTGAAGCTCGTATGGAGAGGGCAAAGAAAGTGCCGGGACAATGCCAAGTATCAAAGCGTTCCTGCTGACGCCAGCCGCGCCGCGCATGCCTTGCAAAGCAGGCTGCTGGCATGTGACAGACCACTCTTCACTCTCACTTTTAGACATGTCCACACTGAGCAACTGGATTGCTGTGCCTTCATCCTCCTTCAAACGAGATCGACTCCGGCGTCATTCTAATTCACCCATTTGACCGATCATGGCTCACCTGCTTCGAGGAAAGCAGGCGGGCATCCAGAATGATCTGAGCGCCGGCCTGCAACCCGATCTGTTCGCCGTTGACGATCTCGCACGGTATGGCGTCAATTCGCAAGTCTCAGCTTTGGCCTATGATCCGGTGCAGTCATTACTTGCAGTGGGCACGAAAAGCTCCCAATTCGGACCCGGTCAAATTTATATCTTTGGCAAAGGTCGAATCCAGGCAGTATTGCCTGCGCCAGCACGCGGGGCCAGCATACAGACATTGCACTTCTGTGCTGAGAAGCTCGTATGTCTGGATTCCAAGCATGAGCTGTCGGTCTATTCGATCGAATTGAAGAGGTTGATCAGCTCGCATTCCCCGCTGGGTGCTGCAAATGTGCTGTGCACCGATCCTATGCTGGATTATGCCTTTCTCGGGATGCAGTCCGGCGAAGTTGTGGCGTATGATATGGATCGAGAGGGTCCGGCACCTTTCAAGATTCCCAACTTGTGGCAGGATGTCGATCCCAAGGCCCGGATAGCGACCGTGGTCTCCTTGCAGCTTCATCCTCGCGACATTGGCACCTTGTTGATCGGCTATAGACAAGGCGCTGTGATTTACAGCTTCAAGCTCAATAAAGCGCTGAGACACTTCCAATATGAAGTACCTCGCGGAGCACCCGGAGGGGATAGCGATCCAACAGGAGCCAACATCGTTAGGCGGCCTCTCCTCACACACGCTGTCTGGCATCCCACTGGCACTTTCATTATGACCGGCCACGAAGACAGCTCAATCGTCTTCTGGGACACTCTCAAAGATGGCCGCATGCTGATGGCCAGGACCCTGACCGACACGAATGTTGCCACTCCCGGAGCCACAGCAGGCGCCATGGGCGATCGAGGTACCTTTGCTGTCAAGGAGCCACTCTTCAAAATGTCATGGTGTGCACATGGGCAGGATCCCGAAGACACCATGATACTTGTTGCCGGAGGTCAGTCTACCCAAGCGCCCAGCAAAGGCTTGACCTTGTTCGAGATGGGACGGACACCCGTCTATGCCACCAGCGCATGGGAAACGTTCGTTACATACTTCGACGCACCCAAGAGGCAGCGCATATTGCCGACACCGCCTGGATCGGAAGTCGTAGATTACTGCCTCATTCCTCGCACTTCGCCACACTTTGCTGGCGCACATGATCCCATTGCCATCATTGCCCTGCTGTCGTCTGGTGAGATGCTCACGCTTTCGTTTCCGTCCGGGATGCCCATCAGCCCCACGAATCAGCTTCACCTTTCCTTGACCTTTGTGCACCCATACATTCATCACATCACAACTTCACAGATAGGGCGCGAAAGATGGCTAGGCTGGACAGAGCGCAGGCAGCTAGGGCCCGCGATGCTCACTGGTGGCATTGAGGAGCCACGTCAGCTGCGCCGATTTGAAGATCGCAACATTGTTTCAGCCGTACACGCAGATGGAACGATCCGACTCTGGGATCCTGGATATGGCGATGAGATTGAAAACGACAAGCTAGTGCAGGTTGATGTCGCACGAGCAATCGGCAGATGGGACAACGTGCAGGTCACGACAACATCTTTTGCGAGTGCATCGGGAGAGCTCGCTGCTGGTCTTCGTAGCGGCGAATTCGTTGTATTCAGATGGGCAAACAACAGACATGCTGGGAGAGAACCGCCAGCACCAAAGCCGAGTCAGCCAGGTGCTATTGTCAACATTGCAGATAATATGGACCCTGGGTTGAGTGAAGGCCTAGGTCCGCACATCATGGTCGACCAGAAAGATGGCCCAGTGACTGCGGTCTGCCAAAGCGAGATCGGTTTTACAGCTGCCGCATTCGAAGGTGGAAGTGTTATCCTGATCGATCTGCGGGGACCTGCCATCATACTCAGGACCTCCGTACAAGACTTCGCCAAGAGCAGCAGAGGTGGCAGTCTGCGGCGACGATCTAGTGCCGCTGGCAATAAGCCGGAGTGGGCAACGACACTAGCATTCAGCATCATGGTACTAGATGGCGATGACTACAGCTCGATAGCATTGCATGTCGGGACAAACCTGGGCAACCTCGCAACGTTCAAGGTCATTCCAGACCCAAGTGGACGTTATACGACACAATTCGCGGGGCATGTTGCCTTGGGTGACACGAGAGTGATGTACACTGCCCCCATCACTGCTGACACTGGAAAGCCTGCGACGGCCACACAGACAGTCATGGGCAACTTGCGAAGTGGGCTTAAAGTCAATGGCGCTCTCATCGCCGTGACACCTACAAACGTCCACATCTTCAAGCCTGCGACGTCGAAAGGCGCTCACAAGTCATTCGACAACTTCTTCTGTGATGCAGCCGGCGTAGTGCGGTACCAAGACCAAGGATATGCCCTTCTTGCGATGTTTGGCGACGGGCGAGCTCGTGCGTACACTATTCCATCCCTCCGAGAGCTGGCTTCCATCGATCTGTCGAACATTAACAACACTGGCACTGGCGTCGACATCAAGCGGTTGGGTAACGCAGCTATCATGCCCACCGGTCATATCCTGGCTTTTACTGGTCCTTCAGAGCTGGCACTGCTCCACGTCTTTGGCACTGGCGAGACGCTACCACGAAGACAGGACAAGTTGTTCAGTCCTGAACGTTTGATCCCTCCTCGACCAACCATATCGACAGTTCAGTGGCTCACTGGTACACAGTATTTGACGCCATCCGACATGGACATCCTCATCGGTGGACCAGATCGCCCTCCGAGCAAGCGAATGATTGCGCAAGCGAAAGCAGAAGAGGAGCAGCGACGAAAAGCCGGGCGTTCGGCCACAGCTTCTGCAAACGTCGGACAGCAGGACGAGGGATATTGGGCGTATATGCAGAGGCAGCTCGCGGAGAGGACGGAGAAGTTGAACTTGGTCGGAGACAACATGGAGCAGTTGGAGCAAAACAGCAGCAATTGGTTGAACGACGTGAACAAGTTTGTCAACAAGCAGAAGAGGAATGCTGCTGGAGGGAGTAAGTTTGGATTCTGTTGCCACAGGAGATTTCACTGACGTGCTCTACAGTCATCAAAGCCAAGTTTGGCTTCTGATCCTGCTCGTTCTCGGATTTCGAGCCTGCTCATATTTTCACATGCTGCCTCTGAGGGCCGTGCAGTGTCTAGGGAATCCAATAGAGCATGTGAGAGCCTTCACACTTTCATGTGGAAGGCACCAGATCAGAATGGAAGGCCAGCGAGATCAACGAGCACGCGGCAAAGCGACGTAGGCCAATTATGACAGTGTGCGCTGCAGCTGGATGCTAGCATCACACCGCAACTGAAGTCCTTCACAGTTTCGAGTCATCACGGCCGTAGGTCTCCATCCTAGATGTATTGCTGACAGAGCACACAGTACGACAGAAAGCGCACGAAGTTCACGCATCACTCACAGAGCCGCAACGGCCGTATGTCGTGCAAGGCTTATACCCGAGGTGCTCTTGGAAATAACACCACAATGCGACAACGACAAGTCACATCGGCGGACGGAGTGCCAGTCCACCGACAACGTGCGTTGATATCGGATGCCTAAAGGCTAAAGTGTGCATCAAGCATTTCTCGGAATCAATTCGGGTTGTTCAAAGCAGTCCGGCCTTCCCAACGGAGACGATGCGAAACTCTTTGCAGCCACGAAGGGAACGCAGCGTGGCAGCCTCACCACAAGCTCCCGACAGGCAGCGACGTGGTTTTACCCCGTTGAGTAATTCGCTAGCCCGAATTGTGCTCTGCTTGCGCTCGTTCTGCCGAGGCAGTGGCGGTGAGGGCAGATCAATCCCCTTTTGCGACGTCGGTGGCGCTCAGGCAACACCATTCGTCGCTTTTTTCGTGGACGAAAATTGTGGTGCCTGAGTTAGTGCCTGTCGGCGCAGGTGAGGTGAATTTCGCCGACTTTGCAGGCAGACGGTTTTCGCGTTGGGACATTGGATCATTGGGATATTGATTGTCGTTCCGAGGGTACGTGATGGTGATGCCGAGGATTTTGTATGTCGCGATGGCGAGCGAGATGAGGATATAAGGACGTTGGTAGGTCGTACAGAATCCGTTTCTCATCAGCATCAGCATCGAACAGAACAAGAACAACCAAACAGTTCCATCAGCTCAACCAAAACTACTACCACAATCAACACTCTACCAATCGCAACAACCCAAACCACAACAACCATCATGCCTGCCGCATCAGACTACAAGGGTGCTTTCACCTCCTACTCCAAGGTCGATGACCTCCCAGGCGCCAAGCTTGGTGAGCACTTGCACCACATTTTCTCTGGAATCAAGTCTCGATCTGCCACTCCCTCCACTTCACGCAACACTTCCGTTGCCCCATCAAGAGCACACTCGCCCGTGAGAGAGGTGGCCAAGTCAACGGAGGAGACCAAGGAGAAGAAAAAGGGTTTCCGCGAGGGCGGGTATTATGCCTTCTAAATGAGGCATCTGCCCAGTGCTGGAAGCGAAGGAGTTCTATGGACCAGGGTTTTCTTTTGTATATCTGGCGAGGAGTTTGGGTGATGGGTATTGATTAGCGAGGAGAACTTGGTTTGGATACCTTTTGGGAGGAACAATGGATAGATGAGTGGGATGGATTGACATGTAGGAATAGGAATGATGTGAATGAAAACTTTCATCAAAATTTTGAATTGTTTCACAAAACATTCTCAGCTTCTTCGTGCTCTACTACTTCATTTCAACACGGTTCTGTTGTTGCTTGTTCCCAGATCAGGCAGCTTGATCATGAATAAAATTTGGCTTCTCATTCATATGTGTTCGCTTGGGCATGGTCGCTCTTGGCCCTGAAACCCAGGCATGCTAAAGCTGTAAGAGTCAAGTTCATGTTTGGACACATTTCCAGTGGAACAAATCCAGCTCCAGCAATGCCGCCTTGTCGCAAGCTGTAGCAAGCTGTAGCTCAGGTTCGAGGTGGCTTCTGCTTCTGGGCAAGATTTGCTTGTGCTTGAAATATCGTTTCTGGCAGGCGAAGTTTCACCAAATCCCGTAGGCCGGGTTATTGGAGGCGACTGGAGACATATATCCACATCGACTGCTCACGGCCGGCTCATACAATGCACGAATCGTGTCGGGGAGGTCGTTGTACATGCGGACCCGAGTCCAGGATGTCGGAGAGCCGTACCGAAATACTGTTGGTCTCGAACAAAGTTCATCGAAGGGCCAGCTCACACCACTCGTGATTTTCATGGCATAAGAGCGTATCTTGCACTTCACTCATACCTCGAATTCCCCCACTTCTCCTTCTCCTCCGCATACGCCTCCTCAATCTCCTTCCCCAACCCCTCCAATGTCCCCACCGTCTCACTCCCAGCACTCTCCAGAAGCCCCATCTTTCCCAATCCATACGCCATTGCACTCCCCTTCCACCTCTTCTCATACTCCAGCCTCGTCACCCTCTTCTCCACCTCTACAAACCGGATGGTATGCAAGATCCACATCCCGTACTGCAACTCTTCCCTGTACGCGAAATCTTTCTCACGATTACGAAGCACTTTGGCACGGCGGAGAATTCCAGAACCGGGGATTTCGATTTGGAGGATTTCGTTGCGAAGTGCGTGGATGGGGCCAAAGGTGTGCTCGTTGCGTTTGAGAATCATGGCGTCGAGGGGAATGCTGCCGCGGATGAGAGCCCCGCGGACGAAGGTGTATTCGAGGGACTTGTCGCGAACATAGGTCGGCGTTGCTTTGATTTCTGTGGAGACTGTGTGGGAGATGCTAATGAGGGAGGGCGAGAGGAGGAGGGCTATGGCAGCAGTGAGGAGGATGAGGAGGGTAAGTCTTGAGGGCATGCTGGAAAATTGTCAAGGTGGATGATCCAGGTCTGGAGAATTGGAAGTGTTGGAGCTGGAGGTAGAGAGAATCGTCATTGTGAGCTTGCGAGTTGCGACACGTGGAATGCGTCTCTTTTGGTACGTGGGCTGCTTTAGCCAAAGGTTGTTGTTGGGCTTGGTGAGGAGGAGCCGAGGCATCCTTCGCGTCTGTACCAATGTTTGGGCCTTGGTGCCTGATGACTCTGGACTTCTCCTGCCCAGTTTTCAAGACACATTGTTTTCGCCCAATGTGCAACTTTCTTCGCTGTTCATCTGGATGGCCAGTGGAAGCCAATTGGAGCTCCATGAAGCAAGCCAAGAGCATCTCTGTAAATCCCAAGAACTCAAGCTGATGATCTTGGCTTTGAAGGTTCACTTCTCGTCGAGAATGGATTGGCACTGCCAGTTCTATGCGAATCGACAATCTGTCGTTGCATCCGGCTGACTTTCGCGTACTGGCATGAAAGCGGCGAGAAAGAGGTGTGTATATTCTGCCAACGGGGTATCTTGAAAGTGCTGTCGAAAAGAAACGCTATGCTGTCGTAAGAAGTATAGAGCCTTGATCATGCCCCTGATAAAAGAAAACTAGCAGACGTCAGCACAAGTTGAGTGAAAAACTTCCACCCTGACACTTACTACGACCCTCCGAGAGTTCCTGCCAACGCGAGGAACGTCAGGATTCCCGCGCCAGCTCTGTCGCCTGTAGTAATGGGAGTCACCGGGTCTGCTGGATCCTTGTCGCCACCTTTCCATCATTGTCAGTTGAACGTTGCCAAAAGAAGGGGAAACCATGCTTACCTGTTCCCGCGTTGGGATCCCCCTGACTTGTGCCTCCTGTCTTCGCGCTCACTGGCGCCGCAACTTCGTTGATCATGAGAGCTCCAATGATCTCGAGCGCAGCCATTTGTTCTCCGACACCAGTGAGTCCATCGTATGTCGTGTTCTGTGTCCATTGTAGACCACAAGAGTTTCCGCTCGTGCCACCGGAACACTGCTGCCCTGCTGCTACTGCACTGGCCTCGATATATGGCCGTATCTGGTCATACAGGAAAGGAGCATATTTGGTACTGATGGCCATGAAGCGTGACAAGTACGCCTTGAACGATTGCTGATCGGTGTTGCAATTCTTAGTGGGCTCGCAGACCTCTTGCATGATCATGTTGTTCGTGCCAGTGAAATAGTTGCGCGCGGTAGCATTCCAAAGATTCTGCGTTCGGGTCTTCCATTCGTCGGCGCTGACTGATGACGCAGATGCATCCGCCTCGGTGCTGTTCCACATCACAGACGCCCCGTAAAGCATCATGCCGGCGGTGTATGTCCAGAGTGTGTGATCCAAACCCGTGCAGTTGTCGTCAATACTCGTGCCATCATAAACGTCGAAGTTCTCTCCAATTAAGCCAACCGCGTCCATCCAATCCCAAGCCTTTTCTGCCCATTCGAAGTAGGTGTTGTTGCCGGTGTATGCCCCAAGTCGTGCCGCAAGATTGAATAGGCCTCCGTTGGAAGCAGTATTCTTGTAATCGTATCCGTTGTTCCACGTGAAGATCTGCCATCTCAGACCTCCAGCACAGTCTGCAGAGTCCCATCGAGCTGCCTGAGAATTGAAAACGCCTTGTGCCAATCCTAGCCAGCCCGTTTCGCCATCGGGTGGGTTCTCGAAATTCACTTCGGCTGCAGTCATCACCGCGCAGCCCCAAAAGTATTGATCGTCATTTCCCTCGGCTTTCGTTTGGTTTGGTGGCTACCATTGAGTTAGCACATCGATCGAGCTGTGCCTCCAACGATTCATCGTTACCATGTAGTTGTCATCCGGGCCCACTTGAAAGAGGAGGCCTTGTTTCGTGATGGCGTTGAACTGAGTGTCGCCCGTGTAATACCAGTAATCGATCAGAGCATTGAACATTCCACCTCTGGACAATCAAGTCAGTTACCAGAGACAAGAACTGAAATGACGCCCTATCACTCACGTCTCCCACCAGTAGTAAGGATCCCCCAACTCTCCAGGAATTAGACCAGGTTCGGCGCCGTGATAATAGCCAACCATTTCCGCAGCGATTGTCTTTGTGGCGCTCTTGATGCTGTCCGAGTCGCCAACAGTGACTTGGATAGCATACGCCAGTCGCGAGACGGCCAGCGCTGCCGCCACGGCTTGCAGAGCGCGACGCATGTTGCAATTGGTAACGATCTAAGCGAATGTTTGAAAAGGAATGTCAAGAGTCCCGGCCGCACGTCCTTCACCTGTACCAGCCTGCACTTCAACTTCACCAGCCCGTTGCAAGAAGATTGATGGAGAAGGTTGGTGAAAGATGCTGCGAGTCTGCGACTGACCAGCCAGCGGCACAGTCAGCCGCATCCACCGTCAGGGACATCAAAACACGCTGCGGTTGACGTACGCTTGCGCGCGCGTAAGTGGAGACGAATCGTAATCGGGGGCGTCTCGAGGCCCGGGTGGCACGGCAAGCAGTGCTAAGCTTTTAGCTTAGCACACTATGAAGTGTCTTGTCCCACTCACGGGCCCACTGGAATCCTGAGGAGCGTGAGGCCGAAGTGCGCGCGAGACCAGTCGATGTGTTTGCTTCGTTGCTGTGCCCACATTTCGCGGCTAAGAATAGCCCCGTCGTGTGGCTGCTGGCCTGCTGCTGCTGTGGAATGGGCGGCGCCGAATTCGTGCACCGGAGATGATGTGCTGCATCGTCACGGCCAGCTCCAGTACGCGACTCTCTCCAGCTTCTCCGCGTCTTCTGCTTTCGTTTCCGCAGCGGTGGTTGGAGATGCTGACGCACGGAAGCTAGACTTTCGTCCCACAAGCTGAAGGCAGTCGAGGCAGTGGTGAGGAGAGCGCACCGCGATCCCTTCGCTTGCCGGCAGTGCGGAGATTGAGACATTGGCATCGATCCTCGTCGCAAAGCTCTCGACAATCTCTGCCCAGTCGTCCAGATTTCGCCTTTCTCCTCATGGCCTGGCTGGAGTGAGGCTGCCATTGGGATTTGGGACGCGTCCGCAAGGTTCCGCGCGTGGCTCAAACAGAACCGCTGAGCGCCGTGCTGGCCGCAGATCACGCCCGATGTGCTCTTGTGTAACTGAGGCACACGCCAGCGACATGTCCTCCGCTTGCCGCCATATGTCGAGATGTGTTGTCGTGAAGATGACATTGACAAGACCAAGAACGCAGAAGCCTTCGCCGAGACATCGCAGCTGCTAACGACTTGAAACACGCCTCGACACGAGGACCACGTCGTCGCGTCATCTAAGCTTTCCACGCTTATCAGATCATCCAACTTCACCTTCAAACAATTAATGCAAAAATGTCCGACTCAAACGAAGAGCCAAGACGTTCAAATGATAGAGACTTCAACGAACCTGGCTACACAGATTCCAGCCCCCTCATCGGACATCATGCCGGCGAGGAAGATGAAGCACAAGACAAGAAATCCGAACCTCTATCCATTCTCACCTTGATTGCCTTGACATGTGTCAATGGCGGACTACAAGTTTTTTTCTCGACCACCATGGCCAACCTCGCTGTTCGTCTTTCCGTCTCTTCCGATCGCCAGATGCTGACAGGCGAACCAGCCCTACCTCCAACGCCTCTCCCTTTCCAAATCCGCCAGCGCAGCCATAACCATCTCTCTTCCACTCTCCGGCTCCTTCGTTGGCCCGCTTTCTGGTGCCATCTCCGACCGCCTCCGAACACGCTTCGGTCGTCGAAGACCGATGATGTTCATCGCCATGCTCTTCAGCATCGCCTTCCTCAGCCTCCTAGCCTGGACTGAAAACCTCGTCCCTGAATCCAATCTGTCTGGACGTAAAGCTGCTGCAGTCTTGTTCACCATCCTTCTCAGCATCGCTGTGCAGCCTGTACAAGCGGGCGTGAGGGCTCTCATGGTCGATGTTGCACCCGCCGCGGAACAGAGTCGAGCGAGTGCGTACGCGAGTAGGATTCAAGGCGCCATGTCAATTTTTGGTTTCTTTGCTTCCTCATTGACGTTGAATTCTTTGCCAGGGTTGGGAAGGTTCACGCAGTTTCAGTGTTTGGCCTTGCTGAACTTTCTGACTTTAGGTGGGACGGTGCTGTTGACTTGTCTCTTCATCCAAGAGAGGGACAGTAGGAGGTTGAGCTTGGATGATGAAGAGGGAAAGGGTATTGGAGAGTTCTTCGGGAGGCTATGGAGGACCGTGAAGGAGTTGCCGCCCACGATTGGACAAGCGTGTAAAGTGCAGATTGCGAGTTGGACGGCGTGGTTCCCGTTCTTGTATTACAATACCACGTACATTGGCGAGCTGGGTGAGTTCTCAAGATGCTACATGAAGGGTTGGTGTGCTGATTGATACATCGCAGTCGACGTCGCAGAACAGACCGAAGGCGATCAACTTGCTCAAGCAGGCTCAGTGGCGAGCCTCTGTTTTGCAGCAGTAGGCTTCTTCTTCGTGCTGGTGCTCCCAGTCGTCCTACCGTACATCAGCAGATATTTCCACGGAAATCGCCAGACCGATCATCACGACGCTGAGTCTAAGCCTCGCGACCTGGTCTGGCTCTGGCTCTTAACGCAACCAGTCCTCGGCTTACTGCTTGTCCTCACCCTCGCAGCAGCATATCAGTGGCAAGGCACAGTTCTGATCGCGGTAGCAGGTCTTCCTTGGGCGGTGACGCAGTGGGTTCCATGGGCTGTCATTGGTTACGAGACTTCCAGGTTGGGACTTACCGGTTCACGAGGAGGAGATGAATCGGGTGATAGCCAGTCTGGCGCTATCCTTGGTGTACACAACATGGCGATTTCGCTTCCACAAGTCTTGGCCGGTGCGATAGCCAGTGCCATGTACAAGATTGCTGAGTCCGCGGGTAGTCAGGTGCCCACTGCTTGGGTGTTGGCGTCAGGTGGTCTTGCGGCTTTCGTGGCGTCGTTTCTTTGCAGGAAAATGCTGTGATGGTGTGACTAGATTGACGGATTTAGATTGTATCTGGCGAGATTATAACTTCATCGTTGCATGCTACGGCACTTGGAGAACAGAATGGATGTGAATCGACCGTAATTCGTGCAGGCTATCTAGTGAGATGCTGCTAAAGCGTGCAGTCCCGCGCTGTGTTCGCGGCCACTATTGCGCCGTCGTGGAGTCTCCAATCTTGGTGTGTTGACGAACGTGACGGAGTCTAGTCAACAGCAAGCTACTCAGGCCATTCCTCCCTTGTGACCCGCCTCCTTGGCTGCCTCGGAGCCCTTGGTGAAGGTACCGTCTGGGTTGCGGCCTGGCAAAGCGCCGCCTTCAGTTTGGTCTGCACCCTCGCCCGTCTTGCCTGCAGCATGGAGCCCACCGAGGTGTCCAGCCTCTTTGGCAGCTTCACTGCCCTTGGTGAACGTGCCGTCGGAGTTGCGGCCCGATGGGTGAGAGTCGGCGGTGGTCTCAGTCTATAATTCGTCAGTGGAAGCATGCAGCACAGATACGAATCAAATGCGTACCTTCTCTCCGTCGTTCTGATGAGAGTGCAAGCCACCGAGGTGACCGGCTTCCTTTGCAGCCTCACTGCCCTTGGTGAAGGTGCCGTCTGGGTTGCGACCGGGGAGATGATCGTCCTTGAGATCGTGTCAGCTCGATACAATGTGGCTGACGGCAGCGCCATGGGAGTTCGCAACAGTACCTTGGAGCTGGAGTCGCCGTTCGTGGAATGTCCGCCATGAGAGGCCTTGCCGCCCATCGAGGCGATGGCCTTGACCTCCTCAGTTGGGCGGTTGGCGAAGTTGGCTGGGTTGGTGGAGGCCATTTTATGAGATTTGTGCAGAGTCGTGGTTGGGGATGTGGTATGAGTATGACTTCGGTTGGAAAGCTGTTTGATCGCGTTGTGTTGGTCGAACATGCGAGGTTGTGATATCTTTGTACTTCACTTGCTGCCAAGACCTGCCGCTGCCTGGCGTGGCAAACAGGGAAGTGGCAGCTTGACTGACGCGAGATCAACGCGAAAACCTGCTGTGGAACCGCTGCTCGCTCTTCATTGAATCTTTCGTGCGTGTGGCCTGATGTAACTCCACCAATATGTGTGCTTCCACCTATGGCTGTTGTTCCTGCTGAAGCGGTTTGCTTCGGAGCGCTGCTGACCGGTCTTCTACATGGACTTCACATTGGTTCCAGAGATGCTGACACCGCTCAATCATGGCACAGTGCAGCCTGAGTGCAGCCTGCCGCGGACCATCCTGCATTGATTGTCTCCGATCAAGTTGCCCGCTTTGCACGGTCGTGTTTCCCTCCTGCAAAGCAAGTGGCATGGCAACGTGCAGCTGATCACGTAGTCACCGTCTCTGAAGCGTCTGTTTCATATCTCGGAGCTTTCGACGCATGGCGGCATTGCACAAACCAAGACATACGGCCTGTGGTTCTCTGGGACATGCTGCCAGGCGACTTCGAGTCCTGTGTCACATAGCGCTTCGACGATTGCGATCTGACCGCTCGTCAGCAGTTCAAGGTGCATTCCTTACAGCGGAAGTCGGCAGCACAGGGCAGGTCATATCGTTGAGCCGAAGGAAATGTCATGTGGCCAAACTCAGTGGAATCAAGCCATTGAGGAGTTCCGTGAAGTCCAACTCGACTGATTCAACGGTGGTCAGTTGTTGGGCAGAACCGCCACGTGGCGAAGACCCCGCGAGCCAGGCGGCATATGTTGGGCGGCGCTGCTTGGACTTGATATTCTCAGAATCTACGTGCGAGGCCGAGTCGACGTCGCGGAGCGGGTGTTCACACAAAAGGCGTGAGTCGCGTGGCGAGGGTTGAGATTGAAGTTCTCCGGAATGGTTTCAGGCTTCACTTTACGCGCCAGCAGGCCGGGTCTCAGATATTGTGTGCCGACGTCGCAAAGAGACGAGGCGTGGTCGGGACAAGTTGTCTTCAAATCTGTACTGCATTGAAGGAGGGAAAGAATGGGACTGGAAGCGGACGGCAATTGACATTCACTACGGCATACCATAGTGAAGAAGTGCACGCGCCACGCAGATGACAAGACAGCTTGTGATCGATGTCACTCTCCAAGACATCTATGTAATGCATCTCTTGGTGCCTAGGTGCCACTGACACCTTCACCCACCAACCTGCGACCGACGCACCATCCCCAACGCTCCCTAATAACCGGCTGTCATCCCATCGCCATAATCCCTTTAGCCACGCCGCGTCATTTCACAGGACATGACCGCATTCGCCGGCGGTCCTGGCAAGACTGCTCCGAAGCTCGCAAACGACTTTCTACGATTCGATCCCTTGCACTGCGACCGCAATGCGAATTACCTCGCGGATTTCACACCTCCCGTCGGCGAGGGCAAGCAACTTGCTCCGAAGATAGGCAGCTGCCAACATGAATACTCAACAAAGCACGCCCAAAGCATTCCGCCGCCGCTCGATCTGCGTGCGGATGGAGGCACACAGTACAAGCTTGCAGTGTGCTGCAAGAAGTGTAGGATACATGCGGACATCCGCATCAGCTACGCTTTTGCGGTGAACTCATGCCCAAATTCTCAGGACCCGCTGCATCACTTCGTGCGACGGCGTGAGTTCGATGTGGCTATACCAGACCGAATAGAATACGCATGGCAGTGCTCCTCAGAGGGATGCCGCGCCGATCTCAGAATCAGCTTCAGGACAGCGAAGATACAACCAACAGAACGGACTATGCTGGTGGATACGGATCGACTGAAGAAGGCGTATGAGGCGATGGTGCGAGAAGAGCCAGACAGGGAGGGCATACGTCAGGCGACGCCCGTAGAAGTGTTGCAAAGATTGAGGAGATACATCAAAGACGCTTTGAATACTGAGCACGCGCGAAGATCGTTTCCAGCAAACAACAAGCGCTTTGGGGAAGCTTTTGGCGTGTATGGCGCGGACTGCTATGAGCTGCTCACCCGGCTGGGCTTCAGATACTCGGTAGGCTATGTGCGTGTTCCCGCATTTATCTGTACTGACAACGCAAAGCAAGCACAGGGGGACCAAGAAGCAATGTGGCAGCTGCCCGATCCTCCGGTGCTGGACGATCGGTTTGCTGCGCAGGGCAACAGCCATCGCGAGCTACTTGAGGATATCGAGACCGAGCTGCACGCGCTGATTATCAAAACCGCAGCCGAGACCAACGCCGTGAACCCTGCAGCGTCAGAAGGGTGGCCACTGGCAGACCGCGATGTCGACCGAACGCTCGCTGCGCAGGGGTGTAGGTCTCTCCTCGTTGCTCTGTTTGCGCGTGTCCACGCTAATGCTATGCAGACCCGCGTTTCTCATCCTTGCGGCGGCAGGTGGCATCGCCGGAGGAGCTTCCGTTTGTCACTCCTGCCTTCTGACATCCGTGCCTGCAGCTAACATCAACGTTGCAGATACTTTGCATCACTCGGTATCCAACCCGACTCTGCGGACTCCATCGTGACATGGGCTGTCGACAAGCAGTTCACTACTGACCCACAACGACAATCGTATTACTTTGAGTGCTTACAGATCATTGCGGAGGCTCGCAAGACGGAGGACCTGCAAACAACGCTCGCGCTCGTGGAGTCCCGCGGCCTGATAAGCCGAAGAGACATTACAGCCGCCTATCGATACCTGGACATTTCGCAAACCGACGCGCAGACAGCAGACGACGAGAGGATACTGAACTTGTTCTACGTGAGGACTTCCGATTCAGGACCTGAAGCCAAAGAGGAAGCGAGACGCGCACTTAGAAAGATAGGACTCGTACGACAGAGCCAACGCCTGATTCGGGCCGCCGAGCAGACGATCGAGACGTACGAAGAGGCCCTGGACTGGCTTGGAAACGGCGCCAATCGCCAGACCGCGGACGATTGGCTGATATCCTTCGCTGGCACAAAGCGTGAAGAGAACGAGGAACTGACGCGCAAAGCCATTTCGGTGATTGCGCACGAACGGAAAAGTGACGCTCTCAACCAGTGGTTGTTGACGGGTCAAGCAGACGGCTACCAAATGGACAAGGAAGAGGCATTGCGCCAGCTCGGCATCACCGAATCATGGGCCACCATTGACAAATCGATATTATCGATGCAATTTGACGTGGCGCGTATGGACCGGCCAGGCGAGCAGACGGAAAAGGCGATCGCTGCACTTGAGAAGGCCATAGCCTCCGAGCAGACTTCGCGGTCCGCTGAGACTTGGCCAGTTGGGCTCACCAGTCATGGCAACACTTGCTATCTGAACTCCCTTCTGCAATACTACTTCAGCATCAAGCCTCTTCGCGAGATCGTGCTGAAGTACGATCAATACAAACTGGACACGGAGCACCACACCAGCAAGGATGAGCGGGTAGGCCATCGGAAGATTTCCCTCGAAGAGGTCAAAGGTGGTCAGCGATTTGCGCGTGACTTGAAACAGCTCTTCGATCGCATGATCAAGAGCCCGAGCGAGCATGTCCGGCCTGAAGACGATCTTGTGTGCCGTGCTTTTCTCGAAATGAAGGACTATGCTCTGTTGTCTTCGGCAGTGCAGGAGCTGCGGGCTGAGCACGCTGAGAAAGCGAATGGCGTCGTGGACAACGAGAACGAGAACGAAGTGAAGGGGGATGACAACGAGCCAGCTCCGATTTCGTCGTTCAACAGAGTCGCGTCCGATGCTAGCAGCGTGACACTGCGAGGCGAAGAAGATGTCCCAATGCAGAATGGAGAGCTGCTGCCCCCAACGCCACTCAAATCGCCACCCAAGGACGACTCCGCAGCAGCACCTCCACTCCCACCGCGGCGCTTTTCGACCACGCGCGAACACGCACTTGAGAAGGCACAGGAGAAGGCGAAAGCGCAGCAGGACGTTACCGAAGTGCACGACGATGTTTTGTTCAAGTTGAGAGCAGGCATGACACCACGAGGCGCAGATGAGACTGGCGAACAGGAAGATGATCTGCACCGGTTGTTCAAGTACAGCATGATTGAGACCTCAGTCAAGGACGGAATCGATGGGAAGAAGAAACCATTGCTGGACATGGCGATTACCATTCCGCCTCCATCTGGAGCAACTGACATTTACAGTGTGCTGGACCAATTCTTCGACCTGCAAAGCGTCGGCGAGACAACCGAGGCTGGCAACACGGAAGCCTACAAGTCATTGGAGGTGCTCCCACCTTTACTGCAGATCAATATCACACGCATCGATTACAACAAAGAACGAGGAGCTTTCAAATCTGAGGCATGTGTGAAGCTCGAAGATGAGCTCTACCTTGATCGATATATTGATACTTCGCACCCTGATGTGCTGCCGAGGCGCAAAGCTTGTTGGTCCTGGCGTCAGAAGTTGCACGCGCTGCGAAAAGAGAAGAAGGCCATCGACGATGCTCCACAAGTTGTCAACAAACCGAATGATCTCAGCGGGCCACTCGTGATGAGCGAGGCCGGTGAATATCTGCACGACATGCCTAAAGTCAATGCCGAACTCGAATCGCTTGGTATGAACGGCGTCGAGGTTCCGGAAAGCTTGCCCATAGCTGTCATGTCGGAGACACAAGACCAATTGGCTCGACTTCTGCAGCTGGAGAGTGAGATCGCCGAGATCGAGCCACGTCTCAAGGATCAGTTCAGCGAGTTCAAAAAGATCAAGTATCGTCTTGCTGCTGTCTTTTTCCACCGAGGCAGCTATGGACATGGACATTACTGGATCTACATTCATGACTTCGAGAATGACGTCTGGCGAATGTACAATGACGAGCGCGTGGATGAGTTCAAGAATGTCAACGAAATCCTCGAGGCGAATACCTGGAACCATGGCACTCCAACTTTTGCTGTGTACGTTAAGGACGACCACAAGACTGAGATTGTGCAGCCCGTGTGTCGAGCTCCGGAACCTGTGCCGGAAGCGGATCCTCAGGCGGTCCCTGATATCGACGTCCAGATGTATGACGGCGGAAATCAGCCTGAGGGCACGATGAATCCACGAGACATGATGGTCCGTCGGGACTCAGCCAGTGGTCTCGATAGGAAAGAGAGCAGTGGAGAGTGGGACCCAGCACGAGTTGTAAACAATCATCAGTGGTAGAGCTTTACTCTTGCTGACATGGATTTTGCCCTAGATGCCAGCATCTCCAGAGCTTACCTTCTATTACAAATACGATGGGCAAAAAGATCACGACACGTTTATGCTACCTCCTCATCACAAGATGTTTGCTGCGCGCGATGGAGGATTAGAAGTCAATCATGGAGTTTCGCATGAGGAAGACGAGAAGATGGCTTTCTAAGGCATTAACACGGGACGAAAACGAATCGCATTGCATGCATGATGAGCACACTGTACAGTATTATCATTGACTGTATGATACCCCTTAGCGAGCGAGAGATGCGACATTCTATGGCATAACAGACAAAAAAGAAGATACAAGCTTTCTTGTGCCTTTGTCGTTCCTCTTCGGCATGCTCTGCGCTTGAGCCTCATTCGACCAAGTTATGCACCTGCTCCGAACGAGCGTTCGCTCCGGGCTTGGCGAAGGATTTGGCTTCACTAGGCTTACTTTCTTGCAGCTGCATGTGGCTTGTAGCCCTTGATGAAGGCTGAAGCTAAGCTCGCCACGTGCGTCGGGTTGTCATTTCCTTTGTCAATTCGAAGCGAGTGCGAAGGAGAGGAGGGTAGAGCAAGCGAGGGGCGTGATGAAGGGCTGTTCGACTGGTGGTTCGTTGATGCATTGTTACGCGGCTTTGACGAGACTTTTTCAAGTACTAGGAGACATTTCTCCTCGTGTCATTGGAGCGTATTGCGTGGTGAACGTACTGATGACAAAAGAAAAGCTGCAACTGGTGTGATGTGTGATGAGACGGGCAAGTTCCCGCTTGTGACAATCCTGCTGTACTTTGAAGATTAGCGTGCTCGGCAGCATTATTTGCGGCTGTGGGCTAGTACCTGTTAAATGTACTGTGTATCTTGAGGAAGTTGCCGGACGAGACGTGTGCTGTGCTGCGTTGCGGCTGCTTCTGCTACGTACGCGACTTCCTTTCTGTGATGCGGAGGATGGGTCTGTGACGGCGAGGGCTTTCGACTGCATGACCGGATACGCGTGAGGACTCGGCAGTTGACGATTTCGACGACAAGGTCCTCCCTCTGCCAGCATTGGCGGGTGCTGGAGGTCGGTCATCTGCGAGAGTCTGGCCTGACCTCGAGTTGAAGTTCTGCTGAAAGACGGAGGGCGCCTCCATGTCAGGTCAAAGATGCTTTCCTCATTCAGCAAGCAGGTTCGGATCCTGGCCATCAGCTGCGTAGTCGTCGTTGTTCTTACGCTCTCGATGCTCTCGCATACGAGACGCGTCACTCCAGGAGAGCTCCATGTACCAGAAGACATTCACCATTCAACGACGGCAGCCACGACTCATCCCATCGATGATTTGATGCGCTCCGGGAACAAGCAATTCGAAGATCTCCTGTGGAAACGAACGAAAGGCCTCAATGCCGCTGCTGCCGCGTATAGAACTTCTCGTGGCCGACATCCGCCGCCAGGATGGGACAAATACATCTCATGGTGCGAGAAGAACAATGTCTACTTGATTGAGGACTTCTTCGATCCGATGTATCGTGACCTCGCACCTTTTTGGTCTGTTTCTCCGGAGAAGATGAGAGTGTTCCCTCAGCAATGGCATCGGACGCTGAGTATCCGTGATGGCTCTGTTCTGCAGCGACAAGTTGGCGCTTGGAATCTTGCGAATTGGACTGGCTTATGGCAGAGTGCGATTGAAGCTTTGCCGATCAAGGATCTGCCTGATGTGGATCTGGCAGTGAATCTGGATGACGAGCCGAAACTTTTCGCGAGTTATGATGTTCTGCATGAGGCGAAGGTGAAGGCCGGAGAGGAGCGAATGAAGCATGTCGAGACTCCGCTGGATGAGATTTACTCGGAGTTTGAAAAGCTCAAGGACTTCAATGAGAAGCTGCGAAATGCGTCAGCTAAGAATGTGCTCTTCAAGTGGTCGGACAGGCCTGCAACAGAGCCGATTTGGGAGGCTGTTCGGGACATTTGTCCGCCTGACACGCCCGGGAGGCTCGCCGTCACGAATCTGAAGTACAACACCTCCGCAGAGACGTACTGGTCGCAGCTGTCTGATGGAAAGCACATGGATCGAGGCTTCGTTCGAGACTGGGTAGCGTCTAAATCGGCATGTCTCAATCCTGCATTGCGCGAGGTCCACGGATCTTATGTCGGGCTGAAAGCATACAGCCTCGAGGAGCCCGTTGGACACGAAGATACGCGGCATGTGCTCGAAGAACTTGTGCCGCTTCTTTCAGGCTGTAAGATTAGCGGCGTCAGTAGCGACATTCTGCTCCCACCTGCAATCGAGTTTGCGTCTTCGACGGACGATTACGTTTACGACCCGCACCTTGCCAAACCATGGTCGGAGAAAGAGGCCAGCATCATCTGGCGCGGGATGGCGAGCGGAGGCGACCACACGGGAGACAACTGGACTCGATTCCATCGACATCGGCTGGTTGCGATGCTGAACGGCACTCTCGTCGCAGAGCAATTTCGATATCGGGAAGCAGGGAATCAGGTGCCTGCGGAAGTCCCAGGCGGAACTCCTCCCCTTCCACACAACTTTCACCTACCTCCTACCACCGACGGCGCATATCCCTTGTCGCTCACATCTGCACCCGATCCCGCATCCGCAATCGAGACGTGGCTGACCAGTATGACGCCTAAAGTCCGCTCAGGCTTCAATCATATGCAGTGCTTCAAAGAGAATCCCTTCCTGACGAGAAGCTGCTGGTACATGGACCCTTGGTACACTGTTCTCGAGAGCATTTCTGGCGCCGAGCAATTTCAGCACAAGTTCTTGCCTGATGTCGATGGGCATTCGTATAGTGGGAGGTTTCTCGGTTTCCTGCAGAGCAACAGTCTTCCGATCAAAGCGACTGTATACGATCAGTGGCATGACGGGAGGTTAATACCGTGGAAGCATTTTGTGCCAATGGATAATATTGGAGCTTGCGCGATTGAGTGATGAGAGGAGAGGGAGAATGGGCTGGGTCGAGGATTTGAGGGGGAGGAATGCGACCGAAGCAGACGTGACATAGCTGCAGCATTGTATTGATAGCATGACGAAGTCTTCAATGTCCATGTCTCGCCAGATGTCACATGCTATTTTGTCTCCGGCTAAAAATAAAAGCGGCCGTGGGGCGGGATTGGCCTCCACTACCCGGCCTTCCAAGCTTCTTGTCTTCCACCCATCGTCACTACCACCACTGAAACACGGCAGACGTCGAGCGAGCAGAGAGAGAACAAGAAATGCATTGCTAAGGCGCGAACTTCAGCAATGTCCTGGACGCGAAGCTGGAAGCATGGGCGACGAAAGTGACTCTCCGACGCACCGAGTCGAGAATGAGGCACAATTCTGGGCCGGTATGTGCAACACTCGACTCCCAGCCGAGGCCGTTGAAGCTGATTGAAATGTACAGAGCTCGACGACATCCTCTCGCCGGACCTCATCGTATCGCCTTCCTCTTCCCTCGCTGCGCAGGTCGGCCTTCCAGACTCGCCTACCACTTCTCTCGCGAGCTCTTGGTCCGAGGACCACGAGCAGATCGACGATGCACTGAGACGATATCTCGAGTTCACCAGTCAGTACCGCGCCGAGTACTTGCCCACCGAATACCATGTCGCGCGTTGCTGCTGGAAGCTGTTGGATGCAGAATTGTTCAGGAAGAATGAAGACTATGTCCGCCGACAGATTTTGTACTGCCTGCTGCAGGAAGACGAGACGGAGACACTACACCTCGCAGCAGCCATCTTGCTGTTCGATGGCAGGGCAACGGAAACGACATTCGAGCTGATGCAGGCTGAGGGCACATTTCAGCGCTTGGTAGAGCTGGTGCGCGATAAGCGAGACGAGGATGTGGGACTGCATCGACTGCTGCTGGAATTGCTCTTCGAAATGAGTCGAATACAGAAGCTGTCTCGTGCAGATCTCAAGGTGGTCGATGATGGCTTCATCTTGTATCTCTTTCAACTCATTGAAGAGCTGTCGTCAGATGCGGAAGACCCATACCATTATCCCATCATTCGCGTTTTGCTGGTTCTCAACGAGCAATACATGTGTCTCGCGAATGCGCCGCCTTCACCAGGATCTGCGGAACAGGGCGTGACCAATCGCATCTTAAAGCTTCTGAGCTTGCATGGACCTTCATATCGCACGTTTGGAGAGAATTTGATCTTGCTCCTCAACCGGGAGACGGAATTGGGTCCGCAGTTGCTGATTTTGAAGTTGCTGTACCTGCTCTTCACCACGCCTAGCACGTACGAGTACTTTTACACAAACGACCTGAACGTTCTCGTCGATGTCATCATCCGCAATCTGCTGGACCTGGACGAGAGCCACGATTCAGACCTGGCGCCGGATAGAGACGGACAGCGTGCCCTTCGACATACCTATTTGCGAGTTCTTTGTCCATTGCTAAAGAATACTCAGCTTTCACACGAAGGCCAGAATTACAAACGAGAAGAAGTCAGGCGACTGCTTCACCTTTTGATTGATCGCACAGGCGCACACTTTGCGCCGGTTGATGAAACTGTCATCAGACTTGTGATTAGGATCAAGCAAATCGATTGGATACGCGAAGAGGGAGATGAATTGGAAGAGGCAGCGGACGAGAAGCTGGCCGAAGTGGAAGCGACACATCAGAGTAAGAGATCAGCGTCAAGCAATGGCGGTGATGAAGTTGTGGCGAAGAAGCTGCTCGGCATGAGTCTGCAAGAAGCAGGAGAGAGCTCCCTCAGCGTTGCAGATGTCAGTGCGAAGGTCATCAAGGCGAAACCGACTGTGCCAGCTCCCAGACGAATGCGAAAGACAAGCAAAGTTTCCGCAAATGGATCGACGACTCAGGGTGCTATCGTGAAGGATGGTCAAGAATTGAAGTTGTCGGAGGTTACGAGTGAGGATGCTGAGACTACACAAGCTGCCATGGTCGAACCTCAACCACAGAGAAGGCCCAAACTGCCTCCTGCGCCGCCCAAGTCCAAATATGGACGAAGAGTGACTGGTGATTCGTTGAAGCCGGTTGAGGTGCCGCATCACATACCAGCGAGGAGCGATTCGAGGAGTCCCTTTGCTGATGAGAATGCTGCTACATGAGGTCTGACGGCTGATTTGGACGTTGCTGCAAGGACGCGTCACCAGATGTTCAGCCCTGGAATTGGCTGTGCTACGGAACTGAACTCTGCGCTGACCTTACTTGGCTACGCTCTAGGAGCATGATTCTTCTGACACATCACATCACGATGTATGCTTCTTTCCTTTGGACGGCTGCGACACGGCATCCGGCATGGACAAGTCTCCGATACACAAGCTCGACGGGTAAGCTTGATTGATGATCGCCGACGCGTTTGCGTTGTGTTGGTGTCACAGCAGCAGTAGGCTCGGCTTCCGTCCCGCGCTGAAAGGGACCTGCATTAGACCGCGTTTGTGGTCATCCTCTTTGTACCTCGCATGAGCGTGGAAGGATGCGAGGAAGTGTGGCAGCCATGGCGCGGACTGAGATGCGCGTTTCAGGATGAGTTCTTTGCCTTGAAGAGATTAAGCGTCTCACTTTGATGCGTGAACAAGAATTTGGATACATTTAGCGTTTATCAAGCTGCATATTCATCGCATGAGCTGGATACGCCGACTGCTCGCTGCCATCTACTTGGACCTGGTATCAAGCAAACCGGAAAGAAAGTGACAGATACACGGCATTGTTACACAACAGCAATCCGTCGGAACGATCCTGGTTGCTGGGAACAGCGCCACTTCAGCTTTGCTGCACTGCGCTCTCTTTGATCGAGCTCGTTAAATCAACGGGAAAGGAATTGTCTTGAAGCAAACCCTGAGCCCCTGCATCATGAGACCACATTCGAGAAGCTGAGAATCGGCATCTGCTGACGGGATAAGGTAGCACGAGAACCAGACAGACGTATATCTTCAATGAGTCAAAGCCGACAAACGCTGCAACCTACGGCGCGATTCCATCGGGTCACCACTGCCGTAGTAGCAATATGAAACACACTTCTCTCACTCTCAGGCAGTGCAGGTACTGTGCCTTGCCGACGCCACGATCCAGACGTTTCCCAATCAGTTTGTGAGCTCTTTGATTCCGAATGTCGCTTTTGTGGGCTGAAGGTCTACTACCGAGATGTCAGTGCTACGAATGACTGATACCTGCCGTCTTGTGCTGCCTCTCCACTTCTGCTTTGAGCCGTGTTTCACCAGGTCCTGTAAGCTGTCTGCATGAGCTCTTGGCTGCAGAGTGGAGTCTCTCTGTTTGCGTTCAAGCGAGAGTGGAGGGTAGTGATCGGTCTAGGTCTGCTCTTTGCGTTCGTAAGGCCGCGGAAGGTAAGGTATAAGATGCTTGGGATTGTGTGCATCTTGGAGTTGACAGACTCGCTCACTACGCTCGTTCGCTTCAATTACTTTTTGAGCAGTCATCTGCCGTTCTTTGGGACTCGTTTCTTCGTTTGGGCTCGATTCAGAGGCAAGATGAAGGCTTACAGCGCTCTGGCGACCATCGCTGGCGTGGGTACTGTGGTGGCCAAGGGTAAGCAAAATTTGGAGAACTCCTCTTATGAAATTGACTCACGCCCTTCACAGCCGACCCAGCTGCCATCAAGCGTCAAGAATCACCACGCCCCTACGGATATCCGCCTCCGGGATACGGTCTGCCAACTTCGTCTGGCATCTCCGGTCCTGTTGTGTCTACCTCCACCAGTGCTGCTGAGTCTGCCGGAGCCACAGAAGTCTCTCCAATCGGTGCCTCGGACAGCTCCTCTGCTCCAGACTTCACGCCTTCATTCTCCAGCCTTCCTCGCACCGGTGGACCGCTTACCACATCTACAAGCACACGCTACTTCACTGAGTCGATTGTCTGGCCTTTCCCAATCGGTACTTCTGTCACCTCGACTGAAGGCAGTCCTGTCACTCCCAGCAGCTCCAGCTTCTGGTACGGCAACTCTTCTACTACTGCTCTCGTTGGCCCAACTGGTACCGGTGCGGCCAGTCCTACGTCGACCTTCACTTCTCGATCTACAACGACTGTCACGCGTGAGACTACGATTTACCTCTCTCCAGTTCCTACCGGTACGGCCCCTACTGGCTCTACCGAAGGTTCACCAGTCGGTGCCTCTTCGAGCCCATTCTATGGAAATGGAACGTCTTCTAGCACTGCCCTGGCTGGCCCAACAGCTTCGAATGGCTTCTGGCCAACTGGTGTTCCGTCCACGTACGGTGGTTTCAGTACGACTTTGCCGTGGAGTGGATATCCTAGCAGCAGTTCTGGGGGCATTGAGGTGTCGCCAACTGATGCCACGGAGACGACGGATTCGTTCCCGACTACATCATTCTCTGTTTCGTATGGCACTGGGATTTTGTCCTCGTCTTCAGATGACGGCAGCACGGAAGTCTCGCCTGTCACGGGATCGGAAAGTTCTACGTCGACCTCTTCTGGATTTGTGACTTCGACTACGAGGGCCTGGGGTGCTCCGTTGCCGTACGGACCGCAGAGTACGACCTACGGTGGTCCTGAGGCGTATGGGGCTTATGGGCAGAATAAAGGCAGGGGTGGTGGATGGGGATGGTGGGGATGGAGGGGGGAGTGAGGTGAGGAGGTCAGAATCTTGGGAAATGCTTGATGGCGTTGGCTGGTTTGAGATACAAATGACGGGATCGGTGCACTGAGGGAATACATGGCATGGCGGAACAGGCTGGCAAGCACATGCGAATGTATTTGCATAGACGATTTACAGTATGTGAAGAGCAATCTCACGGCTTTGGATTCGGTTTCTCGTCATTACTCATGGCCCCTGCTAGCAAAACGCTGAATAATGTCGCTGTAGTCTAGCTAAGGGGGACGTGGTCTTGTTCAATATGAATTGCGCAGCTCACTTCAAAGCGGTTAAAGAGAACCGAAGAAATACGATAGTGAGATGATTCCGTACTGCGACCTTCCCTGAGGCGAGTTGGACTCTCTGACTAACTTCGAGTCAGATCCATTGATTGATCATCAAGTCCGAATCAGTACTTGCAAGAACAAACTCCAGGGGACAAAAACTTCAACCTCTTTTTGTGTTACGACAACATCTAAGGGGCAACAAGAAGCTACAATTGCGCAACTCATATCATTTTATTTGCTGCAGGAAACATGTCCTCTTCCATAAAGGATGCCGCCGCGCTGCAGCGTCAGATGGAAGCAATAAGCAAGAGTCGCCTACGAGCAGGATCACTACTCGCATTAGAAACGTTGCACACATTTATTTGCACGAGGCAATCCAGATTCCAGATTAACCCTACAATTTGGAGAGTCTCGACATGCTCTCCGCTCGCGACATTCAAGGCCGCCAAGGTCTGCCAGACAGTGCAATGGAACGGAAGATGACGCACGACCCACCACTCGAGACTCCGCGTCAAGCGTTTGCAATCCTTAATACCTGCAAAAGAGAAGGACGCGGTGGGAAACTATGCAGTAGATGTCTGTCACTTCCCCTCAGGACCGAGACGTTCCGGCATGGGTTCCTGCTGTTCCATCCCCATTTACGTTCCCTGATGCACAATGCCGAAATGGGTTGTCCCTTTTGTCTGCTGTGTTTCGCCGCAATCGAACGTGGAAGTGCGCCTGAAGCATTCAAGGCTGCTTTAGCAGAAGTAGATGGGCCTCCAAAGACGCACCTAGTTTGGCTTTGCGGCCAATTCATGGAAGGACTGCTAATGTCGACCACGATTGACCAGGCGCAGTTGCAGACTCATGGTGAGCAGCTCTATGTGACTGTCGGAGGGCCTAAGACCGATCGAGGTGGAAATTACACAGACTCACATACCAGATACGTCCCGCAGATTGGCGAATCCATGAACGTGCCTATGGTCACAGGCTGTCTCTATCTCGTCACTAAGCCAGCAACCCCTCTAGCCAAATGGCTCAGAGGTAGAAAATGTTCAGACGAGATCAAACCATCCAACCCAGACATCTGCCTTCTTATAAAAGATTGGACTCAGCAATGTATCGAAACCCACAAGAACTGCGGCAATCAAAAGTCGGACTTCACTCCATCACGTCTGATACAGATCGGCCGTAAAGGCACCGCCAGTCAACTGGTATCAAGTCGCGATGACTCTGAACCTTATGTGGCCCTCTCATACTGCTGGGGAGGGAATCACGGGTTGAGGTTGACACGGTCCAATCTTACTGCACTGCAAAACTTTCTTGACGTGTCGAAATTGAACAAGACTTGCCGGGAGGCGCTCGAAATCACCCGTCAATTAGGGCTGCAGTACATATGGATAGACGCCCTCTGCATTGTACAAGACGATCTAGAAGATTGGAGCAAGGAATCGCAGTCGATGGCTCAGATTTACGGTAACGCACATGTGACCCTGCTCGCTAATCAAGGGCACAGCAGCCAGGATGGTCTTTTCCTATCGGCAACAGCTCTACGAGAACTCCCGCGTGTCCCCCTCCGCTACTCACATCCGAAGGATGCGAGGCTAACGGAGTAGCATACTTGTGTTTGGAAAGGGCCATCAGTCGGGGGCCGGCAGAAACCCGAGCGTGGTGCCTACAAGAAAGAAAGCTGAGTACGAGATTGATCGTTTTCGGGCCCGAACAAATGTCATTCCACTGTCTAGAGCACATGACTACGGAGCAGGGGGGACGCATCAAGCCGGTCTTTTCTTCTTGGCCTATGTTGCCCGAGGGAAACGACATTAAGCAACGTAGGTTAGATATGCTCCTTAGCTAGTACTAAGCCGTTGCAGATTACAGCTCGCGACAGCTGACTAATCCGCTCGACATCTTTGCTGCAATATCGGGCGTAGTAGGTGGTTTTAGATTAGCAGAATCGTGATCTGAGTATAGCGGAAGTGCTAGAGGAAGCACAGACGTCGTAGGTAGTAGTAAGAGAGTAAGAGTAAAAGAGTAGAAAGCTTTCCTTGCTTGCTTAGTCGACTATACTACGCGCTATAGGCCTTCTTCTATACTCTATTACT